CAGACAACAAGGGACATGTTTACAATGGGAGCGTGTGGCAAAAGTGGAATGATCTCTCTCTGTCCATCAGAGGAGTCTTTGTAGTGCACGTCTCTCCAAGTTGATTATGGATGCCTGCGTTGTTGACTTTGAATGCCTTGGTCTTTTGTAGTGCGCGTCTTCTGATTAGTAGTCTTGAATTTGACACACAATATTCCCAAGTAATTCCAATAAACTACAACGCATGAATGAAAATTTGTAGTTCACATCTCTGGCATTACAAAATTGATTCTGAGCGCGCGTCTCTCTCGCCGCGCAAGACGTTTAAGTTCTCTGAAACCACTGATTGACAACACCGCGCTAGATGTAGAAGTCTTCTGCAATATGTCGGGCCATCATTGCTGCCATGGATGCCAGGTGGATCGTGTGAATGGGAGAGGCTGACAAGGCTTGCTCGCTGGCGGGGTTGGCGTGGTTGTTGTCGGAGGACGTCTGTTTGGGCCTCCACGCGCTTGCCAGATCTTGACAACCGATCTGGCTAATCGGTGATTGGTTTCCCCGGCCACAAATTGGTTTCACCGGCAATGCGAGGCCTTGCGTTGCCTCCCCGCTCTTATCATGTTATCTGCAACCGTCTGCAAGGTAGTCTCACAACTCCTCGTTGCATGTTCTACAAAGATTTGCTAGCAATAGCAGCTCAGTAGCGTGCCGCAACACTTCTGCAGTCACCTGCAAGACTACCTGCCTGAACTACTTCCTCCTACAACCTCTCTGTTCCCAAAACCACTCGGCTGTGGCCGCAGAAGCAGTTCCTAGACCCCACGGCGCTAACAATGTCGAGCTCGAGATGTCTTCTGCAATAGGTTGAGCCACCATTGCTGCCACAGATACGGAGTGGATTGTATGGGAGAGGCCGTCAACAACCTATCCAATGCATAGCAAAAGTTGGGCTGCACAGCTTGTAAGTAAAGGCAAGTCTGATGAGCTGGGCGAGATAGCCAGCACAGCCTGAACATCACGGTGATCCCAAACCCTATGGCCTATGAGCAATGCTTCCAATTTTAGAGCTCAACCTTGACGTGCGGTCTCTGACGGCTGCTGTCTGCGCTAGGTACCATGTCAAGACACATTGCGTGACTCTGGTGTGCGTGCTATCAGCGCCAGTATGCACCCAGGTGGGTTGACAACACCGCGCTAGATGTAGGGACATGTGATGGTCTGACAAACGTACGCTCCTAGCAAGCTCTCCGAAGACATCGTCGACTTCACCATGAAATTGCAGGCACGCTAGTCAATTTTGCCGGAGAAATTACCGGACAAAATCGCTGGCATTCACGTCATGCATGGAATCAACCTGTCACCTGACGCTTTCGAAGCCTGCCAAGCCTTGAAAGATCTTCCTTTTTTCTACCTGTCTCGGATTCGACGCTGTCTTCTATTGGGTACGCTGGTGCACCCAATAAGAAGCCCTCTCGGCGGTTTGTATTTCTCGGAAAGCTTGTTCCGCTTCTCTAGAGCTTACTTTCATTGAGCAACAAGCACGCTTCCTGGAATTGAGACCAGATCTTGAGCGTTGACATTTTCGTGTTCGGGGACGACTGATGTCGAGCGGCAATATCGGTCCACCCGCAAGCTTTCCTAGCCAAGCACGCCAAGACGTACCTAAAATCATATCACACTAGAGAACGTCACATTCATGCATGAACTAGCAGCACTGATTCGACCATTCTACAAAAGCTCTTAAACAAGGAAGAGGTTCGATTTATCCTTTGTTCACAGTCCGTGCTTCCATCAACTCTGTGGTTGCTTCGTATCTCCATCACTTGCTTTAACTGACCGCAGCCACACGCCTCCAAATCCTAACGGTGACACTTGCTCCTATACCTGCACGATGCCGAACGCTACTCTTTACTATTGCGAGTCCGCATTCTTCAACAACACCAATTGTCCTGGTATCTTCGAGATGGGGGATCGGGGAAGACGGAACCTGTGTTTGACAACAAATCAAGTCGACGTTCCAGCAATCGCATTCAACTACTCGCAAGCAAATGGTGGGAGCGGCGCGGGCATCGCCTGTACCAATCCAGCCAGTAGCACAGCAGGCCGAACTGTCAAAGTCGCACGAGGACTCATGTTGATCACCCTCCTCACTTGCCTCGTGTCAGCTGCTGCCGGTCAGCCCACGCTTGGCACCTCCAACGCCCAACTCGATGGCCGAGAAGAATCGAGGCTCTCCGACTTCAACTTCAGAGTAGAAGAGAAACGAGACGTATCCTGCAACTTCTTTCTACCTCTCACTCCAGGTAACTATACGAGCTCGGGGCTTATCAAAACGTCCGATGTAGTTGACTGCAGGCAGTCTCCTTCACCATGCACTGTGTCGATTGCTGGAGGCAAGAAGGCCACTTTTTCGAGCGAGTACTTCCTCGAGGGAGGTGGTTCGTGGAAGGACCCGAATCTGTATCAAACATTTGGCACAGATTATGTCGAATCGTATTCGTCAAACGTCGAGTATACTAGCTGGGTACCGGTTGGACAGTGCGGATACCTGGTCAGCTACAGTGCTGCTATTCTGTATGAAGGTCAGTACAGCGGTTGTAGCGATGGAGGCAACAGGACAGGAACAGCCGTCGTTGTGCGGAAGAGCTCGCCATTGAGCTCACTGGTGATGACAAACTGTTGAACGACGTTGTCCTGTCCTTCGGAGAGCGAAGGATGCGGCAAAGGCCGTTTACAAGTGGGTGCATTTCAGTGAGGTGTACAGCGAGCTGACCATGAGCAGGCTGCTGGTACCCAGCAAGCGCTCCTTGAGGTGGTCGTCACTTCTTTCATCGTAATGCAAAACAATATCGAAGCCTATACTATTCTCATTGTACAGCTCGTCACAAATGCGGCGATTCATGTGGCACTGCTCAGAGCGAAACAAGCACGGATTTCAAGGTCGAGCTTGAACAGTGCTTCTGGGCCGGAAATAACGTGCGCATCTGAAATGAAAAAAACGTCGCTCGCATAGAGACAAGCATCTTACACGGATCTGTGCGGTTTTTACAATGTGATAAAGGGCACGCTCTCGAGGATTCGCACACTCCAGCAGGCATATTTACATCCTTCGTTCGAACACTAGTGCTGCGTGGGCCTCAATTCCTGTGAGCGAACACCACATCCACAAGTGAAAGCACTGCCGTAATCGTAGGAAAGTGCGATGTATTGAAGGGAAGAGGACGGAGGCGAGTAATTTCTGGTGGTCTCTAGCCACCAAGACCGTTCAACAACCCAGCCAGAGGGTTGGCCGCCGTGGTCGAAGCAGCTGCCGGGGTGGCTGAGGTGGTGGCAACACGAGCTGAAGATGGAGCAGCAGACGTTGCGGGTGCACTGCTTGCTGGCGTTGCAGACGTTGCAGGTGCACTGGTTGCTGGCGTTGCAGCCGCAGCTGACGGTGTCGCTGAAGAGGCCGATGGACTGGCTGTAGCTGTGCTCGCCGAAAGAGGCAAGCTTACAGATTGTCTGCTCACAGACGCCGTCGTCGACGTTGCCTGTGCACAATTTGCTTGGCTGAGCAGTGGAATCGGCAGGTCGTTCAACACGCACACGAGATCCTTGAATCCGTTGTCCACCAATCCGAGAATGTTGCCTGTGCCCAAGTTCTGCAATCCATCGCTCAACAGCTTCTGCTCGTTCGGTGACAGAGACCCCACTATGCCACCCAGCGCACTCAGCAATCCACCGAGCGAATCGATGTTGGCAATCGCCGCACCCGCCAACGTGAGGCGATACGTCGCCGGAACGCTGAGGTACGTAAGCTCTCCCTGCAGCTGGTAACCGTTGTCACCACCGATCTTGATCAAGGCCGTCGTGATGTACAGATCCAGAGGTGACCCCACGATATCGATCGAGTTGAGAAGACCCATTGGCAGCAGAACTTTGTCAATGTGAGCCTGTGCCTGGCCCGGATTGACGTTCGTAGCAGCAGCCTTCGGCAGAATCAAGCTCGGATCAAAAGTATGATCGAGCGTAGCGTACGTCTTGCTCGATCCTGCTTTGGATCCATCAGCAACGATATGATACAATGCCAGTTCGGTCGGTAGGCTATTCGCCAGGTCGATGTCCGCAAGAACGTACGGCAATCCACCGGGTCCAGCAAATAGGTCCAACACCTCGATGCTGATCGTAGCTTGCCGGATCAGCTCCATCGCAAATCCTGTCAAATCGACTTTGAGATTGAGCGTATCCAACGCAGGATTGATTGCTTCCAAGGTTGTGATGGGCGGCTGTGCTCCTGGCTGGTTGTGGGCGTACAAGGTCGTGATGTACGGATCGTGCGTTCCCGGAACAGGCTGGATCAGCTGTCGGATCAGTTTGACCGCAGTCGGACTGCCCAGTGGCTCGTCGAGCTTGATGTAAACCGTCACCGAGACCGTATTGTCCCCAGGTTTGATGTCGAGATTCTCCAGAACAGCGCGTCCGATCCCTACTCCGTCCAATGTCACAGGAATGCTCAGCTGGGCAACCTTGGCGCTGATCACAGAAGGGTTGTGCAGCGTCGCCTTGATCATCGCAATGCCGTGTTCTGGCGTGCCACCTACTACGTCTGCTAATCCAATGACGCTGAGTTGACCAGACAGGTTATCGAGCGATTGGAGCGAGGCAGGAACGTCCAAGTTGACCGAATCCACTGTGATGCGACCCACAGCAAGATCTACCACTGCAGATACCTGGCCAAAAATTCGCAGAGCAGTGGTAGGTTTCGAGACGACGACAACCAAAAGTTGCTGGAATGCTGCTCGATCGACGGCCACTAGCAACTGATTGTTTAAGCTGAGGGTCAAAGTGTTCGACTGATTGTTGCCTGCAATGGCGCCCGAGACCAGCGGAAGTTGATCGAGTATCACGCTGGCCGCACGGGCTGTCGATCCTTCGGCGGCTACGTATACAGTTCCTGAAGCCGAAACTGCATCAACGTGGATGTTGTAAGGGATCGACACGATAGCTTCTGTGCGATTCGTCGAGAGTGGAAGCTGGTAGCCCGAATCCTTGGCAGCCGTCAAATCCGCGTACAAGTCAGGCAAGTTGACTCCCTTGACGGGATTCAAGTTCTGCCCAGCGACATCCACGCTGAGATCAAGCGTCTTGAGTGCCCGTGTGAGCCACGGGATGTTCTGCCCGTTGGCATCTGTCGCACTGTTGCCAACGACTTCTACCGCGGTCGTGTTGGTCGAAATGAATCGGGTTGCAAGGTGGCCTAGCGCCGTGCTCTGCGCATTGTTGGTCAGACGGTTCACCTGACCTGTGACGTGGAGATCCGTGTCTGTGTTGGGAGCGAGAACGACTCCTGCTGGAACATGGACCCCACCGAGCACCACATTCTCGTATTTGAAGTCGACATTGATAATCGGCAGGACAACACGAATCGATGTCGGCCAAGGGACGGTTGCGTCTGCTTCGACCAGTAATGTATCAGACGTCTCGCCCACGACTGATACAGTTTTCGCAAGAACACCGCGCAAGCCCTTGAGGCCCTGCAGACTGATCGAACGCGAAAGAGAGATCTTGGAGAACTGCACACCGTAAGCGTTGGCTCTGACGTCGTCAGAGTAGATCTCGAGCTCCAACTCCGGTTGAGCGATCAGGTCGCTCACGAAATCGCCAAAGCCATTCTGATCCGTGACCGTAAGTCTGACGTTCAGATCGAGGCGTCCGTCAGCAGGTAGGCAGAAGGTGGGGACATTGACAGTTGCGATACGCTTGCCATTGTATCGTGCCTCGAGAGGCTTTCCGAAGCTCACCTGAGCTGCAAATGGACCAATACCGCCGATCGTCACGCTGACTGACACATCGAGGCCATCTTCTGCGAGATTAGAGGCCGAGATATTGGCAACTTGGAGTGTAAAGCTGTTCACGATGCTTTCCACCACGGGGGCGCCGAAAGGTCCGATCAGGTATCTCACGCTGTCGTCTACTTCGAGCGCAATGGGCTGCAGCTGCACGGGAACATCGTTGATCCTGTACTGTCCCACGAGGACATTAGCTTGAGCATCCGCTGAGACTTGTGCACCCTGTAAAGAACGTTGGAGCGCACCAATCACGTCTGTGGCGCCGTTGAGGGGGCAACCTTCGCTCTGAGCGGGAGCAAATGCGACGTTCGAGTCCAAGTTCGAGCGGGATTTTAGCGGGTCGATCAGCGGCAGTAGCGGTGCTAGATCGACATTGTTTGCCTTTGCTTGATCTTCGAAGAAGCCGATGACAGCGGCAAAATCCGTGTTGACGCGAACAGGGAACTGTGGCGAGGTCAACGTCGAGTGACCTGGAGCGACCATGTTGACGTCGGCATCGACGGTACCCAGCAGCGCTCCTGAGAGCGACGTTGCACTTGCTTTGGCGTGCAGGACAGTGATCTGAGCCGAGAAGGGATTGTGCAAGACAAATGTAGCTGCAACAATCAACCTCTTGTCGACGTTGGGTGGCACGATGAGCTTGGCCGTTGTGACGAGCGTCTCGTTCAGCCTAGCCACCGACGCGCCAAAGGATAGAGTCGAGACCGCTGGATTGAGTGAGCCATATGCGGTGGACCTCGAAGTTCCGTGAGCTAGGGCCTGAATGTCAGGTCCACCTCGAGTCAAGAAATCCTTGATGAGCTGTCTTCCAACCTCGCTGTTGAGCTTGAGCTGCGCCTCTACCGGCAGAGTGATGGGGCCTTGTGGAATATTGACGTTGCGAACCAGCGCATCCCCGATGCTTCCGCCATTTCCATAATCGACTTGCATGCGAACGTCGCCCACGATGGCGTGCACCTGACTCGGGTTGACGATGGCAGCGTTCACCGTGGCGATTGCATAGTCTCTCGTACCGCCAGTCACATCGAGCCCGCTGATGACGATCGGACTGGTTGATAGGCGCTGGAATGCGTCAAGAGCGAGGGCGGGGTCGAGATGAATCGGAATACCTTTGACAGAGATATCGCCCGACGCCGTCGACACGAGTGCATTGACAGCATTCGAGTTCAGTCCCACGCTGATCGACTGGTCTTGCACGGCTCTCACAGCGAGGTCGTTTGCAAAATTGTTCCTGTAGTTTCCAGGAATGTCCAAGTGTGCGTTTTGGATTGCCAGACTGACTGTCCGGTCTTGGGTCCGAGCAGCGCTGTCGGACAGCACCAAACGAGCTGCACCTTGCCCGCCGTACAGCACATCAAAGGAGCCTCCTACACTCTCCACTCCGAAAGGGAATCCAAAAGGAATTTCGACAGCGGCAGCGACTGTGTCCGTGCTGAGTAACGGCGACCATTCACCGCCCGCTTGAGTGAAGTCTATGGTAGTGCTGTTCAAGCTGACGCTCTTGAGCGGATCTAGCACGATACCCGGCACCGTGATTGGGATCGAAAGCGTCTTGATACCGTCTGTCAGCCAAGTGACGCTGTCAGGACCAGCGTAGACACCTCGCACCGTCAAAGTCGTAGGCTTGTTCGAGATGAAATTCTGCGCTACCGTCGAGAAATCCGTCAGACCTTGGCCCGACTGTGGCAGGATACGTCCAGCAACGTTGACAGTCGACGTTCCACTTGCGGTCATGTTGAGGACGTTGGCAAGACCGACCTCTCCCAACGTGCTTGTAGTAAGACCGAAATTGACTCCGAGACGGTCGAGGTTGACGCCGATGTTGGAAGGGTTTCGAACTGTTGCCGATGCGGTAATGTGGATTCCTCCGGCAGGATCGTTGGCTGGCAAATCAAATGGCCCTAGCGCAACTGCATTTTGAAGCTTGTTGAATGCCCTGATCGATGTTTTCTTGGTCAGCCCGGGGCCATTCAGAACCGCATCGTAAGCATAGATGACCATCGAGGATGTCGACAGCGTCCACTCTACACTCTCTTGTTGCAACAAAGCCTTGACGAGGTCCGTCATCAGCCCGGTGTCAGCGATAGTCAACTCTGCACGTACTTGCAAAGGCGTCGTCTCCGGAACAATGGTAACATTCGGCAGTGCCACGTTGCCAATCACTTTCCCCTGCCAGCTGACATCGATGCCCTTGTCGAGCATCACGACGGCGTCAAAGGGACCAATCTTGGTGATAGCAGTCGAAACATCCACCACAACCTTGTTTTGAGCCAGGTCGAGTACCTGAATCGAATCGAGATTGATCTGCACCGCATCAATCACCGCTTGCATGATGGGTCGTCCCAAGATCGAGTAGAGCTTTTCGATGCTGTTGTCGAAGGTGACGTTGACACCAGACTGCTGGAAGGGTGTGCTGAGTGGATAGTCGCCGATGAGCACGTCGACGTCAACTTGCACGTCGGCACGTGCAGCTGCGAGAGCGGTCATGACGTACTTGGGCAAGCTGAAGCCGTCAAACGGTGCTGCGCGTAGCGAGAGCGTGGGCAACGACGACGCTGACTGCTTAACACCGACAGGCTTGATACCACCTACCTTCATGAGGTAGTCGAGCGGTGCCGTGTCCTGACCCGACTCGACGACCAACCCACGCATCAACCCAAAGATCATGTTGGGCTTGTCAAAGTCGACAATCACCGGCAGCGGTGTGTCGCTCTGACGATTGACCTCATTCCTTGACGGGATTACCACCGCATTCTGCAGTTTCATCGCATCCACGTGACCTACATTCAACCCAAGTACACTCGCCTGACCCTTGCTGCCCCGCAAACTGATTGCAGAAGTGAAAGGATTACCCACCGAGGGGATTGCGTCGGCGATATCGTTGACCACAGCAGTCGTATCCAAGATCCTCATCGCAGCGCTGAGCAAGAGCGGGTCCGTCAATCCAGCAATGGAGGCATTGAGCTTCAAACTTTCCATCGTTGGCTTGAGCGACTCTGCTTGGCTAGAATCGGCATCGCCTCGCACGTTGACCTGGCTTCCCTTGCCTTGCAGGTATTGCTGTACAAGCGACTTGCTCTTGTCGTTGAAGGAGACAGCAGCGGTGACATTGACTGTATTTGTACCGGGTACCAAACGTACCTCGCTGATGGTGGAACGACCGAGTCCAGCACCGTTAGGTAGAGCGAGTGGGAAGCTGGTGTCACCAAGGAGATGGATCGAGATGAGCGACGGATTGGTGATGCTGGCGGAAGCGACAACTTGCAGAGCGGAGCTGGACCCGCCTAGGATGTCGAAGGAGAGCAGATCGAGTGGAGCCTGCGCGAACCCGGATAGTCCTTGAAGGGAGGTGGAGGTGGCGATCTTGAGAGCCGGGAGCGTGATTCGCCCAATGGAAGAGTCTGCAACGACTGCAGCAGTTCCTTTTGCAGCCAGGTTGATCGTGTTTCCCAACGCAATCTCTCGGATGAGCTGTTGAAATCCCTTTTTCGCCTCGTCTTCACCGCCCTTGGTGTTGCTGGAAGGGGACATAGTCGAATTGATCAGGGACAAAAACGTCTTGCCACCTCTTTTACTTGGACCAATCAGCTCCAGTGCCGAAGAAGCATTGGCCTGAGCTCCATTGAGCGTAGCCACGCCACCATCATTACCGGAGGAGACATCGATGTGCACCGCAGCACTGAGCACGCTGAGACTCAAACCGAACGGAATCTCGACGTCTGCAGATACCGAGTTCGAGTTGAGCGTAGGCGAATAAGACTGCGCCGGATCGAGCATGACATCCATCGCACCCACCTGGACAGCCTTGATCGGATCGAAAGGCTGTGGCAGCTTGACAGGCACTACGATATTGAGCTCGTCAACAGCAGCCTTGACCCACGAGGGTGTAGTCTCGCTCGTTGGGTTGACCTTGATAGAGACTGGTGCGGCTTCGTTGTTGGTCAAGATGCCGACGAGCTCGCTGAGTTTGGCTAGGTTCTCATCGCCTTGTTGATGGTAGATTCGACCGTCAACAGGGACAGTGTTGACGCCGTTGCCCAGGTGGAAGTTGGTGAGGTTGGCTTCGGCCAAAGGCATATCTTTGTACGACACTTGCAAATCAGCGTTGCCTAGCTGAATCGAAAAGGGAGAAGGATTCTTGAGCGAGCCTACAGCATTGACGATGGCTCCACCTTGTGGAGAGTCTCCTGGAACGTCGAGCGACAGCACCTTGACATCACCCAGCCCTTTCAAGCCTGCGATGTTGGCATGCTTGCTCACGGCGATGTTGTGCCACGAGGGTAGGAAGCCAAAGGCGACGGGATGAACATTGGAGCAGTTCAGCTTGATCGTCGCCTGTTCAGCATTTACGAGAAACCTCGCAAACAGCGCGAGATTGTCATCGTCGACATTGGTGAGCGTCTTCTTTTCATCGAGTGTGCCGTAACCTCTCGAGGTGACACCCAAGTGATCTATTTCGATGGTGCCAATATGGATCTCGCGACTGTTGGGTGGGACGGTACGCCAGTAGAGGTTGATGGGGGCGCGGAAGTAGGCACGGGCAGGGAAGATACCGGTCTTTGTGACCCTAGCTCGCAGGCTGACTGGATACTCTCCTGGACCGGGCTGTGTTGTGCTGATTTCGAGCGACTCGAGATGCACGACGGAGACGTTGACGATGTGGTTTGCTACTGCGAACAGCACCGGGCCGGTGAGGATGACAAGACCGACGAGGATAGCTATGGGCATGACGAGGAAAAGACAGCATCGTAGTTTGCGACTGTTGACCTTCTTTGCATAGATGGTGTTGCGGGCTGCGAGGAAGCCGATAGGCTGACCGGGCTGGTAATGGTTGCGATCGCCGTATTTGGAGTTGGTGCTGGTGTAGTTGCTGGAGGTTCTTGTCCGTTGTCGCATCAGGTGCTGGCCGTCATCGTTGTCGTTATCGTTGTCGTATTCGCCGTTGCTACGGCCGCGGCGGCGTTGTGATGACGGAGTCATGATTGCTATCTTGCTCCAGTGAAAGCGGAACCAGCTTCGTTGCTATGCTATGAAGGTAGAGACCATACCGACGGCGATCCCAACGGCCCTTCTCGTTACCCTTGAGGGTCATATATTGCCGTACATTTGTATGGGATTGCAAAAGAAAAGATCCCCCCAACATTGTGCTCATCCAGTCTCGGCGTACGCCTGCAAGACCGTCGCACGGTAGCAGCATCTTGCTTGCAGTAATCTTGACCCAACACTGCAAAGCAGCGAAAGAAGAGGTGGCCGCTCGACCAGATGATTACTAGGACGAAGCGGCATTTGATGAAGCTTGGGCGTGGGAAAGAGATGTTGGCCATGCATATAGTTTCCCCATCATGCTGCACGAAGCGTGTTTAGAAACAACCAACTCTTGCCAAGATCGGCTTCTGTCGCTGCACTTGACGGGCGCAACGCAACATCAGGCTGCATTCGTTACAAACTCCGGCGAATACCCGCGGCAGCACATGGCGTGGCCAGTGGTGGTGGTGTCGGTAAAAAGAAGCCCCGCATATATTTAAAGTTGGTAGGAACGTTGCACCAGTAAGAAACCACCAAAAAACACCGAACCGAACATTGCACCCCGAGTAAAGTGTGTACCTCGCTCAAGGTGTCATGTATCGGAGATTATTGCGAGGTACAGAATGTGGGGAAACGGGTCCTTATACCTCGCTTGTCACGTCTTGCAATAAATATTATCCGGAAGATTGTGCTAGCGATCAACCAATTTTGCGGGGTCGGCAAACACGCAAGCAGATATGGTGTGATCCAATTCACGAGATTGGAGACCATCAAATGGTCACTAAGATTCAACGCAGTCTCTGTCGTCAAAGGCAGAAGAGGGACAAGAGACATCAAAGCTAGGAGGGGATCCCAAATTGACAATGACTCGCGAGAAGGGCAGGTCTATGAAGCAGGGCAACGCTGTCCATCTTGAACTTTAACATCACAATTCAAAGAGCCAAATGATGCATTGAGAAAGGCGCAAAACGCAAGAACGGTTGCATGCTTGCATGTGCCGCGAGTCGAAAAGAATATCGTGTTGCGTATACCATGAGTTGAGGCGTCTCTTTGAGACGGGTGCTTTTGGAAAATGCAGGAGTCCCTGAGAGACCCCTACAGTACAACCCTACCACATCAATTCATACACGCCCTTCAACTCCATGGAGCGATTCGATGGTTTGTATTTATTCAGCAATCTATGAAGACAAAGACTTAAGGTACCTAGCCAGGGTATGAGAAGCGAGACTGAGACTGGGACAAGGATCGTAAAGCAGGAACGGCAAGTCGACGTGGATCATCTGGAAGGGGCTAGGGTGCGCGGCCAGTCCAGGTCATGATTGAAAAGTTCTTCTCCAATCCAAGCAAGGGAGGAAACACCGCCACGTTGCGATCCGTGGCGAAGAATTCGATAGTCTTGCTGTCGCTGACGAAGAGCCCTTTGCCATACCGGAATGAGTTCGAGAGGCGTTTGACACCAAATTTGTTGTAAAGAGCATATAGTAGGGCAACGAGGATAGGACCGATGACAGGGGTCAGTAGCGCGATATTTGCTCCGAACAACTTGACACTGTCGCTGACGGTGTCGACAGGAAGCGCAATTTGGTTGATTTTCTGCAGCGTTACGAATTGGCCCTTTTCGTTCTTCTGCTGCAAGAGTTTGACGCTGAAAAGATAAGCAGTGTTGTTCTCGGTGGAGTCGTCGGCGTCCAAAGCAATCAAAAAGATTTGACCATCTTTCTGTGTCACAAGACCTAAGCCAGCTCCCGAAACAGGGAACTCGAGCTTGTGATCTGGCGTCAGGCATTCAAAGTCACCGAAGGGGTGAAAGGGAGGCAGCACTGAATATGCGGACCTGTAAAAGTCGATCTTGTTACCGTTGATAGCTGCAACGATGTACCGACCGAGCTCGCCTCTCTCCCTAGTCATACCGACGCCGTTGGTGCCACCAGTCGGTCGATCGATGCGTCCGATGATGGTTGGACCGAGGTTGGCGGCAACTGGCCGAATGTCGAGAATTTGGATCTCGGAAGACTCTGAGTCAACATCCTCCTGGATGCCAAGCGCCATGTAACTCCCGCAAGCCTGTGAAGAGCAGGGGTGCCTCCATCCTGGATGCAGAGTGGGAAGGGTGTTTTCTGTTGTTTGAAGCTCCTCTCCGAGATCTTCGGCGATGATAATCGATCCATTCTTGGCCCCCTCCCCAACGTCAGTGTGACTGAAGATGAACTTTCTATTGAAGTCATGACCGCCATAAACAGAGATTCCCTTGAAGTGTGACTTGAGGAGTCCCGGGATATCGGTGGGATCTTTGAGGCATTTGAAGTACGTCCGGCGAGAATTTGCGGGCGAGACCGAATTAAAAGTCTCGACGACATCGTCGAGGTACTGATTCTCGGAATAAACGTGATTCAAGACCAATGGGTAGATTTCAAAAACAGCCTTGTTGGTGTCCCCGCTTGTACTCTTCATTCGAACGTAGTAACAAGACTCTTTCGTTTGGTGCACGGTTCGGGTGACAGTGATGTAGTGACTGGTCATCGTGTCCCAAATACCGTTGTCATGACCGACGTCGATCCCGTTTTCTCCGGCAGCAGGATTTGAGAAAGAGAAACAGATGGGAGATTGGTTGTCCGCTGTGGTGTATGTGACCCAACCGGAGCATCCGGAGAGCGCCCAGTCTCTCTCGTAGCATAAAGTCGTGACTGTTTGACGAGACGAGATCACCTTCGACCAGTTTGCACCGTCGGCAAGGCGTCCGTGCTCGAACTTGTCTTCTTTAAAGTGGAGCTCGTAGTCAGAATTGTTCACGATGGTGACTTCAACCTTGTGAGTCTTTGTCATTTTGAGAGGTGTCGAAACTGCGAAGTAGAATGTCCCCATAGTGTCGCCAAAGGAGTCCGCAGATGCAAGTGTGTAGATGTCAGCTGCGAGGGCTCGACGGGCGAAGGGTTTGTATTGGTCATGTCGTGAACCTTACCTTATACGAAAATAATGTCAAGGGTTTCGGGCAAGTGAGATGTGCGTAGGAGTGCGAGAGAAGGCAAGGTCGATGCGGGTTTGGTTCAGGGGATGGGAGCCTTCGAAGCCCTCCTTATATACTCGAGCACCCTTGCACTATTCTCTTGCAAGACATCGCTGAAGCAAAGCCGGCCACACATAGGATCAGCCGCTTCCGAGGCGGCGTGCATGTAGGAACAGACCGCATAATGTCTGGATAGACTGCACAGCGGGGTTGAAACAACAAGTCACAAAATCAAGCCCATTACTGGCACAAGCGCTGAATGTTCGAACTGAAAGAAAGACGAGCTTCCTGTACGATCGGACATCAGTCGCTTGACCCACAGGAGTGTTTATCCGCACTGAGCTAACCCCTTGATGGCCGTATCAGCAGCTTCGGAACGAAGGCAAGACTACCTTGTGAGTTAGTGCCTTCTTTTGATTGCTCAAAATGGAGAAATGCATCTGCGCTTTGCTTCGGTAGGTAAGGGAAGCAATACGACTGTGGTGACATTCCTAAGCGCCGCAGCAGGTAAGGCCACGAGACGGAGAAGGTTCGCGGCGTGCTATGGTGCGTTGTAGGACCGCTGCAGTGTGTCGACATACCCTGCGGAACGATCCTTCCTCCAAGAAAGTAGGATCAGATGACCCGTTGCGGGCACTGAACTATCCTGTTCATCTCAGACAAAGATGCTGAGACTGTATGACCTTCCTGAGACACTACGTATGTTCCACGAAGCTTCCCGTGTTCCAGCATGCGGACGATTGCGGCCTCGAGGTACCGTTATCTTTGAGTGTGTCAGTAGAGATGACTGCTTTGAATGCTGGCATCGAAGGCGTCGTGACCTCGCCATGATCAATGTTCGCCATGGTCAATGACCAATCTCACCATAAATCCTCATGCAAGCCATGGTGCTTGTCGGGTAGCCATTCAGAGATAATCCAGATGACTGGCGATTCCGTGATCTTGTCAGCTCAAGGTACAGCGAGCATCGGAGTCAGACATGCAAGTCGCAAACTGCATCAGAGATCTTAGCGAACCAGTGCCTGCCACGGCCCAAGTCTGCCACTGCTTGTTATTACAGGAAGAAGTACAGTGATCTGCGCAAATGAAACAAAGTGATGGCGGGAGACCGAGCTTAAAGCACGGACCCTGCATAGAAGCCCGAACGATTTACCTTGTCTGCAGCTTCGATTCTTGCATTGCATTGCATCGCATTGTCCTCAATGGAATTTGTTGCCTACAAGCGGCAAGGGTTATGGCAACTTTCGACGTCTGATAGCTGATTTGGATCCTCTCGCCAAAGCGTGTTCGCTGCTCGCCCAGGTCTGGCCCATGCCTTATCGTTCCAGTCAAGTAGAGCCGCCTGTCCTGAGCTTCCCTTTCAAAGCATACATTCACACGCACACAGCGCGAGATTATCTCATAGAACCAAGCAAGCCGGATGCGGCCCAACAATGTACGTTTTTGCTCCAGTTCGATCGCATGGTGCGATTATTGGTCCGACACGGGATGATTGAATCCCCGCACGGCTAGAGACAATGCACGAGACCACAAAACCCAGTTTTCAACCCGCATACGGAGTCCGGCCACCGTGCAGTGCTAAGTCAGATAGGATGCACTCATCCAGTCATGTGGTGAGCTGATACATTAATGCCAGGACCGATAACGAAGTAGAATCCGGCCCGGGGATTTGGGTTCCGTAGAGAAGGACGTCCTATGCGCACATTTCTTAGCAGTCCATGCAGGGTCACAGTGCCCTGTTGAAGCAGGAAATCGATGTGGTCAAAGGGTGCAACTTGCTCAGCACTGCACACGTCGCCTGCTCGCCTTTCCCAGACATGCTGTGTTGAAGCGTGTAATTGCGTGCGAGACCACCAATTGTCGCGCTCTCTCAATAATCCGCGTACTCACCTAGCAGGCGTTTTCACAGGTGTCAAATCGTGTCAGCTCCACGCCACGGTTGCCATGGCTCGTAGCATGGTGGGTGGGTGGCCTTTTACAAAGCCGCATATGGTCATGGCAATCTTGCCGGGATTCAGCCGCCTTCGCCGTGCTTGTATCGACTGCAGGGCTCCCTCCCCAATCTTCTTGCCAACGCCCCTGGTTAGCTGTTTTTCTGCGCTGTCGTGTCGCTCGAAGCAAGGCGGATTTGAAGCGCCGAAATTACGTGGACTGGTGACGTGGCGACGTCTTTCGGCTGGCGACTTTTGCTTCGGTCGCTACGCAAAGCCTCCAGACACAATGATTGTCCGGGCCACCTCAAACAGAGATGGATAGAGTCATCTGTGCGTAGCACCACGAAGGCCGGCTGAAGCTGGGTTGACTCTGGCATGACAGCAACTTGTGGGATTGTGTCGGCTCGACTAGATTAGTAGGCTTGTCTTGAGTCGTTTGTCCTTGCATAACTGCTTCTGCACAATCAAGCAATGGTGGAAACCAACCTTTTCTTTTGTCGCAACTACGTTTAGATTGTACCGGGACGCCACGACTTGGGAATACAACGCTGTTGAAGCGTTACTCTGCAGCGGAAAGAGGGGAAGCTAGTTGCGACAGGAGAGGGGGGTGAAGAGACACGAACAGAAGCGAGAGGACGGAATCTTGTTTTGTGTGGTTGTATGAGGACGTCTTCCGAGAGTGCATACACCAGCAAAAGCGATACTCGATCACTCAAGCTCGGCGATCTCAATGGAGTCATCGGGAGCGAAGTCGCCACTTTGCGAGGCAGCCTTGAAAGCCGCACGGATGTCTACCTCCGTGGGGGTATTCCGGGGGACCTCCATACCATCCTTGCTTTTGAATTTGATCTCTACCAGGAATTTGGTCAGCCAATTGACCGTGACCGGTGTTCCCCACTTCTTCTCGAGGTCGATCTTCACGTCTGCTGACGCTTTGATCCACTTGTTGACCGGGACTGACTTGTTAAACCTGACAATGAAGCGCGCGAAGGCGTCGCCGACTTCGGCCGTCGACGCAGATGGCTCGTTATCACCCGACCAAACTCCCGACAGGGGCTCGTAGGTGGTGTTCCATAGATAGTCGTTCGTGTTCGGGTTGATGATGCCAGTGTTGAATTTGGCAACGGCTGTTCCGGTGGAAGAAATCATTTCAGAGGTCTGGACTCTGGCAGCAAACCAGGTCTCATTCTCGGATTGAGGCTGGTACTGAGCGTTGCCGTGGGTGTCCAGAGTGGTGGGGTCCACATAGGCCGGCCTATATTGCTTGGACTTCTCATCCCAAAGTCCAAGGATCGGGTAGACCGGTTCGTGAGCATTGTCGAGAATGGAGATCTCGTTAGGCGTGCCTCCGGGAGCGATGTCAAAATATCCATCTTTGTTGAGATTATAGTTGGATCCCAAATGACAGTCCTTCCAATGCCCCCCCTCTGTAACAACGAGACCGACAGTTGGCTCGGTCTTGGTCCAATTAAGACCGTACTTCACCCTCCATGAAATTGCCATTGTTGGAGCCTTGTGATCGCTTCTCCAGATCAAATTCACCTTGGGCTTGCCATCGGCTCCGATCACTTTTTGACCAAAGCATAGCTGCTTGATACCGAGGTCGGTAAACTGCTTCTGATCTTCTGAAACGACGATCGTGCGAAGATCGGTGTCAATATCCGTCATGATTCTGAACGGGGGAAACAGTCAAAGTTAAGTATAAGTGCATGGCCTTCATGGAAGAAGCATTCCTATACGGACTTACTTCAGTGTTGGAGAGGATGTAAAAGGAGATGTTGTACTGAGTTAGATGTGAATGAGAGTAGCTATGAAAGTATCGAGGGCTGAGCTTTGAGATGAATGAGGAGACGAGGGAAGGGGACAAGTTTGGGCTCTCTCTTATACCTTTCGATAAGCCTTGATCTCTCCAAAGAAACCCAGCTTCATTAGGTCTGGTCGAGCAGAGAAGTGTTGGGCATGCCGTGTGGAGATCCTGTGGTCCCATGAGCGACGTGTGCTGGCCGAGACAGTTACTCTCGATAGCGCGTGTTGGCTCATCGAGGCTGCTTGGCTCCGGCCTCACCGTCCCAGCTGATGAGAGTCATTTGACCCGACCTTTGCAGCATGCAATTATCCGCACAGAGTACGGGATTGACTGTTGAGCACCTAGAGCTGAACAGATAGTCCAGCAACGTTCTTTACAGTTTCGATCGCATGAAGCGATGGTGAGTCCGACACGGGATGGTCGCGCATGGGAAAGTCTTGACATGCCGAGACACAGCACGAGAGCACAAGACACATGCTTGAGTCAGCATATGCTGTGCGGTCTGAACGAGAGCGGCTTCTGCTTTCGCCGAGTCGTGTAGAAAGGTCGCTGAATAGCTGACGAAGCGTCGAAACTCGCAAGTGCTGGCTGCTGTGCTCGCAATGTTGGCGCAAAGGCTTGAAGAGTGCCCTTCACTCGCGGGACCTCGCTTGAAGTCCGACAAAAGTCGTCTGTATTGATCTCGGTGAAGGGGGGAAGCTGAAGATGTCGCGGATGATCATGTTTCCTTGTGGTGACTGAGGAAGCTTGCTGTCCGATGATGGTCCGAGATGACAAAAGGTTGCGCTCACTAGTTTGCTCCGAACGAGGTCTTGGTGTGATGATGAGCAGACACCGTCGAAGGTCAAGCGTTCTTCCGTCGGAACCGGAACCTACTCAGGTCTGCAAGCTTTTTTCCATGAAGCCTTCCCATGCCGGGGTCTCAACGTTAAGATATTCCGAGCACGCTTCGGTCAACATGGGTTTCTAGAAGCGGCATGAAGTCAGAATCAGGTCCCGTGTCAACCGCTGGCCATCGTCGGTGTCCGGTGCATCTGGCCGTGAACGGGATCGTCCTCACCGTAACCGGAAAGAGCCTGCGTAGGGTCAGCAGAATACCAGAACCGACACACAGGTGGTCAGGAGACTACGACTTTTCTTGGCGAAGAGAGCGCTCAGAAGGCCGAGAGGTCAGCCATTCCTTTGGCCCGATTGCAGTCAAGGTTTTCAGAGTCTGAGGCATTGCAAGAGCAGCGAAGCAGCAAAGTGTGATCTTGCGCTCGAGCGCAAGTGATAAGTTCGCGGCAACCTCGCACTTTTCAGATCGACCTCCTGCATTAGAACGCCACTTCCTAATGCAGAGCAGGATATACAAACGAGACGAACAAGGCAGTCATTTACCATTTGTTGTTATCTTTGCAGCTGCACCTCTCGGACTACTCTTTGCCGATGGAGCAATTTGAATTGAATTGAGAGGCATTGGGACCAAGGGAAGGGCAAGCTCCGTGTTTACCGCTGTTTCACGCGGACACCCACTTTTTGTCTGCTCGGTGGGACGCCTAACCCCGCATTGACAGAGCAAGAAAGCACGCTGCTCCAGTGGTCTGGTGACACGATGCGTCGATGCCAAGAGTCAAGGCGGCATGGAATCGAGTTCCAGAAATTTGGTTGACACAGAGCAGGACCGCGTTCGTGCGCGCACGTTCCCTGCAGGGCCTTGCAGGTCCTTCCATGTGATGAAGTGAGACAGAAGCCTTTCATATAGCTTGCGTCCTTGCTGATGCTCTGCGAAGTCGTGTCATCAAGCTCGAGACAAGCTTTTGTATTGATGAAGGCATGCAGACGCACAGAGAGAGTGCGGACTTCCAACTATATGCCGACTTGCTGCATGCATATGCCGAGACCGGCCATGTTCAGACGTACGTTCTGCAGTATTGCGCATTTCGATTGAGATTTCAGCCACGACGACCATCGCTTTCCCTTCGTACCAACAACAATCCCGCCAAAGAACACCGTGGGAAGATCGAAATTACGGGAAAGAACGCAATGCCAACCACGTCAATGAAAATTGTCGACGATTTCGAGGACAGACTTGAAGCTCCGAATCGAATCAGGCTCACCCAGCATTCACATGGACGCCACAATGGACCCTGTACTTCCCTGTGTGGCTTGGACCTGACGGCATCGTCGGGGAGGTGATGGATGCGTACCAAAGACGTATATTGACTTGTAGTGAGCAACACAACACAAGTTCGATGCGAGAATGAGCCTGAGCGGAGCGTGGCCACACAATACACGAAGAAGCTCCGTTTCAATGTGAGCGAGCCCACATCGTTGATCTCGAAACCTGGTAGTTAGCCTGAAGCCTTGAACTCCCCGTTTGCCAAGCTCTGTACAATATCACGATATCCGAAAAGAATCACGAGAATCGTCAAAAGGGCAGAGGCCATCCGCCAGTGATTGTATTCGACATCGGTCAGATCGCCGAAGTTGCCAGTAACGGCCATCAAGCAGCCAGCTAAGTTGCAGTGCTGTACTTATCAAAGCTTCCCGTCCCGGAGTCGAATTACTTGCTTCTGCCGTTGTCGGAGCTAAAGTTCCGGTGGCTATGAAAGAGTCGCCGTCACTGAAACAGCGAGAGAGAGAGAGACGACCGGGTGTGGTCAATGCGCATAACAAGACTGTCTGCCAATAAACAGGGTTGCTCGACCTATCTGCACGTCTGCATTGTCGCGAGGTGTATGAGAGTCAAGACCAGGTGTTCTCGAGAGACACGTTGATTGAGGCCGCAAGTTTCATTATTTTTCGCTGTTCCTGGCCGCACAGCCTTTCAACACTAGCTCTGTCGACTTGCATGTACAAAAGTCCACTTCAATCCTGCTCGAGCGAAGCCTGTTGACAGAGGAGCAAAGGGCGGAGGGGCAAAGGCTGGTGCTAGCTGCAGACATTGTTGAAGTTGAGGCTGGCGTTAGCAGCGTGCTAGCATCGAACAGGGCGTCTATTCCGCTCTAACACGGTCACCATACACACCCAAATGCTCCGTCAAAAGAAATCGCAAAATGCGAGATGGGTAGAGCCATTTTCAGAATCAGATCTTGGGAGGGGTTAGCCCTAGTTGACGATAGACGTGAAACTGGATTACATGGAGGAGAAGAAGCAATTTTGCTGAAACGGGCACGCTCGGGGCTTTACCAGAAAGCAGTCACCTGAGACGTGCTTGATTCAACTCTAGGGGCCGTTCGTCCACTTTCCGGATTCAGGGTCGAAAGTGAGTTCCCATACAAACTGGTGCGTCCGTGGATTAGGCACCAGAGTGTCGATCGTAGCAGCGTCAGGTTCGCTATCACCACATTGAATGAATTGGGACATCTTGTGGTGGTCGCTAGCATACCAGACCCTCGAATATGGCCCGGGCTGGTAGTCGGCTTTAGATCCAACGTAAAGAATATAGGGTTCAACATAAGCCGGTATGTAGTGCTGACTGCTGCCAGCGCATATACCTACGACCGGATGAATGTCTTTGTAGGCGTTGCCGGCAATGGTGAGACAGTTGGCCATGTCGCTGCCTGCGGGAGCCCTCTCCCATTGGCCGTCACCATTGATCTGATAACTTTCGCCCAGCCTGCATTCCTGCCAATCGCTTACGATGCTGACAATCACTCCGGGTCTTGACTCGGTGAAGGTGTTTGCAAGAGCGTACTTGGTTTGCCACTCGAAGGTCGTGATTGGGCCAGGACGAGCCCGCTTCCAGATCACATTGATTCTGTCGATGCCGTCTGGGCCAACCATTGAGTGACCACAGCACAGAACCTTGTCACGAAGTGCTTCACAGTCGTGCTCGCTTTCTGTGACGATGATCTCGCGGCTGCCGCTGTCAGTCATTGTGCTGCTCACCGCAAAAAGTTGGTCGATGCAAAGGTAAGTGTATGTCTTTGACGGAAGAATGTGTATGGTTACTTGTTACTGACCTGAGCTTCGAAGAAGAGATATATAGGTGAGATGAAATGCTTGCCGAGAAGGCTATCTCGTTATGACTGTATCGAAGGTTGAGTTCTTGTTCGATGATGGGATGAGCGAAAGAGCCCAGAACGGCCTGGGCTCTTATGCTTTTCGACGAGCCCTTTCTCCTACTAAAGAGCGAGCTGCATTGTTGGGTCAAGCGGCAAGCGTTGCACTTACCCCTACGCACAGAGCACGAGACCATCTGAGGTGACTGGGTGGACGGTCCAACAATATTCCTCTTAAAACCAGCTCGATCGCATGAAGCGATACTTAGTCCGACACGGGATGATTGCATTCCAGCACCGCACGGGACTATCACACACGATCCCCGTGCGATGTCCGAACCATGTAGTGAGCTGATACATCGGTGCCCAGAACGACAACGAGAGAACATTGATCCCGGAAACCGGGGTTGCAAGGAGAAGGACGTCTAACGCGCGCGTTCCTTGGCAGTTCTATGCAGGGACTTGGTTCTCTGTGTCGGTGCGGGGGAATCGAGTTAGCTAAAAGGCGGAACTTGCTGAGCACTGCACCCGTCACCTGCTTACCTTTCCCAGTCATGCTGTGTGGAAGCGTATATTCGCGCGCGAGACTACCATTTGTTGCACCCCCGCCATGATTTGTATACTCACCGAGCAGACGTGGTTACAGATGTCAAACCGTGTCAACTGTACGCGACGACTACCTTGCCTTGTAGCGTGATGATTGGTGCCCCTTTGGAAGGCTGGTACAGTTCAGGTTGGTTTTGACGAATCACGATGTATTTTGGTGCAGAGAATCGCAGTCCAACACGCATACAGTATTTCATTGGGAAAGAAAAGTGTGCATTCGTTGATTTGTATTATTGAGTTCATCCCGTCAAGGATGGCAGTCGACGTTTGAGAATGACTCGGAAATGTCTGATGTAAATTGTGGCCGAGAAATTCGGATGCATATTCGGATCGATCGTTCCGAGATGGAGTCATATGCTGCGGGGTTCCGTGTCTAGCCGCCCATGGCCGCGTCACATGCTTGTAACAGCTGCAAGCCCCACTCCAGGGTCTTCTCGCCAACGCTCTTGGCTATTGCTCTGTCTTCTGAACCACAAACGCTTACACACATTTGCGACACCATGGGCAAATTCTACGATCACATCCCCGAGAGTTTGCACGGCTTTCTGCTGCGGCAACACCTCTTCTTCGTTGCGACCGCGCCGCTGCAAGGTGGTTCGGTCAATGTCTCGCCCAAAGCCAACGAGGGAGCGTTCCAGATAGTCGACTCGCACCGTGTACGCTACGCTGACCTGACAGGTTCGGGCAATGAGACCATCAGCCACCTCCTTCAGCCGGACAATGGACGCATCACGCTCGCCTTTATCAACATCGAAGAAGGTGCACCCAACATTGTGCGAGTGTACGGCAAGGGGACCGTGTTTGAGCGCGCCATCGACGCCGAGTTTGACAGCAAGTGGCAGGCCGAGCATGGAGGTAAGCCAGTACCCATCGGTCTGCGAGCCATCATCGATGTGGCGGTGCACACGTGTGCAACATCCTGCGGGTACAGCATGCCCATCTTCCACTTCCAACGCAAGCGCAGCGTCTTGGACGAGTACATGGACAAGCTCGATCGACCTGGCGGGATCGAGGCGTTGCACAAGCAGAAGAAGGTCACCTACCCACCCGTCGATGCCGAGGGCGTCGTTGTCGAAAAGGGACACGGCCAGGACGGTCAGCAGGTGAGAAAGATGGCTTCGGCCTTGGAGCTTTACTGGGCGGTGTGCAATACTTTGTCGGTGGATGGTCTGCCTGGTATGCGGTCTGTGGCACCGCTGACCAATGTGGAAGAAAAGCAGAGGCTCTTGGCGCTGGCCAAAGAGCATGATGCTCTGCAACCCCCGCAGGATGACTTGGGCCCGATCATAAGCCATGCCGAGGCCGTCTCAAAAGACAACCTCAAACAATCCACGGCAGCACAAGCTACAGCCGTGGTGCAACCGGTCAACGTGTTGCACCTCTCGGCGGCCTTTGCAGCCGGCTGCATCTTGACCTTCGCTTTGCTCAATGTTCAAATGCCCACCGTGGTAATATGAACAGGATCGAGCGTAGCACGGTATGCATGTAATCCGTACGCACCGACTAACCTTGCCTAATCCGGACGTGATCGTGAGTCGACCGCGCCAACAGCGCACTTGTCATTGTCGGCCTGTGTGTGGTTGTCAGCAAGCAAAAGAGAGTCTGTCAGTCGAAACGGTCACTATCCCTCCACTCGATTCAAGATCACCGAACTCCAGACTTTTGTTTCCTTGCAATCCCGCAACGAGCTGACATTGCTGTTCGCGCTGATTCTGTATACCCCAGCTTCAGATGAATAAGGTTCAGGCAAGGGGGTTGCGGACCGGCGACGCTACTTTTCGATATGCCGTTGCCAGAACATTGGAGGACGCAGCAGACGCAACCATGCTTGCTTGTCATCGTTTACCATTGTTGGTGATGCGGGGTAGACAGACTGAAGCGAGGGGAAGGGGGTCATGCTTGGCTTGTGCGCGATCATTGTCCTCGTCTAGCGAACACATGGCTTGACGAAACGTGTCTGGGGTCCATCCTTCATCAAGTCGCTGCATCGGCTTTGGGGTCCAATTGTTCTATTTGTGAGGTTGCCGGTCATGTTAGAGCTCAAGGATATCAGTTTCGCGTGGCCATGCTAAGATGTCCGTTAGCGTCGTTTGGGAAGCTTTCGCTTGCGATGCCAAATTCGGCTAACGCACGCCAATCTATGCACCATTGGGCCAGCGCTACTGCACCTTTTCGGTTTCATCTGATCCGATGCTTCGACGGTCGCTGTCGTGTTCATCCACGCGCTTGACTCGTGATGGCTCTAGCCTAGACGCATCTCGGCAATCACGGTCACGGTGTGGAAGCCCTTTGCCACCGGCAAGAATATTAGCGTCAAAAAGTCATACATGCCTGCATCACCGGTCTTGTTCTCTGCCATAGCGTCTCTAGCCGAATCTTCCGGAGATCTGCCGTCCTCGCATCGTCGTCTTGAGGTCACGATGATCTGATCACAACGTCTCGTACGCAACCGCCGCCTGTCTTGGCCAACAAACACTTGGAGCGGCTGTGACGCCGGTCACGTCTCCTGTGCCGGCGACTGTTGGACCACGAGACCGCGCTGCTCGCTTAGCCGCCGATCTAGCTCGCGTACAACAGCCTTCTGCACCCTGACCGGCTTTCTCGCCTCTCCACACTTTGGTCTTGGAAGGATGTGAGGGCACGACCTGCAGTGGAAGGCGGGAGGGCAAGCTATCGAAGCTTACGCGGTTGTCTGCGGCAGAACAACGCCGATGGGCGTTCGTGACAACGTTCTGACATTCGAAGCCGCTGGCTGACTCTTGCCAAAAATCGCACCAATTACATTGCCGGTCCGAGTGGACGGATGCGCGGCTTCCATGCAACTTTGTTCGAATGGCAAGGCCTGCTGCAGTAGGTGAGACATGATGTGCAGCTGTCATTGGCGCTAGATACATTGCCGGTCCTGGTGCGCTTCCATGCATCGTGAGCGGCTTGCGTGCTCTGCTGGCCAGCTCTCTCTGGCGATCTTCTCGAAGATATCGCCTTCTGACTCTGGCAACCGCTCTCCCCGCGAGGCGGCCTCTTGGACATGGACTCGACGTCAAGCACATCGACGTGCCTTCGCAAAGCTATAAGTAAGGCCACTTTCTTGACCTCCTTTCCTGGCCTTGTCCATCATCACACCACTCCCCAAAGCAATCCGCTCAAGATGAAGTTCTCCACCGTCCTCGCCCTTGCCACCGCTGCCGGCGCCGCCATGGCCAGCCCCATCTCGACCGAGTCCAACGAGACCACCGAGAACCTCTCCAAGCGTCAGTCGATCAACTACGTGCAGAACTACAACGGCAACGTCGCCAACTTCAAGTACAACCAGGGTGCCGGTACCTACTCTGCCAACTGGAACAACCCTCCCGACTTTGTCGTCGGTCTCGGCTGGAGCCCGGGTAGCGGATCGCGCACGGTCAACTTCTCCGGCTCCTACTCGACCAACTCTGGCTCGTACAACGCCGTGTACGGCTGGCTCAACAACCCTCTGACCGAGTACTACGTCGTCGAGAACTACTCCTACGACCCTTGCTCCGTCGGCGGAAGCCAGACCGTCGGTTCCGTCACCTCGGACGGCTCCACCTACAAGATCTGCAAGCACACCCAGACCAACCAGCCCTCGATCCAGGGCACCAAGACCTTCGGTCAGTTCTTCTCGGTCCGTGCCAACAAGCGCAACTCGGGCTCGGTCACCCTCTCGAACCACTTTAACGCTTGGAAGAAGTACGGCTTCGCCAACGGCGCCGCCAACCCCGACTTCAACTACCAGGTCTTTGCCACCGAGGCCTTTGGCGGCTCCGGTTCGTCGTCCATGACCATCTCTGGTTAAAAAGCAACGCATGCCAACCCTCGGGAATGATAAGCTCGACGATCGATCACGGGATCTTCGCTCGCAAAAGAGTGGGGACTTGGCAGTCGGCCAATGCGACAGTCGATCCAAAACAAAACGTTGAGCTTTTTGTATCTCACAGCACGCGCACGCATACGGAATGGGAACCCTTTTTGGAATGAAGCAACTTGAGTTAGAGCGATGATGAGACCCATGTGCTTGGGACTTGCCGAAGAAGCCGCATTCGTCTTCGGATATACAGGAGATTCCAATAACATTCGTCAGAGACTCTTCGCATTGTTCTACGCAGCAGCGATAAGCGACTTGTTAACGTGCACCAGCTCGTTCCTCCATGCGGGCAGCTCTTCTGTCGGAAAGTATCCATCCCTGCAGTTGTCGAAGTGCACCCTCGGCAAGCGGTCAAAGTAGTCATCCCACTTGCTCTGCAATGCCTGATCCAGACTCTGCACCTCGCCTTCGGGGAAGAGGTTGTACCAGAGACGTCGACACAAGCTCCCCTGGCACGCCTTGAGGTTCAGCAGCAGACTGTCGAGCCTTGACGCCAGTCGTTCGGATTCACTGTCTGTGCTGTTCAGCGCACCATACAGCGTCGAGTTGGAGAGCAGGTTGTTCATCTGCACCGAGTCGATCGTCATGTCGTACAGCTCGCGTTCGCCCGTACACCAGAGAGTGTAGGCGTAATCGTGACCCTGCTCCTTGATGCGTAGCGTTCTGTACTTCGACAAGATTTTTCCACCCAGATCCGAGTACTTGCCCTCAACTGCTCCACCGACTTGGGACACCCAAAACTCGCTCAGGTGGTGGGTCGCCGTTCCGCTCTCTCGGGAACTCGGTTTGTCGCCGGCGGACCAGTCGATCACCCTCCCGTCCAGGTCGTAGCTCGGTTCCGCTCCGGCGTGGTGTACGATGGTGGCTGCGAGATCAATGTTGCTGTGCACGCCGTCGTTTCGGACGTTGGCGGATATACCGGGACCTCGGACGATGAGAGGAACGCGAATGTCTTCTTCGTATCCCGTGGTTTTGCCTGGTTGACGTCGATGTTCGCCTACAGTGTACCCGTTGTCGGAAGTGTAGATGAAATAAGTGTTGTCGAGAATGCCCAGCTGCTCTGCTTTCCTCAAAACAGCATCGACCAGCTCGTCGACAGCCTGCAACGCACGCAAGCGATTTCGATACCATTCATCCAGGTAGTCCACGACGGTATCGTTCAACCTCGCAATGTCCTTGACGTAGCTGGCACCGGACGCATTTACGGGGTTGAAGTTGGCCTTTCGTGGTGCAACGTGATCTGCAAATAGGTTTCGGTGACGATCGGCGGGGACAGGGTCGGTGAAGGTGGAAACGCCATTGACGGTCTCGGTCTGAGCATGTGGTCCGATGGGTGCGATGCCGACGAAGAACGGCTTGTCATGAGAAGCTGCCTCGTCGAGGTACTCGAGACCAAAGTCACGGACCGTGTCGGTGCTGTAGTTGCCCGGGTAGGAGACGAGCTTGGTGCCATCGATGGCGTACGAGGCGTTCTTGTAGACGTAGGTCTGCGGATCAGAGAGCAAGGCGCTTCGGTTGAAGCCGAGAACAGGGCTGGTCTTCCAATTGGTGACCGTGTTGCCGTTCATCAGCTTGCCCGTGTAGTAGGTGTTGTAGCCTGCGGACTGGAGCCAGGTGGGCAGCCAGTCTTTGCGATAGCCCTGAGCAACGAAACGAGTCCAGCCGCCAAAGGGAAGCACGACGTTGGTGACGTTGTGCGAATGACCGTGCTGACTTCGTAGGAATCCGACGCGGGACGGACAGCAGACGGACATGGGCGTGTAGAAGTGGGTGTAGTTGGTGCCATGCTGGCTCAGCCATTTGTGGAGATGGGGCATGATGTCGGGGTTGGCGGTGGCATAGTCCTGATCGTCGGCGATGATGTAGACAAAGTTGGGCTTCTTGGGGTCTCGCGAAGCAGTCCGCGCGGGACGCGCCAGCAGCGAGACCACGAGCAACAACAGGCTGACGATGTTGGTGGCGAGCATTTCCGAAAGAATCTACGGAGCAAGACGAAAAGACGACGTTCGATTTGCTTAGGGTTTTATATGTACGATTCAGACGACCGGCATGGCATTCGGAAGACGTGAGACGATGGAGATGACGTGCTACACAGAGTACCAGACTGCTGGGTCGGAGAGCGTGGCTGTCAAAGTTGCACTAGACTGACGGCTCGGTATATTCTTCGGAAAGATCTGCACTTTTAGCGTCGACAACCACATGGTCACCTCGCCGAAAATTTGCTTCGTTTTGTCGCCAGCAGCAATGGTGAGCACGCCATATCTCGCTTCTTCCCTTTTTCCGTCATTTTTGCGGTTATATGACAGAGACTTAGCATTACGGCACCGTAGAAGCAAAGGTGGGGCCGAGATACGATCCGTCACGAGTTGTCAGCCATCCCAACAACGAGTGGGTGTCGGTCGCATAGCCTGGTGTTCGTCGTTGCCGTCCTTACCGCTGCCCGCATCAGTGTTGTGAACAGGTCGCACTATTGGGCTCATCAATCAGCGTGCTTGTGCGCCAGTGACTCTTCTCAGAGCAGTCAAGACCAGGCACGCTCACCCACTTTGCGCTTGGATTGCCCATGTGGGTACCGGATGGCCAGATGAGGCTGAAGCAACGGCAGTCTCTTGACATGAGTGTTGATCGTCAACGCCAATGTTTGCGGCGCGCTCTTGGACATGAGACCGTCGGGAATGCCGAATATGGAAAAATGCCGACGGTTATCCAATTTTCATTCTCCGCGCACGAGCCTCCGTTGGAGCAGATCGAGTCAGGGGTGGCATGCTGTCGTTGCTTGTGTACTACTACCACCACCATCCCCCTCGGCAACCATGTCGTACCAGGAAAAGCACCCGCTGCTGCCCACGACCACTGCACCTCCCGCCTCGAACCGCAGACGCTATCTTTGGCTAGCCGTGCTCCTCCTGCTCGCGCTTCACCACCTCTGCTCATCCCGCAGCAATCACTCTGCCTCCGAATGGGGAAGTTTCCCCCGCACGGACGACCCGTTCCACTTTCTACCATGCACCAACACCACCCTGCCCCCACCTCTCGATGACCCGAACCCGCTCGCTTTGTGGACCTCGCTGTTCGATCCGGACCGCACGCACTGGTCCTTTGGCAATTCCTCCGGCCTCTACCTGTGCGGGTATCTCGACGTGCCGCTCGACTACACCTCCCCTTCCGATCCGCGTATCGCCCGCCTGGCCGTAACGAAGCTGCAACACTCTCCCATCGCTTCCAACCGCACGCTGATCGTCGAACCTGGTGGACCGGGTGGATCGGGCACCAATCTGGTCTGGCGCAAAGCGGAGAAGGATTCGCGCATGTTCACCGACTCGACCTGGGACGTGTTGGGTTGGGACCCTCGCGGGGTCAACGCCAGCCAACCCTCGATCAGCTGTTTCCCCTACGACGCGGATCGCGATCGTTTTGCGTCAACCTTCCTCCGCGACTCCCCCTCTCCGCTCCACGAATTACTCAAAACCGACTCGCTTAACCAAGCCATCTTTTCGGCGTGCTCCCGGAAATACGGCGATGTCGCGACCATGCTCACCACCGCCTTTGTCGCACGCGATCTGGACGAAATCCGCAAAGCCCTGCGCAGCGAACACGTGGATGGGTACTTTGTCAGCTATGGAACGGGGATCGGTCAGACGTATGCGAATATGTTCCCCGATAAAGTGGGCAGGTTGATGCTGGACGGGACCGAGTATGTGCGGGATCAGAGGTTGATCGGTGGGTTTGGCTGGGCTGCACTGGACAACATCACCGCTGCGTTCGAGGATGGATTTTTGGGCGAATGCGTCGATGCCGGTCCTGATCGCTGTTCGCTTGCCAAACCGCTTCCGGGTTCCACCGAACTCCCCACCAAATCCGACCTGATCTCTACGTTTGACCAGCTCTTTACCAACCTCACCCTTCGCCCCCTCCCCGGTTGGACCGAGAACTCGGGCCCGCTGATCATCACCTACACCTCGATCATCTCGCTCATCTACACGTCGCTCTACGCTGCCTCCACGTGGCCCCCTCTCGCCAGCGCGTTCCACGACCTGCTGCAGGGCAACACGAGCGCGATCTCGCAGTACGTGGACGATTCGTGGGAGTTCGATCCGCACTTCCCTGCGAGGCACTCGTCGGACGAGCTGGGGATGCTGGTGATCTGCTCGGATCAGTGGGACTCGCCTCTACCCGCCACCTACGATGTCGCGACGAATGGCGAGCAGTGGTACTTGGATCTGTGGAAACGCATGGTTTCGCAGTCGGAGATCGGCGGCAACGGTCGCTTCTTCGACATCCTACCCTGCCGACACTGGAACGCCACCTTTGGTCCTCCTAAAGAAGTATACCGCGGCGCGCTCAACCACACCCTCTCCCATCCCGTCCTGCTGATTGCAGAGACGTACGATCCAGCTACACCGCTGCGCAACGGTCGTCGGTTGTTGGACGAGATGGGTGACGGAAACGCAAGGTTGATCGCGTTGGATGCGTTCAGCCACTCGTCGAGGGATTTGAGCAAGTGTGCGATGGACATCATGCGCAGGTACATGCTGACCGGCGCACTTCCAGACGAAAGAGAGACTGGATGCAAAGCGGACCACAGACCGTACAGGGATGTCGAGGCGCACAGTTGGAAGGACTACATTGCTGAGCTGCGGTCCCTCTCGCCGAACCTCGTCAAACGGTATCGCTGATTCGCTATCGAAAATTTCGCTGTCGCTTCCTGAACCGATCCAATACCACCTGATCGGTAGCCATCTGCTTTGCGTACCCTCCCTCGTTGCGTGGCTTTGCGTGTTGAAATCGAGCCTGGGCATACGCCGAATCGCTCTCGTCCCTCGTCGAAGTTCGCTGCTGTTCTGCGAGCTTGCGTTTGGCCGCCTCCGTCTGTTGAATGTTGTTCATCCGCGTATCAATCCCCAAGTCCACCTCCGGAACGGACGTCAACATCTGCGAAGAGAGTGCGACGTTTCCTTCTCGCTGCTCTTCTGAGAGTTCGGGTTTGACGGAGCGTTGCAGTTGTCGATACTTTTCGGCTAGCGCGTAGAGCGAGTCTTGCGGGTTCGCTGTGGCAGCAGTGTCTGTGGCGGTTTCATCGTCGATGGCGCTGGAATGGGGGTTTCGTTTGGACATCTCCTGTTGGATGTAGGCCATCATGTGCTTGTCGACGTCGACGGTACCCGTTTCACCTTGAAAGTTGTTTTTGCGAACCAGACGACGTGGTTTGTTTGCGTCTGCGTCGTCGTCGCTCTCTTCTTCTGCTCGATCCATCAATCCACCGTTCTTCATCTGCTGCTCCCATCGTTCTTCCTCCAGTTGCGATGCGGTTTTTGAGTTCTGGCCCTTTTTGCGCCGCCGTTCGCCCTTGTTGAGCCGTTCGAGCTCGGTGCCGGTGGGTTTGCGCGAGAGGGAGCGGAGAGCGATGAGGTCTGCTACTGATAGGTCCTCGTCGTCGTTGGTGGATTCTGGCGGTGTTGTAGAAGTCGATGGTTGATCGTCGATGACGCTGGAAGAGATGCGAGAGGTCGAGTGCGCTTTGCTGCGCTTCTTGAAGAGCGGGGTCGAGCTGGGACCCGCTTGCGAGGACTGATCACTCATTGTTCAAGGTGGTGATGGTGGTGGTGATGAAAAAGAATCGCAAATTCAGCATTTCTTAATATTCCCCATCTCACATTTTCTAGAAATCATCATCGTTCATCATTGGCAGGCAACAAAGGGGTATCATTTCATCGTTACAATGCATGAACCGACTCGAGTATACTCTTGAGCGCATGGATCGAATGCAGATCCTGCAGATCGTCGTTGCCACCCAACAGTCGATCTTTCACCAAAATCGTGGGGAATGTTCTGTGACCTGTCAATTTGGCCAACAGCGGTTGGAGGTGGTGAGCGTCGGGTCGAAGGTCCACCTCGTACGCCGTGTAAGTGGCATTGAGCGAAGTGAGCAGTGCTTTGGCTTTTTTGGAAAAGGGGCAGTAGCTCTTGCTGAACACGGTTAGGCCCAGCGATGGACGCACGCGATCGACCCAATCCTGGCGCGACAGGCTGTACAGCTGATGGGCGTCGTTCAGGATGGAAAACTTGGCCGACGAGGGCGATGTGTCTGCAGTGGTCTCGTTCAGCTTGGGCAGGCCTACCTGAGCAAGCAACTGCGTAAACTTGTTCGTGGGTCCCGAGTTGAGTGTTGCAAACAGCCCTGCTTGCAAAGGTGTGCGGTCAAAGTAGACGTCTTGCCAGTCGTCCTGCACCGCGTACGCTTTGCTCTTGAGTGCTAGCAGCAAGAGCATGACGCTTTCGTCCTTGACGCTGTACTTGGTCATCTCGCTGACCTGCAGTGACGACAGCTGCGCGTTCGACGTCGTTGTGCCAGACTCGAGCTTGTCCTTGAGTTGCGTGAGCTCGGCAGTACCCTCGATGTGCATGTTGTCGAGCAACGCATTGTGCAAGTGACCGTCCGAGTCGAGGTGCGCATCATTGAGGGCATGTCCACTTCCAACCAGCTTGCCAGCTAGATCGTTGATCGCGGGCGACGCTTGGTGGAGTGCACCGAGCATATGCTTCGCCGGATCCGATTCGAGTGGTGAGCCCACATCGCCGTTGTAGATCAGCATCAAGTAGATCGTAGGTACCACCAGAAGCAGCACCAACAGCTTTTTGCGTCGAAGCAGTGCCAGCGGTGGCAGACATAGCGAGGGCGTGCGAGTTGCCGGTGCAGCCAGGCCAGACTCGAGGTCGTGCACCAAGCGCTCCTTTGATTCTGCTGCTGACATGGTTGCTATCGGCCAAATGGAAGCAGGAGGATGCGAGGCATAAGGGTCCAATGCAACTGAGAAGCGCATGCTTATCCGGTGTCGCAGCGGGCTGACTAAGCATGATCTAATCCACCCTTTCCACCTCCACAAGTCGACATTTCGCTCTTCAAAACTGAGCTTTGCTCTGCTCTGCCCTTCGTATCACCATCATCTCACCTTATCTTCTACGACAATGCCCGTATTCCAACCAGCAAACCAGATCAAACTCACAAACGTATCCATCGTGCGTCTGCGCAAGGGCGGCAAACGCTTCGAGATCGCCTGCTACAAGAACAAGGTTCGCGAATGGCGCACCGGCGTAGAGACTGACCTCGACGAGGTGGTCCAGATCGAAAACGTCTTTGTCAACGTATCCAAAGGTCAAGTCGCGCCCTCGGACGACTTGCAAAAGGCTTTCGGCACTGCAGATGTCCCAACCATCTTGCAAGAGATTCTCAAAAAGGGAGAGTTGCAGGTGGGAGAAAAGGAGAGGCAGCACGAACTCTCCAATACCTGGAAGGACATTGCGACGCAGGTGGCTGAAAAGTGTGTCGACCCGGCAAGTCAGAGGCCCTACACTGTGGGTATGATCGAAAAGGCCATGCACGATGTACACTATTCCGTAAAGACGGGCAGAAGTGCAAAGCAGCAGGTAAGTACACATTTGCGCATCTATCCTCCTTCCATTCAGATCCACTCGCTCACCTTTTTTCCCTTGAAAACAGGCTCTGGACGTCATCCGTCTCTTGCAAGAGAAAAAGACGATCCCCATCGAACGTGCCCGCATGCGCATCCGCATCACCATGCCCAACAAGGACGGCAAAAAGATCAAGGACAAAATCCTCGCCCTCACCGACAAGGTCGAAGACGAAGACTGGTCAGACCAGTGGGAGCTCATCGCCTCGATCGATCCAGGTGCGCTCAAATCCATCAACGAGCTCATCGAGTCCGAGACCAAGGGCAGAGGAAACGTAGAGACGCTCAATTTCACCACCATCCGCGAAGGCGACGGCGATGAAAGGTTGGAGTGATGACCGAACAATCCTTAGTTTTTCATTTGCTCGAGCGCAACACTCTTTTTTGTGCAGCGTCTGTGTTTCCTAGCAACAACCACCAAGAGCGCGGCTACGACTTCTTACTTGGCAAAATGCAGCGTCCACGATGGCAACAACCTCCTGGCGTGCACCTCTTCCGTCGTCAGACCCGGCGTTCCGTACGTCAGCGGACTCAACCACCAGAAGCACAAGATCAGCAGCGCGATCGTCACGCCCATAAACGCCCTCGCCTGCTGGGGCACCACGTTGTCCATCCTAGGCCGGTAGTGCCTCGCGGTCAGCAGCGGTCCCGGCTTGGAGATGGGGAACTGGATCGTCTCGCTCGTGACAAAGTTGAGCACACCACCGGCCGCCAAGCACGCACACACGTGCGCCGGCAGGTAGTGGTGAATAAACAGCTGGCGCGACATCAAGAAGAACGGCAGGTAGTGGCACGCCCACGCCACCACAAAGAAGCCCGTCGAGTTGTACAGCCTGTTGCGAACCGCGCTCGGAATCGGATAGATGCCACGACGACGCGCCAGCAGATCGGCACCCAGAACACCCACAAAGATGGAAACCGCTAGAATGGTGCCCCACCACGAGACGAGGTTGCCCACCATGTAGATCTGATGCTGCCCCTTGTCCTGCGTCCAGAACGAGATGCCTTGCAGCAGGAACGGCCAGTTGATCGGTCCGCTCGCGTACGGGTGGCTCTGCGTCAAGCCCGCGTTCTGCTGCAGCATCTGCAACTGAAGCTCGAGCCATTTCTTGAAAAAGTTCATCTTGACCACCTTGCGAGCAGGAAGAGGCAACAGTCTGTCTTGGTAGTCCGGGCTGTCGGGGCTAGGCGTGAGCTCATCGACGTACCACAGGCACGTCTTGTCCATGGCGTTCTTGTTGCCGTTGACCTCTTGCTGGTTGAAGGCCCAGTCGGGGAGCGCTTCGCCGTGGGTCCACATGCAGACGCGTGTGTTCTTGTGGACGAGTCGGAACCAGGACGCCTTGCTCTTGATCGCCTTGTCGGGACCATCTGCATCGTCGAGGTGAAGCTCAAAGAGCGTGTCGTCGTAGCGCGAAGTGTCGTTGGCGGGGACGGTGGTGAACTCCTCGTTGGTGGCCATCAGGGGCGATGCGACGTCGTGGGTGAGCAGGAACGAATTGGTGTTGATGTGCAGCAGTCGGATGGTATCCTTGTGGTGCACGACACGACCTGCGGCTTCATCGTCCGGGATAGGCTTGGTGGGGATGATCTGCCAGATGTTGTTGGTGTCGTTGTGCGGGTATCCAGTGACCTGCTGGCCTTGACTCGAGATGCGTCCGTCGTCGTACTTCAAAGGGTAGCGTTCAACGTGGGAGTGGAGCAACACTTTGGTGTTCTTGTGCATGAGCGTGAGCTGGTCGTAGTACTGAATGTCGCGGGCGTTGCTGAGCATCTCGTTGCCGGTGAGCGTCTGTTGGAATTGAGAGCTCATGAACGCGTCGCCGGGACCGCTCTTGATGAGGATGGCAAAGTGCACCCAGAACCAAAAGAGGTATACACCAAAGGGGAGGATGATGAGCGCAAAGAAACGGGCGAGAAAGTGACGAGCTACGTGCTCGATCTCGAGACCGCGTCGAATGTCGAGCAGCTTCCACAGATCCCACACGACGGCGGTGCCGATGGTCATAAAGGTGAGGAGGCCGACCATCTTGCAGCTCATGGTCAAAGCGAGGTTGACGCCAGTTGCGCAGAGCCATGCCCACCACTGGAAGGTGAACTCGTTGTATCGAAGCTTGTAGAAGCGAATGTACGAGTAGAGGCTGAGCATCATGAAGAGGATGAGGGACGCGTCGAGAAGGATGAGACGATCCTGTGCGACGTGGGCGTTGTCGAAAAGCAGGAGAGCGGCGCTAAAGACACCGATGACGGGAGCATAGCCGCTTTGGCGCATGATGGCGTAGATGAGAGGAACCTGCAAGCTACCGATGATGGCAGGAACGGCTCGCATTCGGATATAGGGGACATTGTTTTCGAGGTAGTTGTCACCGATCTGATCGAATTCAAAGTGGCCATCGAAACCGGCGAGGTAGCCTGCAAAAGCATTGATGAGCTTTGCAAGAGGAGGGTGAACGTCGAAGTGGAACTCGCGGCGGAGATAGTAGGCGGCAAACTTGCCAAAGTGAACCTCGTCGAAGACCACCTGATCCGGGAATGAGATCCTGTAGAAGCGAAGAGCGACGGCAAGGACGAAGAGAGCGAGCGTGATGATGGCATCCGCCGAGTGCGAATGGACGTCTGGGGAGACGATGCCCCAGTTTGACTGAGAGCGAAGCTTTGCTTCGGCTGTATCCGAGTGATCGGATCTGTGTGATGCGATGATGTTGGTCTCGGCTGCGGCGGCTGCGGCAGTGTCGTTGCGACGCGACCGCAGCGTCTGTGCCTTGGTAGCGTCGACCATGCTGACTGACTCGCTCTCGTCGGTTTGCAGCGATGTGGTGCAGTTGGACAGCGCGAGAGGTGAGAAGGAAGCAAAGCGAACAAGGCGCGCTGGCAGCGTTTTGGCTTTCTTTCTTCTCGCTCGCACGGCCGTTTCTTCGCTGTCGGCTCGAATTCCGATGGCTGTTCTCTTTTCGCATTTCAACTGGCTCTCGCTTCAACTGCACAATCGAATCAACTGTGATGCTGCGCAAACAAACAACGTAGCCTTCCGTCACCCGTGCTGCAATCGATTGCTGCGAAGAGTGTGCCGCAGATCGTGTAGTTGAGCGTTGATTCGCATGTGCCGACGACAGTGACCATGTGCGGTGAGAGCGCGTTTGCTGCGTGAGAAGCGTGTCGGCGATCCCGCCAATTCGGGATTCGGAGCCCAAAAAGCAAAGAAAGCTTCTCAGAAATCACATTTTGGCTCTTGAAAAGTGGAGCTCGCTGTCGGAACACACCCGACGCTGCCATCATCTCAACCCCGACTCGACCCAGCCCCGACTCAGGCGTCTGGCCAGCACAGATCATCACCATGGCAGCATCGCCGTCGCTGTCGAATCGAGACGGCATGGATGTCGACACTCCTCCTTCCGCCGCGGCATCAACATCGGGTGTTACAATCGAGGACCTGCTCTCCTCGAGATCCAACGTAGTCTCTGCCACCGATGCTGCCTTGTCTGCCCAACTCGATGCACGCAAACTGGCCCGCAATCTAGCCGTACCAACGTCGGATCCCAAAGTGAGGTTGCGGCTGCGTCAGCTCGGCGAGCCCATCACATGCTTCGGCGAGCGTGAAATGGACCGTCGCGAGCGTCTTCGCCAGATCCTCGCGCAACAATTGAGCACACAACAGCAGTCCGGCACTCCCACTTCAGGCGCGCAGTCCCATGCATCACAACAGAGCGATAGCGACAGCGAACAGAGTCAGGACGAAGACGAAGAGTTCTACACCGAAGGTCCACCATCCCTCATACACGCACGCCGCAAGATCGCTTGCTTTTCATTACAACGGTCCAAACAGAGGCTTGCTCTCCAACGTACAGAGGCTACCGTTCCTCTCACCTCGATCGTCAAACTACGCGCCAAAGTGTTCGAGCCCATCAAGACCTACACCAACCTTGGCTCACAAATCGGCGATGACCGCCCCGTATCCATGACGCGTTTTGCTCCGAACTCGCAACTGCTGGCTACTGCGAGTTGGTCCGGCAGCGTCAAGCTTTGGCAGGTCCCAAGCGCCACTCACCAGCTCACCCTTCGAGCTCACACAGATAAAATAGGTGGGCTCGCGTGGCATCCGCAAGCCACCTTGATACAACCTGCTTCTGCCGTCAATTTGGTCTCGGGCGCCGGTGATGCCTCGGTATGCCTGTGGAGTCTGGACAGCGATCGTCCGCTAGCGACATTACGCGGACACGAGGCACGCGTCGCAAGAACAGCATTCCATCCAACAGGTGATTACGTGGCGAGTGCCTCGTTTGACGGCACCTGGCGACTCTGGGATGTCTCCACCTCCGAGTGCCTCACCATCCAGGAAGGCCACAGCAAGGAGGTCTACTCGGTCGAGTTTCAGGACGACGGCGCGCTTGTAGCTAGTGGTGGCTTGGACGCCATCGGTAGAGTGTGGGACATGCGCACCGGCAGAACGGCCATGGTGCTCGACGGACATGCAAAGGAGATCCTTTCCATCGATTTCGCTCCCAACGGATACCAACTCGCCACTGCAAGCGGAGACGACACGGTCAGGATCTGGGATATGCGTGCACTCAAGTCCATCTACACCATTCCTGCGCACAAGTCGTCCGTCTCGGATGTTCGCTTCTTCCGCTCGCTCTCGCATCGCAAGCAGCCTTACTCGTTAGACGGCGAACAGGACCAAATCAGTCGCAACGGCCTCTACCTAGCGACATCCGGATACGACGGAATGGTTCGAATATGGTCGGCAGACGACTGGCAGCTTCTTCGTACCCTCAGCGGAGATGCTGGCAGGGTGATGAGCGTCGATGTCAGCTCCGACGGCGAGATGCTCGTCAGCGGCGAGTGGGGTCGCACATTCAAGCTATGGGGTTCACTCTGAGCCCAAAATTGACGCGCGAGACGCAGCGCAACTCACCCGCGACACGCTTAAACGCCAGCTCGGCTCGAAAAGCCTAAAATCTCGCCAGCAGCTGAACCCTCGAAACGACAGCAAAAAAGTGTTGGTCTCGGCTTTTGTGGCACGCACGGTCCACGAGAACACATAGTACCAGCTTGCCATCACGTATGCATGCATGCATACATGCACCGTTGCTTCTTGTCCAGAACACACCGCCCTCACGACCGCCATTCTGCCCGCATCTCGGCCTCGCGAGCGATCGTTCCGCCGACAGCCCCCTGCCGCCGCCATGTCCGCCTCATCCTCCTTTGCGTCCACAGCGTTCAGCCTCTACTCGGCACAACAGCAGATCGAGCATCGACGACCTCGTCTCTCGCGAATGTCGTTCGTCGGCGACTGTTTCCGAATCTCTGGTTCCGTCCTCCCTCGCATCTTTCCGTCGGTGCTCTGCCTCACCATCTATGCGACGGTGATCGCATTGGCCGATCTGGTCTGGCAGCAGCACTGGACGACTTCCTACTCCATCACCAGCTCGCTCTCTGTCGTCGTCGGCTTGCTGCTCGTCTTTCGCAACGGCACCAGCTACGATCGGTGGTACGAGGGAAGGAAGCTGTGGCAAGATGCAGCGACTACTACCCGCAACCTCGCCACGCTCATTTGGATCAACGTCGATGCTGACAAGGAGCCAGACAAGAAGCGCTCCAGGATCGAGAGGAAGAAACGAGCGCTGAGGCTCTTGACCGCCTTCATGGTCGCTGTCAAGTATGATCTGAGGGCCGAGACAGGGACCGATTGGGCCGATTTAAAGGGAATCTTGCCAAATGAAATGATTCGAGCCCGTGCTATCGACATCGATCCTACGTCGGCAAAGCACACCAGTCACCGCAGCGAGGACGCCGACGTGGAACAAGCTGCAGGCCCTGTCGGCAGCTCGGAAACATCTCCCCTGCTGCTCTCTGATGACCTCGCAGCACAGATCGACTCCGACCTGTCCTTGCCACACCGCATTCTAGCCGAAATCTTCGGCTACCTGGCCTCCACCCGTCGAGCCGGCCTGATCGACGTTATCGGCCCCGCCGGCTTCTCCCTCCTCAACACCCAACTCCTCGCCCTCTCCAACCTCACCTCTTCCATGCAACGCATCTCTACCACCCCCACCCCACTCATCTACGCGATCCACCTCAAGCAGTCCTGCTTCATCTACCTGCTCACCCTTCCGCTGGCTCTCGTGGGTGAACTCGGCTGGAAGATGGTCCCCTTTGTCAGCGTGTTCAGCATGATGCTGATCGGGTTGGAAGGCATCAGCAGCGAGATCGAGGATCCGTTCGGTGAGGATCAGAGCGATCATCCGTTGGATCTGTGGTGTAGTAGGTTGCGGTGGGAAATCGAAATGATCATCAAGAATGTCCAACCAGGATTGCATCAAGAGTGAATGGCATGCTTTCCGCACCCACAGACTTGCACTTTCAGCATGCAAGCAAGTTTCGGCCCGGACGGGCCACCACGGCGCTCTCTCACGACCATCAGTCCTGGTCAGCACTGCTTTCTCAAAATCTCATACCCTTGTCGCATTTGCACTTGCAGCAATCTCATTTGATCTCAAAATTCGGCATCAGCATCCGCCTTGGTGTGACAGTCTCCTCGCAGGTTCAGATCGCAGTCACAGTCGTGGTTGATGGTTCGTGTGGCGCTCACTGACATGTCCGATTTTTCGTGTCGCCAGCGCATTCGTGATCGATTGTCCGTGTCGTCAGGAAGGCGAAGAGCTTGGGTCCGATCGCAAGCTGAGTGGTTGTCACTCAAGATCCTTTCTATGAAAACAAAAGGTTTGGGTTGCGTGTAGAATACAGACGGGAACAGAGCAGCTCACCGACCCCCATGAACGCTTCCTCCGCCACCATAGTAGGAGCGTTGATGCTGATACTGTTGTTGCTGCTGGTAGGGATAGTGATGCTGCTGCTGCTGCTGCTGCTGCTGCTGTTCATAGTGATGGTGGGCGCCATTATTGGCGTAAGGTCGACCCTGGGTTTGAATGCCGCTCTGCTGCGGCTCTCCATGGGCACTGCCCAAGTCCTGAGACGAGCTGGGAGCGGGCAAAGTATAAGCAGGGTGGCTGCCGTTGTATGCGTGTGGCTGAGATGGCAGCGGCAGTGCCGGCGGTTGGTGCATCGAAGCATAATGCAAAGGAGGTAGAGTATCGGCGCTGCGCTTCCTCGGCTGTGATGGCCATTCGGACTGGAGTGGCGACTGCATCGAAGGCGATTGCTGGTATTGGCCCCACTGCGTCGTCGCATCTCCATTTGCAAAGCTTGGCAAAGACACGCCGTTGGGTGCAGGGACACCGTTGTCGATTGGATCGAACCAAGGCACGTTGTTTGTCCATTCGATCGCCGAGACGGGCTCGAAGAGGTCAAAGACAGGGATGTCGAACATGCCTCCCTGTCCGCCATTGGCGGGTGCGGTGGCGCCGGAAGAATGCGACTGCTGGGGCAAGCCCGAGATAAAGCTGGTCTGGAAGCCGTTAGAGAAGGACTGGGCGTGACTCAAACTCCCTTCGCTGCTGTTGACATTGACGATTCCATTGCTCGTCGAGCCATGGTCAGCTGGAGTGGAGAGTGGATCTTGGCGCTCAGCTGTTTGAGATTGGCGGAAGGCTGCGCTCGATTTCGGTGATCGTGCCTTGAGCGGAGGAGCGCCAGCAGATTGAGATGCAGGCTTGCCACGTCCAGGCGGTGTCGCCGGCGTCTGATCGCCGAGAATGTGCCGATATTGCAGAGGCACGGTCCTGTGCAGAGATGCGCCCAGCTTCCATTTTTGCATGACTTGAACCATTTCTCGGATGAAAAGCACGCCCACCTGAGAGATGCTCTTGCCGGCAGAGGCTTGTGGCTTCGATTCTGCGGGACTCGGAGGGAGGCTCGATAAGCGTCGACTTGGAGGTGGCATGCTGCCCCTCTTGGGACGGAGGGGCGGCAGGTATTCGTTGCGATCGCACTCCTCGAGCCTGTGCATGGTGTTGATGAGCGTGAGTATATGCATGTCGCCGGTGACGGGCAAGAACTCAAAGCCGTGCAGCGAGCAGGCGTTTTTCTCGAGAAAGGTCTTACATCCAGCAGTGACAAAGGCTGTGGTGAGCAGCAAGGGAGCGCCGGTGGCTTCGATCCAAAGAGAGCCGCGCTGCTTGCTAGTGGAAGTACCGGCTCTGCTCAGGATGTCAGGTTGCGACGAGCCGAGGCCACGATCGAAAAGGTGAAAGTTGCTGAGCATGAGTTGAGCTTGAGTGTCCCTGCTGTCAGAAACGAGGGTGGCGTGAGCTTGAAAGCTGCTGTCGTGCACGAGCGCATGCACGATCTCGTCGGCAGAAAAGCCGTGGTTGAGCTCGCCCGTCATGAAAGCGCAGATAGCCAAGCACGGCAAGAGCTCCTGGAGCGAATAGGACTCAATGGTGGACCAATCCTCGAGCAGAATTGCGGGTCGCACGCTTGCAAACGGGCTGAAGGCTTGCGCTTTGGCGGCTTGCCAGACCAGCTGCTTATGGGACGAGGAGGTTAGCAGGTCGAGCATCTGCTGTCGCGTCTCTACGGTTGTGGGTGTCAGCGAAGCAGGCGAGTCTGGCTTGGCGGAAGCAAGGATACGATAGAAGCCGGCGATGGTATCTTGGAAACGGGCCATGGCCTGCAGGCGGAAGATAAGACCTGTGCGGCCGGCTGATCGAAGAATACTGTCCTCGTCGAGACCTGGAAAGCGTTGCTCGATGGATTGAAAGGGGTCGCGGTGCATGCGCTCGATTTTGGCGCCGTCGTTGTCGATAGCAAGCATCGACTCTGCCTTTGCTACCATCTCGTCGAGCTGAATGGGACGAACGGTGGAGTTGACGATGGAGAAGTGGCCCTCCCAGATGCGCAGACTGATCCAGATGGAGGCACTAGCCATGTGTCTAGCAAGCAAGTCGCGGCGCTGCTGCGCTTGCTTGCGGTCGTTTGGGCGAGGCTGACGGCAAATGTCGACGACGTCATCGATGGCCTTGTCGAGATCGAGACCTCTGGCAACGGTGAGGGCGGAAGCTAGCAGTGATTCGCCGAGGAGACCATTGCCGCGCTCGGCCTGAGCAGATGCGGCGACGCTTGTGCCTACAAGAGATGGTTCGTGCGCCAAGAGGAGTTCGAGTGCCTGTACGGTGTACAAGTCTCGAGGAGTGGAGAGCAGGATTTGTGTGCCGAGCTGATCGACGAGCGTTGAGAGCTTGGTGGGGAGGGGATCGGTGAGCGGCATTGCATGACGGCAGGCGACAAGACACATGGAGCTGAGAAGGAGGGAGCTGGATACGGTGGGACGCTTGCGATGTTCGGTATAGATGTGATCGAGATCCGGAAGATGAGGATGCCAGAGCAGATAGGGCCTGAGAAAAGGCTTGAGATAGGAGAGGGTCTGGCGTGGGATGAGGTCGAGGATGTCAAGGTCTGTGAGGTTGCGATCGATGCGAGAGAGAAGGTAGATTGTGAAGCTGGGCTGCTGGGCTGCATAGTCGATGAGAACCGACATGGGTCTCCACAGCGATGTCCAGGTGCGTCCAGGAGGTTGTGCTTTGTTGGAAGTCGAAGAGGAAGACTGTGCGGAAGAGGCGGCAAAGTTGGGCGAAGCTGCCGAGCCAGGAGTTGGTGGTTTGCTCGTACGCGGGGATTGATCGGCATACTTTGACGAGGATGCAGTGCGTTCGCGCTGACGGTCGTAGGCACGCTGTGAGGCAGGAGAGTGGGTTGAGCTGGATGTGGCAGCATCGTCGACAATAGGGTTGAAGAATTGGACGGAGGCGAGCGAGGAGGCGGCATCAGTCCGGGAGCTTGGGGCGTCGTTGGAGGCGGATGCAGCGTGTGAAGACATGTCGGCGGCGCCGTCATGATACGTTCTGCGTTGATCCGAGAGACGAGCGGCAGCTGCAGCAAGTTGCTCGAGCGATCCGGGGCTGCGAGGTGGTGAGGATGGTAAACGAGACGAACTGGGCTCCTTTTTTATCCTTTTGGAAGGGGGAGATTTGAGATCGTCGTCCTCGATGTTGTTGGACGACGACGAGACTTTGGGTCTCCGTTTGCGATCGCCATCCCAGACGATGCAGTCGAGGCTCAGAACCTTGCATCGATGACAGGCAAGTTGGTGAGAGAGCGGCGTCATGGAGGAAGGAGTGGTGAGGCTCTCTTCTGGCAGCTCGCATCTGGCCTTCTTTTCGCGACATTTGAGACAGCTTCGTTTCGCGTACGCTCTGCGTCTTGCGGACTGCTTCTTTGGCGATTTGTCTTCGACGCTGCTCGGATCGGACTTGAAGTTGGCGAGCTCATCGTTGGAGTGGTGCTGGTTGGTGGACGAGTCGGCGACCATCTTTGAGAGAGGGTGTTCCCAGGGAGCGGCGGACGACGGGCACGAAGAAGGGTACACAGAGCTTTGCTGCGGCTTAGCGTTGGATGCCGAGCGACGACGACATCGCTGTTCTCGACTGCGGCCAAGTGTGCAAGGATGAGATCGAGTTGACGATGGCGGTGCGGAAGCCAAAGCTGAGTCGGATGGCGCAGCGAACCGATTCAATTCAATTCAATCCGATCCAATTGGTCGAATTCGCGGTCGAATGCAGCAGACAGCGGATGGTCCGATGAGGTGAAAGCGTGATGCACTCGAGCAAGCGGATGGGCTGCTCCGAAGATGTGCGAGAGAGGAAGGGATGGTGGTTGACAATTTGTCGGCTAATCCCGACAAGCGATGATGTGAGAGATTGTGACTGCTGAAATGTGAAATAGGAACGAGCTCGGATACGGCGGGATAGCCGAGCCAAAGGCACGCCGCAGACACCATTTCCAGGCATTCGGCCCGGCAGCTCGATTATTCGTTTTTCATTAATCGGAAGCATAGTGTGTTCAGACATGTGCTCAGCGACGCTCGAATGAGTTTAGCTGTTGGGCCCACGTCGAACCTTTGCACGTCCAGCTCACATGAATCCAACGAAGCAATGGCAGCAACATGGCCGGTATTGAGTACACTATGCGGGACGATGAAGAGTAAAAGTACAACTGAGCGAAACGACCATGACGGGTATTGGTAAGAGACGACGAAATGTGTGAAGACGATAGCTGAGCTAGTATGGACGAGGCCGATCTCGTGGTTGGCGTGTTTGCCCGCCTGGACCGCGCTCGACGCCGCCGCGGTTGCCTGGCAGAGCGGGGTTGGGACACATATTGGCGAAGTGACCCATCTCTCCGCACTTGAAGCAAAGCACTTCTGAGAGATCCTTGCGCCATCCACGTCCGCCATCTTGTCCTCCCTGCGGTGGTGCTCCGAATCCATTGTTGGGACGGCGTTGCATGTTGTTGGCGAATCCGGCTGCTGATCGTGCTGCTCCTCCATCTGCTGTTGCTGCTGCTGCTCCACCCGCTCCACCGGGTACTCCGTATCGTCCTGGTGGTGCACGTTGGTTGCGCATGCCGTCCACAAAATCGTCCGCGCGACCCGTGCCCGTACCGAAGGCTTCTGCTGCAGTCAAAGGCCGATGGGTCTGGATGGGTGAATTGGAACGTGATGCGCTCGAGGGAGGCGTGCTCTTTACGTGTCCGCGCGGACAGTCGAGCCCCTCTGGGCAGAAGCCAGAGAGATAAAGCGGACAGGCGACACGTCGAACGTGCTTCTTGGGACAGAGTGGACCCTTTGGACAGAAGCCTCGATTGTACCTCTCGCACTCCTTCCTCTTGATGGCGGGATCTACATGCAGATAGAGGCAGTCGTCTCCGCTGTTGCAGAATCCAAAGGTGGCGTAGAACCTGCATTCGGGTAGCTTGCGCATATCGTACTCGTGCATGTAGTCGCACTGGTCGCCCTTCTTGCACAAACCTCGAAGCCAATGCTTGCAAACGGTTCGCTTGTTGGGATCGCGCAGCGCTGTCGATCCTGGCGGTAGAAAGTTGAGATGGCTCGGCTTGACATGGCGCCGGGGACACGATGCACCGCGAGGACACTGGAGCCTCTCGATGTAGTCTGGACACAGCTGAGCGTCGTTGTCGAGCTTCACGTTGAGATTGTCCTTGATGTGCTGCTCAAAGCTGAATTCGTTGTGGATAAAGTCGGAAGGTATTGACGACGAGACGCCCACCAAACGCTGCTGCGTGATCAAAGGACGATGCGAGGAATGCGAGCTGGGCCCTGCGCCATGGTGATGCATGGCGAGTGGCGCATTCATCTTGATGGCTGCTGCGCTTTGCGATGCGATCGATACGATCCGATGTGATGGTGGTGGCGAAGCCAACCAAGAATCATGTCCTGTAATCACAAACTGGCTCGACCGAAAGACACAACTCTGGAATTGGCTCAAAAGGCCAGTTCGGATCAGCCGTGAATCGAAGCAACTCACGCGACTCAGCCACCCGATTGAGCGAAACCCCGATGCGGTTGTCGGAGGATCCGAGTTCCGAAGTTGGAAGTCAAGAAATTTGTCGCGGAAGTTTCTCAGTTTGGCCGAAAGGGAAAAAAGTTTGTTTGCAAGACGGCACAAAGTCAGTGTGATTCGCAAAGGGTCCTTCCTTTGCTTGGCCTTTGCTTGGTTTGAACAGTGACACTCGCCCGCCATCTTCGTCACAACCACCTCCTCCTCCTCCCCTTCACAACCCATCCCGACTTCCCTTCTCGTACAGTAGCATCGTGGTTGACCTCTTCGACGGCGCGCACACACGAAGCGGCCCGATCTTTTGCCATCGTCGATCACGCTGCTCGACGGTCTTGAAGTTAGGCTACAGCCACGCCACTCACACACATCCTCGGACGATCGCACACGCCGCTCTCATCTGCAGTCTCCAACGTGGCTTTTACGCACATAACCTTCCACGACACTAATCAAGAGGCGCGCACAACATGAGGATCGAACACTGCTTCTTCTGCTCCGCACCGTGCTACCCGGGCAAGGGTATCACCTTTGTTCGTAACGATGCAAAGATCTTCAAGTTTTGCAAGTCCAAATGTCACAAGAACTTCAAGTTGAAGCGAAACCCGCGAAAGGTCCGCTGGACAAAGGCTTTCCGCAAGGCCAACGGCAAAGAGATGACCGTCGACTCTACCCTCGAGTTCGAAAAGAAGCGCAACGTCCCCGTCCGCTACGACCGCGAGCTCGTCGCCACCACCCTCAACGCCATGAAGCGCATCCAAGAGATCAAGACTCGCAGAGAGATCGCCTTCTACAAGGCTCGCCTCGCAAAGGCAGGTGTCAAAGCAAAAGCAAAGGAGGCGGACCGTCTTCTCGTTCACCGCAATGCCCACCTTCGCGCCTCGATTCAAGCTTCCCAACAAATCGCCTCTTCTTCCAAAGACAAGATCAAGGTCAAGGCAACCTCCGCCAAGCCAAGATCCGCTTTGGTTGGTGCTGGCGATTCTGGCATGACCATGGGCATGGACACCGACTAACGCATCCACCTCGTCAGTCCACCGTCTCGTGGCAATCCATTCTCGACACGAGCAATCGCCGTGGCATAGTCCAGAGTCATCCGCTCCCCTCATCCAAGGGCGCCATCTTCGCCTCCTGTTCCCCGCCCCGAGACCGTCTCACCTCGGTCCGCTTCTCCTTGGCACACACACTCCCGTGCTTGTACTATATACCTCCATCCAGATGAACACGGCGTGTCGTCTGGTTCAATTCAGCAATTGCATTCTTTCGGTCATCTCCTCGCTCTTTGCCATCATGTGTCGCTCTGTGCTGGACCCGCTGTTGCATGACAGCTCAATCTCACAAAGCACGCACGCTCTGCTTGCAATTCCCTGTGCCGTGTCGGCCCGTATGATTCCTTCTCTGTCGCCTCTTCGTCCCTTGAGTCTGGTAGAACGAACAAGCAAGCCCTTGCCCTTCGGCTTTTGTCCATTGCATCCGCCTCAATCAATGTCACCACGTGCAATGCACAGCCTCTGTTCTGGTGCTCCACAGATACCACCTTAATAACTTCAACATCCGCACGATCTCGTCCGTTCCTCTTTGAGCTTCTTGACGTTCTTGCTCTACCTCGGCTCGTATCATTTCAAGTCACAGTGCTATGATCGCTGCAAACGTCGAGAATCACACGCCTCAGACGTCACCTTTCATTTGTATGATCAGAGCAACACGAGCTGTACACCAGTTCATCGACGTGCTCAGTTTCTGACCGCCCCTTGGTCATCACGATCACGACGGGGTCACAATGACTGGATGTTTGTCCACCTCTAAGCTGAGTCTGGCTGTCTCCTTAGCCTCGCCCCAACTAGAGGTTGTAGTCGAACCGTGTGCCCTTACTATTAAGCTCGACGTTGAACTTGGTCTTCGATACGCCCTTGACACACTCTCGCATCTCCTCGTCCTTTGGTCTGTCGTCACCTATCTCCTCCATCTATGCTCTGCTCGATCCCCATCTTACCGGCGCTATATTTCGGACTGCAGTCTCCATAAGACCGTGCCATTCCTCCCTGAGCCATTGGCGTTTGCCTCAGGAAGCTGACCTTCGGGCTCACTGTCCACTCGCAACCAAGCCTGCCGTTCCCCTCGAGTGCTTTCTAGCACTCTCCGCCACTACACGCTCGCAGCTTCACTTCCGACGAACAAACTCGAATACAGCGACGCAGGATCTAAGCACCCAGGAATTCTCGCATTCCAGCCGTGATCCTTTCTATGAGTGTTCTTGCCGGATCGGGGTATCAAGATTTTTTTCACTCTGCCAACGTCTTGAACGAAAAAGACGTTGGCGCCGTTTAATATAGGGCATCGTGAACAAGGGTAGCCAAAGCAATTTGTCATTAACTGGTAAGAACACGACGAGACCACAGCCAGTGTCTGCTCGATCAGACACCGCACTTTTTAGCTCAAATAATCTTTTGGATTTGAACGAGGTCGAGATGCATAACGAAGAACTTTCGGCAACTTATGCAAAGACCGCCTTTTTGATGATAGACAAGAACATGATTCAGTCGTCAACTGCAATGTTGCACAGACAAATCATCGAGGCATCGAAAAAGGACTGCGTATCGTCAGACTATTTACGACAATAACATTTGGTGCTTATTTTGATGATATTTCTCGGTCCGACACAGACCAAATTATGTGCTGCTACAGATTGTGAGACTTATCGTTTGTAGTCTGAATCGAGCGCACCATCCACAGCGGTCTAGCTGAGAGCTCGCGCCTTTGTTGAGAAAATCACAGATTGATCAATATTAATGCTCACACCGTGCTCTTTGACCAAAAGTTACAAGTCTCGTTGCTTTTATGATTGCTCATTTGAATATTGTGGAGAAGCTTCTGCAGTAGAAAAAGTATCTTGTCTTCTGCGAGACCACTTCAACAATTTGCGTATATTTCATACAAGTCACACCGGCTCGTCGCTGATCTTCAGTGCGGCACTGTGGACGCAATGAGTTTAACACCTCGTTCTAGGATGAATATTATGAAACAAGTCCTGCGCAGACCGTGTGCAACGCAAATCGGTGCAGTTTGCATGATCGCTGTGGCATCCGTTATACTTATTATATAGGTGACAAAAGATATTTATGATCAACGTGACAAAGTTTTATGATACCCATAATTTCACACTTTTATTGCAGAACGAAAACACAAATAATTGAAATAAAGTGAACGAATGTCTTGCGTAAAAGAGCTTTTGTCGGCTGTAGGTTATATATTGGCACGACTTTGCGTTTCACATGTGCTCCTCGAACCTTTGGATAGCCCGCAGATACCCTAGGGAACGGCAGCATCAGAGTGCGTCCTGGTCTGGAAGCTCAAGACAGTGAGACTTTCGGCAGCTGACCCGGTGCTTCACAAATATACCAAGACGTCCCAACCACCATGGTAACAACAGTACAAGCCGAGGCGCGAGCACGCTCCTAAGGGATTCGCGACCTCTTGAAACGTAGAAACGGCCAGGACGATGAAGCGAGTAGGCGATACAATGCAGAGGACATGAGGGTGAGGAGCAGGCCCCGGAGCGAGCTTGGTCAGGAAGGGGAGGAAGGCGGGCAGGACGAAGCACAGCCGCGCGCGGTCAGTATCTGCCGCAAGCGAGAGTGGTGATTGACAGGGTGCAACAGAGGTAAAGGGCTCGTGTGATCGCCCCATCCCGACTGCATTCGGACCACTGGTCTTGACGAGGAGCAACTCATAGGCTTTGCTGATGACTGAAAGGCTCGGCCCACAGCGAGGGTAAAGGGGTCTGCAGGAACGTGGCTAATGCCGCCGGGATGGTTGAAGCGAATGCAGCTCTGAGTTGCCGAGAAACGGAATGGGCGATTTCAAGTAGGTTCTGGCTTTGAAAGTAATGCCGGAACCCCGCCAAAATTGTCCTACTTGATCTGTCCCACCTCCCACCTCGTATTCGTTCCTCCCATCCACTGCTCAGTGATCATCGCACTCGCAAGGTCGCATTAGACATACAATGGCTTGGAAGAGGCCGACATGGCTGGGTGGCTCTGGCAACACCAACAACTCCCAGCCGTCTTCGAGCAAGGGTCGACCAGTACGGGCACCAACAGCACGTGGGCGTTCACACGAGACGCGCTCCTCCGAGAGCGACTCTACCACCCTCGTCTCAAGCTCCACCACCAGTGGTTCTTGCAAGGCTACCAAGGCCGGCACTGCCACGAGCACGCTAAAGAGGACCGGCGATGTCGATGTGGTGGTCATCGGTGCAGGACTCTCAGGACTCATCGCAGCAGATGAGCTCAGTCGGGCAGGGCTTGGCGTCAAGGTGCTCGAAGCAAACGATCGAGTCGGCGGCAGGACGCTCGATGTACAACTCGAAGACGGCAACGTCGTCGAGATGGGCGGCCAATGGATCGGTCCCGGACAGACTCAGATCCTTCAGTTGATCCAAGAGCTCGGTTTGCAAACCCACGATACCTACGATCAAGGCCGCAGCATCTATCGCTCCACCGATGGAAAGGTCAAGACATACAATAACATGATCCCCTGCGGTATTCTTCCATCTCTCGATCTCCTCCGCGCAACCCGCAAGATCAACAGCCTTTCCAAATCCGTCCCTGCAAAGACGCCATGCCAAGCCAAGGATGCACGCTACTGGGATGAGAGGTCCATTGGCTGCTGGATCGACGATGCCATGTGGACATTTGAGGCAAAGCAGCTCTTCCGAATGGCCATCAAAGCTGTTTATGCAGAAGACTCGGAATCCATCAGCTTCTTGGATCTCCTCGCCACCGTAGCCGGAGCCGGCGGAGACATCGAGCAAGTCTTGAGCGATGCGCAAACCACACGCATTGTACAAGGACCACAATCTATCAGCGAGCGACTTGCCGCTCGTCTCCCCGAAGGCACACTTCAACTCAATCAAAAGGTATTGAACATTCACAAGGCCGACGACGACGAGGCGACACCAGACCAAGAAGCGATGTACAAAGTTTCGACAGTCGAGGGAGAATGCATCAAAGCACCGGTCGTCATCATCACTCCGCCTCGTCCGCTCATCTGTCAAATGGACTTCCAGCCACCCCTTCCATCCGGTCTCATCCAGTACTATCGTCGTCAGCCCATGGGCTCAGCCATCAAGTTCAACGTCGTCTACTCGTCCCCCTTCTGGCGTGCTGCTGGTCTCAGTGGTGCTATGATCAACGCAGACGGCGATAGTCCCGTTCAGATGACTTACGACAACTCACCTGCCGATGCCAAACACGGAACCATTGTTGCATTCGTGCTCGGCAACAACTCCCGCCGCTTTCTCCACAACAACCCAGACGCCGAAGCTCGCAAGAAGATCGTGCTTGACTTCCTCGCGACCCTCTTTGGACCCGAGGCGCTCAACGCTCAGCAGGTACACGAAATGAACTGGACGCTCGCACCTTACGCAACGGGAGGTTACGGATCCTTCAACCCACCAGGCGTGCTCACCAGCTTCGAGGAGGACGAGCGTGACGAAATGTCCAAGATCGGCAACCTCTACTTTGCCGGCGACGCCACCAGCGAGATTTGGCAAGGGTACATGGAAGGTGCTCTCCTATCCGGAAGGCGTGTGGCCAGCCGCATTGTTTCCACCTTCGAGCCCTAATGTTCGAGACCTGGTTCGAATCGTCTGCATTCCAACCCCGACTTTGCAAAGCCTCTTCCCGCTTTACCGCTCGGATCTCCGTTCTGCCCCTTTCTAATGCACGAATCTTCGCACGCCATTTGCTTCTCAATGATCACCATTTCATGTCTACTTATACCAATCATCTGATACAATTGCTGCAATGCTACTCATTCAACATCACTGCACCGATGCTTGCCGTGCAGACAAATTGATGACAAGGCTATTTACAATTCACAAGAGTGGCGAGGCGATCTATAGAACCCAAGAAAGATTGAGACAGGAACATGTGGGTATGCTGGGCCGAACAAGAGCGGCAGTTGTGAAAACCGAAAGGAGACGGGATCTATGAAATGAAAGCGAAGCGGCTTCAGTCGACAAAGGTCTCCCAGTCGGAACGGGGGCCCATGGCCTCCATCTGGTCTCGGACCTGCTGGAGGTAGCCCGTCCAGCCCTGAAGCTTGTCGTTTCCGAAACGATCCTGGACCGACTTGACAATGTCGAGCTTGAGCGAGCCCTGCTTGAGTGGCAGATCAGAAATGCTTGCCTTGCTGAGTTTCCTTTGCTGGTCGGGCACAAGTGCGGGCAACCCGAGAACGGTGCGTGTGCGAGCAACGTCGAATTCGACAATCTTGGTGATGAAGGGATCGTACACCTTGAGCAGATTGGTTGTGGGGATGTAGGGCTCCTCGATCTTGACATTTTCGTCGTTGAGGAGGGTCATGGGGATACGAGCTTCGTCACCACGACCGCAAGCAACGTGGTAGCATGGCACTTCTGCGAGATGCTTGCTCGTCGGTGCAGCAGGGTTCTTGGGATGCAGACGGTGAGTTGTGGGGAGCTTCTGCAATGCATGTGCCGAGGCGGTGACGGCGAGGATCTGGTTGACAGCGATGTCGACCGGGATCACGTCGAGACCGGCGTTGGGGAAGATGATGTTGGGGTCGGCGACGTGCGCAGCCAGAGCAGCGCAGACGGGACTCGAGGGGTGACCTGCACCCCACGCGTCACGAGGGAAGTCGATCGCAGGGCCAAGAGTAGCCAATCGGACGATTCGACACGTCTTTCCGTGCAGCTTGCGACCCACTTGCGAGGTGAAGAGCGAATTGACGCACGATTCGGCGTAGGTCTTTGCCTGGAAGTAGGTGTTGACGTGTTCAGACTGCTCGTCGACCTGGGTGCCGCATCCTTCGGGGGTCAAGGACTCGCTCACAAGCGAGCCGTTCTTGAGGTACCAGCCGACAAAGGTGGTAGAGACGTGGATGTGAGTCTTGACGTTCCAGGTGAGGAGGGAGAATCGAGCAGTAAAGTAAGCCAAATCCGCCATGGACTCGAAAGCCTTGGAGATGGGAAGGGTGAAGCGGGTGTCGCCGGCGCAGTGAATGACGATTTCGGTCTTGCGAACCTTTTCGAAGTCCTGCTCGTTGAGACCAAAGTTGGGTCGGGCGCAGTCACCGTTGACAATGACGAGTTTGGGGAGCGCACCTTCGGACGCAGGTTGCGCGTGATGGTGAACCGATTTAGGGAGACGCTTGAGGGCATCCTCTGAAGTCTTGCCTCGTACGATCGCAACGACCTGTTTCACGTCGAAGGAGTCGTCACCGAGCAATCGGTGGAGGAGCGCAGCACCAACAAAGCCAGCAGCGCCAGTAATGAGGATTCGCGAGCCTTTGAGGACGTCTTGAATTGTGTGATCGCGCACGATCGAGTCGTCTTCGGCGCGGAGATTGGACATGGACTCGACGATGCTGGTTGCGTCAGACGAGATGTCAGTAGCAGAGGATCTCTCGGTGCCACTAGGCGAGGGACTGCGAGTGGAGCTCATGGCTGAGGGCAATCAGCAGGAAGCAAGTTACAGAAGTACAGGAATGGAGCGTAGGTGTCGCGTAGAGAAGCTTGCGATGGACACGGGGATATAGGAGGACGCGAACAGGTGATGGTTGGGAGGAAGAGGTGGGAAGCGATCTGGGCAAACAATTTATGAAAGGAGACCCGACGCAGGTAGAGGGGACAAGCGGGTGCAGATGATGTTGACAGGCTTGCACAAGATCGGAAGCAGAGAAAGGAGTCTAGACGCAGGACTGAAGCGGTAACGCGGGCTGACAATTTGAGTGGAACGGAGGGGAAGGGCTCGGACTTGAAGCGGCAAGCTAACCGGCGCTTTGTGGCCGCGGCGAGGGGTCAGGACAAAGCGGCTGTTGTAGCTCGATCGGGTGGGGAGTGGGTAAGGTACGAAATGTCACAGTGATGTGGCGAGCGAGACATGCACAGCTACGATCAGACGACCTGTCCTTTTCAAAAATATGCAGCTCACTCTGCAAGAGTGGTCTAGACGTTGCATTGATTGGCTCTCTAGGATCAGCTCAGGCTATTCCGTGTTCGAATCACGGAACTTGCAAGACACGGCTGTGGTAGGAACGAGGCGTACAGTATGTGATTTGAGTATGTGTTTCTGTCGAGCAGGAGACGCCTGGAACTAACGCAAGTGGGAATTTGTGTGCACTATTGCACAAGGTTGTGAATTCGGTTCAGTTTGCAGAGGGGCTCCCGCGGCGCGATTCAAGGCGATGAGGTGGCACGTCGAGGTGCTGAGCGGCGTTCGGAACGCAAGGAGAACGTGACACGAAGGCTGTCTCTTAGCGGGACGATGAAATGCAGCGGTGGAACTTCCATGGTTGATCGTCGGGCAAGAGCGAGCGTTGATGCACGTCAAGACTTTGAAGCCGGCAAGGCTGTGCACGATGCGCAGAAGGGTCGAGTGAGACAAGCAGATGAGGTGGGCGGCCGGGTGAGCTGCATCCCACAAATGGCTTGCAGCCTGTGAGGGAGGACCAAGATGAAACAAAAGCGACGCATGCCGTCCGTACCTATACCGATGCAGTGCAAGTCAGACCCCATACGCTGTACCTGTGTATCGTTTGGGATGCCACGTTCTACGGCCAATAGAGCCATGCCGGGAGAGCGACGGGCGTGAGACGAGTGTGCGATCCATCAGTGCACGAGAGGCTGCAGGCTGCACTTGGAATTCTGTATTTCGGCTGAATTTAGCTTCCGCCGGTTGAAGCTCGGCAATTGTGGCACTGCAGCAGTATTCGGTGTGGGAATTCTGGCCAGTCATGCAAATCCAACTGGTTCTAAATTTACCTTTTGGGAAGCAACCGAAACGTGAGCCGGCAACAGGACCCTTGAAGAAGCGACACACAATACAAACCTGGGGCAGCAACCGACGGCAGAGGCATTTCTCCAGCCTCAAGCCACAGTCACGTTGACCCTCTTGTCAAATTTCAAAATCGACGCCAAACACGATTCCAGCCACGTTCACCGGGAAGCGGACGGGATAAAAACGTGTACGGGTACTTGTTTGTGCTCTCTTCTCGCAGACGACGCAGCGCGACTCGTCATTCTGAACGAGATGGCGACGTGTGTCGTCGTGAAAGCTTGAATGCACTATACTGTACGCATAAAGGCAGCAAGACGAAAACAGAGTCAACTAGTCCCGCCGCTTGGAGCCAACCATGCCGAAGCTGATCCTTGTCGAGATGCCGAGTCGAGCAACTGTGGGTCGGCAGCCCAAGTGAAAAGTGCAGGACAACGGCGGAATTGCGGAGCGCAGCGCAGATACAGTACACACCATACTCTAGTCCCAAGCCCAATCGCGGGGGGTTCCAAGTGAATACAAAATCTTAATTATCTTTATTCTGAGATTCAAAGCGTGTCGGCACGTCAAAATGAATGGGTTCGAGGTGCATAAATTCCAAAGTGCGCCGCTGCGTACTTTGACGTGCCACCAAAGCGGCATCCAACACGAGTCCAAAAAGGTTCTAGACGCTGCCCTTTGCATCCGTTTCTGCTGCACTCTCTCTCTCTCTCTCTCGGCCAACCGCGTCGAGCCTGAAAGCATCAAAACGGTTGGTCTCTATGCCGAAGCCGCAGCGACCCTCCTCGCCCTCATTCCAAGGACAGCTCCCCTCCGTCCGCTAGCTTCACCCCCTGCACAGTGAATTGGGACCACCGAGCCGTGGACTTCCGGCCACGCAGGCAGTCGATGCCTCGTAGCCAGCGTACAGTGTCCATTCCGACTTGCTGTCGATCAGCATGATGTGTGTCAACACGATAGCCGAGCACCAACTGCCGACCCTTGACCCACGACATCGGCCCGCACAGCGTAGCTTTGTACGTAAGGACGCGGCACACACCTTGACCCAGATCATGCCTTCAATTTTCACGCAGGCGCCACCGGCCATCATCGTCTTGGGGAATTATCTGCGCCTTCTCGATGCCAATTCGTGAATAACTTATTCGGAGCGAGGCTGATACTCTACGTGCTTGCTTAGCAAGCCAGAATCACGCCATGACCGTCCACTCTTCATCGTCGGAAATACCAAAGTTTGCTTTTCGTGGGGTAAACGCTTTCAAGAAACGATTGGATCGCCGACTCGCCACGTTCCAATTCCGACAACGTGCACTGAAGCTTCCCGAAGAGCGAGGCGATCAGCGAGTAGGTGCGGTCCACGGCGGAGCACTTCTGCGGACTTACTCAGTCGATCGCCGACGGACGTCTCCGTAGGCTACGCAACTGCTTCGCCCAGCTAGAACCATCAGATCCACTCTGTTTCGTCGTCATGCAGAACATCCGCTAGGATTTCCCGCATTGCTGGGTTCCATTTCTTCTGCAGCGAGAAAAAGAGGCGCAGAGGAGCATTTGGGTGCACTCCTCATCTGACCACCGCTGATTACCTCCTTCTGCACTGAGCATCGAGAGAAACCGTGCTGGCGAGGCGTCCAACTGAGAAAGTCGAGCGTCATCCTCTCCTCGTTTAACGGCCAACCAGATCGATCGAGACACTCTCCCGCTCTGTCCTGACCAACGGATCCAAATCCCACGTGTGCTGTACGCGTCCAATCCACTCGCAGCGTATATTCTTCTGCTTCTCGTTCCCAATCACATTTTTGCGACAACTCGGTCCGAAACTGTACCTTGTCGCGGTGAGGCGTAAGTTGTGCATCCCTTACACCGCCTTGTCCTAGGTGCATTCGTTGCATTCAGTCTTGCCTGCATATGCTTCAAGCGAGCTCAGACCTCTGCCGCTCCGAATTTCGGCGCCTGCATCGGCAGGTCCATTTCATCATCAGCGTGCCGCATCGTTGCAATTCGAGGAAGTGCATGGGATTACCATGTCAGGTGGCATGACTGTAAAAGATTCAGGCTGAAGCGAGAACCCGTCGGAGCAACCTCTGTTCCGAGGAGCCTCGTCGGTGTGCAAGGCATTGTCGACCTTTCCCAAGCCTACCACTTCTCCCTGGACCTGCGCATCGACTTGTGTTTGCGTTCCAGAACTGTACACTTTGTACCGCCGTTGCGTGCATCACACCATCGTTCTCGTTTCTCCCTCCGCTCTGCTTTCTGCATCGTCTGGTACGATACTGAACAAGACCAACCCGGTGTTCCACTTTCCTTCTCCGCTCACTTCTTGGCAAGCTATCCTTCTGCATCCTCCACGATCTTCACTCTCTCCGTCTGGCTTCGATCTGCCCCAACATCCGCGAATCGTACGTGCCTATCCGTAGTGCTTACGAGACTGCCGCTGTACACCTTTCTTGCGAAGCCATTCATCCGCACTTCTGCAGCTTCTTCAGACGCACTTGCTTTCGGACTTTCATTGGATCCCTTTCCCCGCAACTCATCATCGCGCGATCGGTACAGCACACTCAGAACAAAAAAAGCGCGGAAGACACGGTCGTCGTCCCGTACTCCCACAGACAGCGGACGCTGCTGCGTTTCGACTTCGTTCCAGCGGATCGAAAGGCTTGCACCGAGGCAGAGAGAGCGCAGCCTTGATCCATTGTACGCGACGGTCGCGGAATATCGTGAATCGCGTGCGAGACTGGCCGCTGCTCGCTCCTTGTCCTCGACACGATTCATCAAGGTCTTGTTCTAACACCCACCACGAACATTCTCGTTACTCACTCGATCCCACCATCGAGTACTGGCAAAACGTTTGGGAACTCAAACCGGATCTTCGGATCGGACTACCAGATTGCTAGGTCCACGGAGCATCGGCATCCCACATCCGGTAGCTCGTCCAATCCACCGCTTGCACCGCCTTTCATCTTGTCATCACAGCCTCACTTTCCTACCGAGAAGCTTCTACACACCATGACTCCTGATCAACACCGCTCCTCTCTCCTCGGAGGAGAAGCATCTCATCCGCGCTCATCAACACCACCCCTCACAGCGCACTCAGCATCGCCTTTGCCCGCACTCGACGCTGTCTTACCGCCGTCGTACGACTACACAACTTGCTCACCCTCCACCTATCCACCCTATTCTCCCGGCGCCGTTCACTCTGCCACCTCCACCGGCGGCGACGCTCGAACAAGTATGGAAACCGTCTCCTCAGCACCCACCAAAACACGGCTGACGGCACGAGCGCACTTCCTGCTCGTCTTCACCGCGCTCTGCGTCTCCTCGTTCCTCTCGGCGCTCGACCTCACCACCGTCTCCACCGCGTTACCTACCATCGTAGCTGATCTTCAGAACGACGCGATCCACTTTGGCAAGCACAACCATCCACCTAAAACCACATCCACCAGCACAGGCAGCGGCGCTTCCAACGGCTATGGCGGCACGTACATCTGGATCGGCTCGGCTTACACCATCGCCGGCATGGCGATCCTACCGCTGACGGGGGGGTTGTGCGGGATATGGGGGAGGAAAGCGATCCTGCTCACTTCGCTCTTCTTCTTTCTGTTCGGAAGCGTGATTTGCGGAGCGAGCCATTCGCTGGAGATGATGATCGTAGGCAGGGTGTTGCAGGGCGTGGGGGATGGAGGGATTATCAGCTTGGCAGAGATCGTCGTTGCCGATCTGGTGCCCTTGGCGCAGAGAGGTACGTACGAGGGGATCCTAGGCGTGGTGTGGGCGGGTGCGAGTGCCATCGGTCCACCCATCGGCGGAATCTTTTCGAGAAAAGATCGTTGGAGGTGGCTGTTCTGGTTGAACATCCCCATCACGGTCATGGCGATCATCATGATCGGCGTGTTTATGAACATGAAGACGCCCAAGGCGGATGTTAAGGATAAGTTGAAGGCGATGGATTGGACGGGGAATGCCCTGTTGATTCTGGCGACGGTAGGCTTGGGCCTTTCTTTGACGTGGGGTGGCGCGAGGTACAAGTGGGTCAGCGTGGAAGTGTTGGTGCCGCTGATCATCTCCATCGGTCTGTTTGTCGCATTCTTCTACCTCGAGCTGTTCAAACTCAAGAACCCGACCGTACCGCGAGAACTCCTCTCGAATCGAACCGCCATCAGCGCTCACCTCACCAGCTTTGCGCACGGCGTCGTCACCATGGCGATCATCTACGTCATCCCCACCTACTTCCAAGCGGTCAAACTCAGCTCGACCATCATGTCCGGCTGGATGGTGCTTCCGTTCAGCTGCACCGTCGCCTTCACCGCCATCGCCTTCGCCATCAGCATCGAGATGACCGAACGCTACGTACCGCAGAACCATCTCGGGTGGTTCTTCACCGTCCTCGGTGTTCCGCTGTTGCTGCTCCTCGACGTCCACTCTTCCGCAGTGACGTGGATCCTGGTGCAGATTCCGATCGCCATCGGCTGCGGAATCCTGTTCGTCGCACCACAATTCCCTGTGCTCGCATCCGTCGCGGTTCAGATGGCATCAAAAGCGCTCGCCGTCCAGCTGTTCTTCGCATCCTTCGGTCAAACGCTCGGAATCATGCTCGCAGAAGCCGTCTTCCAATCCTCGGTCCACAAAGCCATCCGATCCCCGCTCATCCAGCAACTCGCTAACAACGGTTCGCTGCCCTTCAACATCGAGGAGATCTCCTCTCCGTATTCGATGCACTTTGGTGCGCTTCGAAAGTTGTCGCCCGAAGCGAGCTTTGCGGTGCGCAACGTGTACAGCATGGCGTTGAGGCACGTCTGGCTGTTGCTGATCCCGTTCGCTGCGGTGGGGTGGGCGATTTGCTTTGCGATGAAGGAGCTGGAGATGCATGACGAGGTGGATGAGAGGTTTGCCGCGGATGTGGACGAAGATGTCTCGCATGATGATCGGGAGAAGGGCCTATTTGTGGCGTCGCACAAGAGGATGGCCAGCAGTGGCAGCAGCAGCAACGGTACCGGCGAGCATGGTGGGAAACCGCTCGCGGCGGACCAAACTCCAGCCGCAGAAACGCACGAGTTGTCATCGTGGAATCACACACCAGCGCAGGAAGATCCCGTCGAACCGTCTTCCTCGATGCAACTCCTCACCCTCAGCACATCGCGCGACGATGCTCCCGCGCACGCTTCGCAGCATCAACCTCGCTCGCAACGCACGCCCACATAGCGAGGTCAAACTAGCATTTTTCTCGTCACCCTTCGTCTTTCACTCTTGCCATCATATTTGTTTTCTTGCACTTTTTTGTTCATTTGCATTGTTTCAGCAGACCAATAGAAGTCGTTTTCTTTGGCATGAATGGTTTGAGTCTCCGTTGCGAAACATTCTTGTGGCGTGTGGTTCGCGAGAACGGCGGTCTCACGGCAAAAGTTACGCCCGGGTACTGGCAGCAGCCCGCCTGCAAGTGAAAGCAAGCATCCCAACAGGCCCCCGCCATCCTCTCTCTGCTTCCCTCGACATCAAGCCACGCCAACCCCCTTCATCCCTGACCTTTCAGTCTTTCTCACCCGACAAATCCGCCCACACACGTCTCTCAAGATCGCGCAAACAATCGCAAAGTTGTAAAAGTGTGGCTTGCGTATGCAGGAGAAAAATGGACAACCCAGGTTCAACTCTCGCCCATAAAGGTGGTGATCAGCACATAGCCGTCTGCCACAACGATCACAGCGAAAATGGCGTACAGCACCGCTTGGACGTACCACGCGGATGCGAAGCAGTGCGACTTGTCGGGACTTGCTAGCGGTTGTGGTGCGACGGAGTTGGGTTGCAGCGGATCCGACGGTGAAGCTGTGGGTGTTGAAACAGGCTGCTCTTGTTGATGCTGTGATGTTGAGGGAAGTTTGCGATCCTGATCCGGTGTAGGTGGCTCCTGCTGCAAGGGCAAGCTCTGGATCACTGCGAGTGACGCACTCTCGCTTGCGGTGCTGCTCAGCTCGGGCCTTGCCTTTACCCCACTCGCACTGCCCTGTTCACCCACCGCGCTAAGCTGGCCATCCGCACTCGTCCGATCAGCATCGACGCTGGACCTCATCGACGAAGCGCGGGAAGCCACCATCTCGTGCTCCTCGACCGCCAACTCTGCCGTCATCCTCGGCTTGCTACTCGTCACCAGGATCAGAGGCAGAAGCACAAAGGGTAGCGCGATGCTCAACGCCACCTGACTGGCCACCAACATCTCGTCCAAGCCATCCTTGCCCACCGCCAGGGAAACGGTCAAACTGGGGACGATGGCTACGAGCCTCGTGACGACTCTCCTCAAGAAGGGATCGGTTCGCCAGTTGATGAAGCCTTCGCTGACCAGTTGACCGGCCAGCGTGACAGTGATACTTGCGCTCTGACCCGCCGCCAGCAGCGCAACGGCGAAGAGCACAGCCGCAAGGCTACCCAAGCGATCCTTGAGCAGGTAGAAGGCATCATAGAGACTGGCCACCACCACCTGACCGGAACCAGAGCCGTTCTGGTCGTAGTAGAAGGCGGCAGCAGCAACGATGAGGATGGCGCTGTTGATGACAATGGCAAAACTGACAAGCGACATGCCAATGTCGACAGAGGCGTGCTTGATGTGGATACGGATGTTCTCGAGGGTGCGTGGTGGGAAGTCTTGGGGTTTGAAGCGGGCGCGACGCGCTTCACGCATGGAGTCGGTTTCGACGTCGTGGGTTGTGCCGGTGCGGTACTGGATGAGCGAGCGTATGACACGGGTGAGACGAAGCGTCTCTGTCTTCGTCTCTGTCTTTGGCCGCAAGAGGCGGGAAAGGGAGCCAGTGATGAGTTGCCATCTAGACTGATGCGAGGTATCTGGAGTGCGATCGTGCTGGGACTCGTCGTCGCGAGTAGCATAGGAACCGTCGGGGTTGGGTAGGCGGTCGATAACGGCAAAGTGGGAGCCGAGGATGATGGCATGCGGCATGACGGTGGCGCCCAAGATGCCGACACTGACGTAAAGTGCGCCGCTCTGCACGACGTGGTGCGAGGGGAGGTATCCGTGAAAAACGTCGGGCCAATGAGGATCGATCCTGACAAGAAGCACGATGAAGCATGCCAAGACGGTGAATACGAGCGCGGCAATGAGGGCTTCGAGCAGCCTGAAGCTGCCGTTGGGTGGTGGTTTGTAAATGAAGAGGATGATGATGACGTCGACTGAAGTGATCAAGATGCCGGCCCAGAGCGGCAAGGCGGGGAAGAGGAGGTTGAGAGCGATCGCTGATCCGGTCAATTCTGCCAACTCGGTGGCTATGATGGCGCCTTCGGCGATGATGTAGAGCGGATAGAGTAGCGCCCATCGTCGAAGTTTGGGATGCGAGACGCGTTGCTGCGTAGGATTGCCGAGACGGTCCTCTTTGAGGATGAGCATGCGGCATTGGCGTGCAAGGTCGGCGTTGGTGACCACGCCCAAGCGGCAGGAGAGGATCTGGATTATGACGGCGAAACAGCCGGTAAGCAGGACGATGAAGAGGAGCGAGTAGCCGAACTCGGAGCCTGCTTGCAAGTCGGTAGCCCAGTTGCCTGGATCGGCGTAGGCGACGGAAGCGACGATGCCCGGACCGACAAAGTAAAGGTGTCTGCGAAGAACACGCAGAGTGGTGGCGCAGCAAGCGGCCATGCGCTGCTTGAGCATGGTCGCTGTCGACGGTGGTGATGCCGATGTCGCCATGGCTGGCTGTGGTGGAATCGTTGGCGGGGGCATGGTTTTACGGCAAACGATGGACTATGATGGCAAGCGTGCGGGGTGCCTCGACATGGTGGTGCTCCTATATCGATGCTGAGGGAAGGATGCCAAGACCGACGACGAACGCTGTGACTTGTGGGCTATGCTGAGTCGAGTCGAGTCGAGAGTGTGATTGTATCAAAGCGACAGCGTGACGAGAAGCGGAGGACCCGAAAGGTGATGAAGCAGTCACGAATACTACAAAATGTGGTAATGTGTTTGCAACGTCGAGAAAATCAGCTCATTCCAACCATTCCGTTTGCCGCAACGCACCTCGAAACGCTCCGAAACGTGGGTCAGGCGGGGCAAAAGAAGGAAAAATCCGAAAATGATTTTCGGCAGCAATTCTTTTTTCGTGGTTCCATTTCATGCCGGTATGGACCCTGTCGCGGCACTGTGCCACTCTAGCCGCTGCCACACCACACCATCCCGCAATTGCCCGCTCAACGCCGAGCAAACGCCAAGAGAAGGCCGTGCCGCGCAACCTGTCTTCTGCTGCCAACGTTTCGTCTTCTGTCGCGCTCACACAGTCTTGTTTCATGCCGGCAAGTCGAGCAGGTGGGTCGAGCGTCGTGGTATTCGTGAGTGTATATCGTCAGAGAAACAGAGGCATCACCAGGACGGCCCTCGATGCCTGGCAGATATGCTACATCTATATCTACATCATCCCTCAAGGATGGCAAGATTTTGCTCGCGTCGGTCAAGCGCAAAGAGGACTCAAGTATGCCTGTGGTTCTTCTTGCGCTGGACCTTGGAAGGTCGCTTGCTCTTCTTCTTCTTCTTCTTCTCGCCTTTCTCCTTCGTCGCCTGGATTGTCGCTTTCTTCGGCGCATGCTTCTTTTTCGGCGTAGGCTCGGGTGTGTGCTTGACCGTCTTGCTGGTAGGTGTCGAAAGCTTGGCCGACTGCACGCTGTTCAAAGCACCACCGATCACGCCGCCCGCCTGTGCAGATGCCTTCTTGCTCGCTGCCGCCGTCGCAGCAGACGAGGTAGATGCAGACAAAGAAGAAGACGACGCGGGTGCCGTGTAGTTGTCCGGCTTGAGCATGACTTTGTTCGGGTCGCATCCCGCCGTCAGTCCCTTTCCGGCGTTTGGACCGTTCCAAACCATGTTGCAACCGGGCAACGAGGGGATCGTCCCCGACGTCGCTTCCGACGAAGACGCCGTGCACTGGTTCGAAGCTTGTCGGTCCAACGTCTTTGCCAACGGCGGGCATGATTCCAGGTTGTTGAAGAGAAGGCCTGCACACTCGTCGATTGCGTCCTGAAGAATCGTCTCGTTCCACGCAGCGATAAAGTCGGCGTGGAAAGAGTAGCCCATCGAGTCGCCGTTCGACAGCACCAGTTCAGAGTAGTTGGCGTTGGTGATGCCCGTGACGTCAAAAACGAATTCGTAGAACAGCGTAGGCAGTCGAACGTTGTGAGACGCTGGGCACGGTCCGTTGTCCGCATTGTCGCCGAGCGGGTATACGACGTGAGAGCGGTCTGCAGACACGAGGTCCTTTCCATTCCAGCACGAAGGGAACACCACCTGCAGCCTCAAACCTTGCGGGCACGGTCGCGTCGGGATCGTCTGCGACTGCGAGCTCCCGTCGGCGTAGTTGAGGCACACAAACGATGCCGTGTTGTCCGCCTGCGTCGTGGGTCCCGGACCTCGACGCATCGCATTGCCTGCCAGTAGCTGCATGCTTCGAGGAAACGCCGTGATGTTGACGTTTCCCCTCATGAGGTAGTATGTGTTGACGTAGTCCAGTCGACGAGGGCTGAAAGTGCCGTTGGCATTGACAGAGTAGAGCGAGGGAGCCCAGTAGGCAGACATGTCGGCGTGAATGCCCGATGTGGTGCAGCTCGACGCTGCTTCCAAGCTCTGCGCGGTGGTGGTGTCGGCACTGACGCCATTGGCACCGACGAGAGAGTGGACATGGCTCGAAGTTCCTCCAGGAGTGACGATGGGATCGATACGCGCCTGCTTGAGCCTTCCGTGCACCAGAATCCACATGACTGGATCTGCCAGCGTGGCTGAGGCCTCTTGGACCGCAAAAAGCGCGCACCATGCTGCGACCAGCGTCAAGAGGATGAGGTTGCGACTCGCCCACATTTTCCGTTGTAGGCTCGACCGATGGACGGCGGATATGGTGACAGGCAACGAGGATGGCAAGCGGCTGAAAGACCGACGGTGGAGGAAGTGTAGATACGGCAGCGTCTGCTTTGGGGAGACTGGATGGTAAGGACAGTCAAGCAGAGGAGGCGGGATGTGGCAACAATCAGACAAGCTTCGGAGAGTGAAGTGTCTATCCGTCCTCTTATATGGTACCACGGACAGCGCAATTTGATGCCTTTCGATGCACAAATGTCCGACGATTCTGCTGCAGATCTGCTGCACGACAGCCGCTTGTGACCTTGTGTCTGCCTTCTAGAGGGTGATGTTCGAGGCGCAGGTAAGGCGGCGCAAGAGTCGGGGTCGTCGTGACAAAAGCCGAAAGCGGAGTTCAGGGCTGTCAAGGCCGGGTCTGATCAGCTGGGACTTCTCTAGCCTGCACCCAGTTTGGGGTGGATGTGCTAGTCGCCGTAAGGGGTGTCAAGGAAGCGGATGCTGTGATAGAAGCAGGAGAAACAACAGCGATAGGACAATCGAACAAGGTCGGAGACCGAATCGTCTCGTAAGCCACCAACGACGACACTGAGATGGAACCAATGCACCCAAGCCTGCACTGTGGGCGAAGGGGCTAGCAAGAAAGAGGTTGGAGCAGGGGCAGGAGGAGGAAGAGAGCAGACATCGAGGGTGAGAAAGCAGAACAGTGTTGTTCGAGGAAGCGATCGTGTCAGACATCGGTTACGAGGCGATCGAAACGGTTAAGCTCAAGCTCTTGACTCAGAGATGTCTTTGGCGTTGCAAATCGATGAGAGCTGCTGCGCTGTTGTCGCGAGATGGCATTGGCGGCTGAAGCACGGGTCTATGGTGCATCGCATGATTGTCATCCAGTCCATCATTCCGTCCCTATCAGGAAGGGCCTGCCACCTACAAAGGCGAGATGCCCGGAACCGCGCAGCCGAACAACGTCTTGGTTATGCCGTGTAGCTATCACGGTGACTTTGCAGGACGTCGTGGTGCTCGAATGCTCCGGCGTATAACGACAGACGGCAAGTGGGAGCAGTGGTAAACACTGTATAATAAATTGGATGGGCGCGACGTCGATCCTCCGAGGCCGGACCCTGAAAACAAGACAGCGTGCAGATTGGGGGCTTCGAGTTGATGGATCGGAGCAGAGGCAGCAGATCATCAACCAACAGAAAGCCGAGGTGGTGCGGTGAGTTGGTTGGACTCGGCCACTTCCGCCGCATGCAGTGCCGAATTGGCCATTTTTCTTTGACAGCCGTCCAAAACAGCAAAACGGCAAATTTTAATTTGCTTTGCTGGCGGCCACTTTGAGATTGTTCTGGATGCAAGGGCTGCAACGGCTGTCGTCTTGTATGCCAGCACCTTACTCTTTCGACCGAACATCGTCGAAGCCCATATGGTCCATCGGTGTCGCCGCCATTGATGCACTGCGCTCTCCCCATCCCGATTTCCCTCTGTCTCGAACGCTTTGATCTCGAATTCTGCTCTGCCGATTCGACGCCGTTCGTTGTCGTTCCATCACGCGATTGTAGACGAGCAACGAATAGAGATAGAAGCACGAGAGGGTGAGACATGTGGTATAGTTTCGAGCTGGAAGAATGGCGACGGTGTTGGGACGGTATTATGACTTCTACCCTCAATTGTGCTCGTCGATTCAAACTCCGATTATGCAGAAACACCGAGGAGCCACGGCGGCAGCACATTGGAAAAATTGAAAGAGAGCTTGACCTGTCGAAGCGGTTTAAAAATTTCCGATGAGTCCGCGAGAGGGAGGCAGACCAGCTGCAAAGCAAGGCTGGAGCAGAGTAGCCTCATCCCATATGTGTCCACGCCATCAACAGACGACAGGACAGATTGCTGCCCACGTCGACGCCTCTTTCTTTCTCAGGGATTTTTCTGGAGGCTTGCCTTTTTGACTCACATTTTTCCCATCGGTCGATCTACGCAAGACCCTCCCTCTAATCTCGCAACTAGGGTCGATCGCCGGTCAAGCCTCTTTCCTTGCCGACTGTCACGTTTAGGCTTGCCTCGCCTAACTTGCTTTTCTCTTCTCTTTTTAGCGTCGTCTCAGACCCTTCCCACATAGTCTATATCCGAGGTGATAGATGATCTCACTCATGCCGCCGTCGCCCGTCGCCCGCTTAGATAAGTCGACCACGCATAGAACGTGCCTTGTGCCTTGTAGACGTCCCAGGGTCTCAGGTGCTTGGTCTCGGCCCTGACAAGTATAAGCGACCGGGTGCGGCATCCGTGTCGATAGCGAGACACTACGGATCTAGTTCCGCACAGAAACTCTCCGTAGATTGTCAGAGTAGATCTTGTCGAGCGGGTACGACGAGCCGCCGATTAGCGCTCGAATCTACCCGAGTAGCAGCAGAGGCTGTAAGATCAATCGCTCTGCTGCAAGATCGCAGTTCAGGGCCGACTCGATAAAGTAGTCGTGCGTGTCGCTCGTTCATTCATGTCTCAGACTTGACTTCCCATGACGCCACAGCGAATTGCATTCCGACGGGCCGATGCGGTGATTGCTTTGTGACGTCTAACGGCGTTGGCCACTAACAAGACGGCTCACGTCGCATCGAATTCGAGATACGAGTGCAACCGTCGGATGAGATCATGGCAGACGCCGAGTGCTCCTCTTGTGAATGCGCGATTGGCCAGGCTAGGTGCCAAGAGATCGACGCTAGGGTGGCATCAACATGCTGGATTGCCGTTGTTAGCAAAGGCCATGTCTGGCATGATATCCCATGACAAGATTTGGTCCATGATGCGCGCCATGTTATCGGATGACCAGGTATCAGAGGTGGGCAACAGTGCATCTCGATTGGTGCCGAACGAGGCTGCAGCGACATTATCGGCGTCGTTGCCACCGGACAGCGTAATGGGCACGTCGGCGGCAATCTGGCTGGGCAGAGCGTTCATCAGCAGCGCCGTTCCTTGCCTCAACGATCTGACTTGACCGGAGTCCGGCGCAGTTTGAGAGGCTCCCGATGGTTCGGCTGCTTCATGGGCGGGACCCGATTGAGATAGATGTGCCTGGTGTTCCTGCCTTGTTGGGTTGCTTATCGGACCCGACGATGGGTCCTTCGGTCGTCTCGCATCGCTCGGTACACCAGCGCCACTGTTCCTGGACGATGTCATGGACGATGTATTCGGCATCAACGGGTTTCGAGTGATCTTATAGTACTCCAACTCTTCGAGTCGCCGCGCCATCTGCACGAGCATGCTCGAAACCAGCTTCTCCAAGCTCTCGACTTCGGGATGCATGGACGAACAGAGTCGCTCTGCGAGCCTGGACAGCACGAGCGCAAATACATCCTCGCGCATGGCAGTATCGTGCAGGCTGTACTGTACGAAGCTGACGCCTTCCATGATGCAGATGCAGATGTGAAGAATGTACCCGCAGGTCAAGAGGAGCGGCAGACCGGTCTGTTCTAAAGTTTCACCTTCGAAGCGTAGGGCACCTGCAAAGCCGGCGAGGACCGCTTCGTCGTCGAGATAGCTGCGTTGACCAGTTCCGAAGAGAAAATGATACAGGTTGGCATCTCGGCCGATCGAGTCCGACAACTCTAGAACAGTTGCAATGCCCTGATTGACGGGCAGCCCCATGCGCATGTAGAGCTGGAAGAGAAAGACCCAATCTGATTGAAATTCGAGGTCGACCCAGCGATCCAGAAATTTGAGCTCAGCCAGGTTGGCCATGGTCCAGAGACGGTGGCGTTTGGTTCTTTTGAAGTCCGCGAGGAACTCAAGGTGCTGGTCGACGCGGCTGGTGATCTCGCGACGCACCTCAGCATCGGTGAAGAGCGGTCGACTGTTCCAGAGTGTGTCCAATTGCGAGAGGCGCACGTGGAAGTCGGCGACCTGGATGGCACGATAGGCCAAGGCAAGCACGCCAGCACGAAAGAGAATCTCATCTTTGGACGGTTTTGTTTGGTTGTGGTCTCGTTGAGCGAGCTTGTCGACCAATGAGATGGCGAATTCTGCGTCGCGACGGAGGCGCGAAAAGTCGCAGGGACGTACGAACGAGTTGAGGAGCACGAACTTGGCACGCCAGATGGAGAGGCTGCACCATAGCGAGAAGCGACTCAAGAGGCCGCGGATTTTGTCCATGAGCTCGGGACTGTGATCTTGGTTGGCCGCACCGAGACCGTCTTGCAAGGCCTGCGACATGACGAGATCAAGCCCGATGGCTTCGGCTGTGGCGGTAGCACTAGAGTGTAGCGACTCACCAAAGACGGCCGAGTTGTTGGATTCCGCACCGGAAGGATCGACGCTAGCGCCGATGAGCGACGGACCGTGCGCGAGCAAGAGCTCAAATGCCTGGGCGGCGTGAAACTCTTTGGGCGAAGAGATGAGCACCTGGAGGCCGACGCGGTCGACGTGAACAGCAAAATTTTTTGCGAGCTGACGATTGCCTGCAATCTTGGCGGCGACGAGGCAGACGGTGGCGAGCAACAGCGAGGTGGACGGTTTCGGTCGATCGTGAAATGCTGTTCGGAGCGATTCGAGGTCCGAGATGTGTGGATGCCACATGCGCAGTCGAGGGAGATGAGAGTTGAGTTCACGCATGTTTTCGTGGGTGAGTAGGCTTGACAGTGGACCATCGAAAGATCGATCCATTTCGGGTCGCAAGAGAAGCGAGAAGGAAGGGATCTTGGTGATGAAGCGATTGAGTGTGACAAGCGGCGAGTGCATGAAGCGGCTGTTGAGGATGTGAATCTCGGAACCTAACACTTTTGTTTGTACGCCGTCCGAGGATCTTGGATCGAGGTAGAGGGCGGCGTCGTAGTGACCGTCAGCGGTGGTGGATGTGGTGGTGGCGTTGTCAATGCGAGTCCCGATGCGTCTAGGGCTCGGTTCGACGGCTGAAGCGGCCGCTGTCTTGGGCGCAGACTGGGCAGAATAGGGTGGTCGGTTGCGTGAACCTGCTTCAGGCGGATACCTTGGCCTCTCGTACAAGTCGTTGCGTCGAGGACTGTCGCTGGAGGTAGATGCTGAGCGCCAGTCGTGGGCGAGGTGCGATTTCTCATCGACGTCATGCTGGAACGCGGTGTGTTGGCTAGAGTGTGAAGTTGTGGTGTCTGGAGGAACAGTGTCGACGGCATAAGCGGGATGTGCGGCGTACACTCCGCGCGAGTGGACGGGAGCAGGAGCCGCCCGCTGAGATAGGCTGGGCAAGTAATTGCGCGAGGGATTGGAAGACGAGTTGATGGAGTCGAAGCGAGGTTTGCGCTTGCGATCGCCGTCCCAGACGACGCAAGGAATGTCGAGCGCCCGACATCGATGGCACGCCTTGTATGCGGGCAGTGGATCGTGAGAAGATGCGACGGCTTCGTCCGGCAGCTCGCAGCGTGTCTTTTTGGAACGGCATGTGAGGCAAGAGCGACGTGCATATCGACGACGTTTGACTGCTTGCGCAGCTACGGGCGAACGTTGCTGCTGACGGTCGGGGGCGCCCACTGATCCGTTCCTCGTGCCCAAGCTGGAGTCCGACGTCGACGCAGAGATTGCTACGGAGCCCACGCCTGGGGCCGTATTTGAGCCAGACGCAACGTTCGAAAGCTGGCCATACACCATCTCAATTCTCGATCACCGCCTAACAGGGTGGCGGCCGCATGAGTATCTTCGAGACGCCAGACCTTGGAGCGAAACACGGACGATCCGAATCGAACGCACAGCTGCTTGCATCGAGTTGCGAGGATGCCGCTCGGGCTGGGGCGACGACGAGAGCGTCGTAGATGATGAAGATGGTGGTGATGAAGGTAGTTAATGAACAGCGACAGCTGCCAGTCCTCTGGTCGGAGCAAGCGAGCGATGGATGTCCGCGCCAACGACGGCTGAGCAGCGCAAGGAATTGGCAGTGTTCCTTGGATGATGGCGGAATAGCCGAAGCTTGATGGCAGTGACGGATGCACAAGAAGCACGGCAACTCCGCACCTCTTCACGCAGTTGTACCGCTCAAGGCGGGACAGCCGAATCACGCGCCCCCGTCACCACTCAGACAATGAGACTAAATCAATCATTTATTCGTTAATTAAATGAACAAAATTCCCCTTCTTGAACCTCCCGCGGCGCTGAATTGAAGATTCCGAGGCGCGGGCGCGATTTTGTGGAGAGAGCTCCCAGACGCGTAGAATGAATGATACCGTGGCCGCTGGTATTTCCAGACGGGGCTGCATGAACGGAGCTGTCAGCGTCCCCAGTCTGAGATCCGAACGTTGTTTCGGAGCGGCTGTGTTTGAGCTGTAGGAAGGTTCGGCGTGAATGGCCTCAGTAAAAAACACGACGCCTGCGATCTCATCTTGATCGTCCTAGTGGGCAAGGTCGACCTCGAACGTTTGCCAGTGGGTCAAGCGTCATTTCAATTTTTCAAACGAGAGCATGCGGTCCTGTCAACAGCATAGCTATTATTTCACTTGAACAGGTGAAAGTGGGTGACGAGCTCGCTGAGTCCCATTACAATTCGTATACAGCAGCTGCGAGATAATCGTCTCGACAATAGAGGTCACAAATAGGCACGTCAATTACACGGCGACGCTGGCCTTGACTTTTTAGCGGCGTGCACCAACATCACGCTCGCACTTCTGATCCGGACGGACCCTCCGAAATGGCGTAGGAACAAGCGACAGTCGTGTCGTGTCAAGACTGGTCGAGAGTCGATGCCGGGTGCAGCCTTGCAGATGAGAGCGACAGATTGACATGCGCTTCAGCCAAGTAGACGAGCACAGCACACTGTACGCGCCAGCATCCCGTCGAGCAAAACGTGGCGACGTGCAAAACACGCAAGAAGTCACCTAAGCGAGGCTCATCTCGTTACTTGTTCTGCCTTCGCTGCTCTCGACGTCAATATGCAACTTCCGCTTTTACGGCCTCCCGCTCAGCGCTGCCAAGTTTCCCAGTGCGTGAGTGCCTGCGTTTGTACCAGTGTTGCCTTGGCACAGCTGTTGAGCCGTGCTGTTCAGTACACCTGTATGGAAGAACGCCCAGCCATGTCGTCGTGCATCTCGTTGTGCAGCCAAGCGACAAATGCAAGGTTTGGCTTCGTCGGCTGCTCGCCAATTCCAAAAGCCAAAAAGTCGCGTCGATTCCGGGGTCGACTGCGACTCTGCGTTTCGAATTTCGCGGTTCGATTCTGGCTTGGTGATGGTCCAGCCCTCGTGCTGCTACCCAGCCGTAAAAGTCAGAAATCACGCACGCAGGCACCGAAGCACGCAGCGTCGAAATTCGTCTCCGCCGACGAGGCACGCTCTCTCTTTCTCTGTGTCTCTCTTGCCGAACGGACTCGACGCTGAGTCCCACCGTCTCTGTCTATCTCCGTTGCATACCTGTTACTTTTTACCAAGATTCCGAATTTGCTGTCGGTCGATCCGCTTGCTGCAACACCTCGCTTGCCGATCGACCGCATTCCTCCATCTACACTCTTTCAAGAGGTCACAATCTTCGCCTCTGCATCGCTCAGCGCCCGCTTTGTCGTCGTCGTCGTCGTCGTCGTCGTCGTCGAAATCTCACATCGGTCGCACTCTTCTGCAGCAAAAAGTGTCAAACGTCATCACCACTTGTCGCGGCGACCCCGACACTTCAGCCTCGGTGCCTCGCCTCACTTCCTTCCGATTCGCAACTGATCCGACCCCCTAGCTCGTCTACCATCGGAGACTCCCGGGTCGGTCGTCGCTCCTCTCTCCTTCCTGCTGAGCGGCGGATCGTTGCTTTGCCGTCTCTAACACAGCTCGCGTATTGAGTCTGCATCGACGCAAAGAAGCCTCAGTCCACGATGAGCAGTTCACCGCGCCATCGCGCCATAAGCCCGCCTACGCCGGCTCCATCGCCGCAGCCCGATCTGCACACCTCAATACGGCTCGTCAACAATGCCGCCGCAGTAGCAGCCGCCGCAGCCGCCGCAGCGGGCGGAGGAGCATCGTCAACATCGTCGTCGACAATCTCAAGCGCGCCGCATGCACTCGCCATCGACCCACACGATCCATCGCAGCTCGTAAAGCATCTCTCGCTCGTCTTGCCACAGTATACGCAGTCGGCTCGTTTCAAGCTCGTCTCTGAGCTCGCCGATCTCTTCAGCGTCCGCGAGCTCGCTCACCTCTCGTCGGTCATCACACCGCGGCTCAAGGTCGACTTCCTCTCGGCGCTCCCCATCGAGGTCAGTCTCAACATTCTCAGCTTTATTGATGATCCAAAGACGCTCGCGCGCGCCAGCTGCGTCAGCCGCTTCTGGAGGAGCCTCGTCAACGATGAGCACACGTGGAAAGTCATGTGCCTCAAGCACAAGTACCGCAGACGCGGAAGCAGCAACGCCGCCGTCCCTTCGCTCGACGACCGTTTGATGCGTTCGATCGCGAATTCCTCGCTCACAAATTCGCTCTCGACGCCTCGCATCCGCGCTCCCGCTGCTTTCGGTGTGGTAGCTTCACCCTCAGCTGCAGCCGCGTCGGCACCGATAGCGATGCACAACGCAAGGAACCACGCATCCGGTTCCCTCGGTGTTCTTCTCGAACAGCCGCTCCGTGCGGCCGCAGCTAGCGATACTGCAGAAGACGCAGAAGATCTCAACGACGACGATGATGACGACGCCGCGGTACTCGCATCCCTGTATCAGCGTTATCGAGATCGCGGTCTCGACCCTTCCAACGCTCTCCACGAATTGCGCACTCTCCACGACCTTTTTCTCAGCAAGCAGGACGGCGTTCACGGCACCCTCAACGAGCCCATGTCTGGGGCCGATCTTGCCTTCTACGCACAGCTCGAGGAGATCGTCGAAGAGGAGAGTCGTGCACGCTACGGAGACGAGCCTGCCCATCCCGACGATTCTGTCCCTTTCCGCGCCAACTCCGTGGCACCCGCTGCTGCCTCCACTACCCCAGCCAGCTCAAGGGCGCTGGCCTCACACACGGATTCTTCGGCGCCTGCGTCCTCGTCCCATCTCGGTTGGTTGAGTGCAGGACCCACTTCTTCTGGTTCCGCCGCTCAGCAAATCAGAGCAACTGCTTCGTCTCCTCCTCCCGCCGCCGCCGTCAGCACCTTCCCTCATGCCATCAGCGGGGCATACCGAACAGCCGCCGGCCGACTCGATCGATTGAGCGGATGGCAGCAGCAGTCGACGCCCGCCACCTTCGTCACGCCTCGCTCCAACCAGGTCGACGACCGCGATGCTCAGCTCGACGAGGCCATGGACATGGACGAGCAGGACGATCTTATGCCCACATTGGCATTGTCCTCGGCCGATGCAGCACCTGTCGAACCCGCCGGTCAACCGCCCAATGCGCCGCTGCTCGCGTCGCTGCCACATCACGATTCGCCCACAGGACGCTTCTCTGCTTCCGCAGCAACCACATTAACGAGCACTCGAGCCGCCACCAGAGGCAGCGAAGGCTCTTTCTCGTTGGTCCCTGGCCCTCGTGAACTCCGACGAAACGCTGCTTCTGCACGGCAGCAACGCAGGAGTTCAGCATCGGCCTCGACCTCGCCAGGCGACGCGGACACTTCGAGTGCACTAACCGGCCTCAACCTGGTCGGCGCTTCTGTCTCGCGCTCGCCGGTGCAAGATCGTTCATCTAGCAGCGCAGGACCGTCGCGCCATCCCGTCGCTTCACCTCCCTCTGCATCACGCGTACACCGCCACCGATCCGCCAAGATGCCGTTCAGCTACCGCACACACTTCAAGATGGCTTACCTCACCGAATCCAACTGGCGCAAAGGCGGTCGCCTTCAGACACAGCACGTCTCTGCAGATGCGGGTCACGTCGTCACCAGCTTGGCCATCGACAGCCAGTGGATCGTCGTTGGCATGGCCAATTCCAAGATTCACGTGTTCAGCGCCGAGACCGGTCTCTACGCGCATACGCTGCTCGGTCACGACGCAGGCGTTTGGTGCCTCACGCTCATCAGTCGTACCAGCAAGGGTGGCAAGCGCAGCGATACGGCGGCGTCCGAGCCGGAAAAGGGCAAGATGGTCATCACGAACCCGGAAGATGGCAGCGGCGGTAAGCCGTACCAGGCGGCAGCGGACGGGGATCTTCGTCTCGTCCACCACGACCCACGTCCCGATGCGGCCGATGTGCTCCTGTCGCCTCCTCCCTCGTCGGCAGAGCTGTCGGAGGAGGACTTGTTCGGCAGCCGTGCCGTGCCATCTTCGAGCTCCAGCTCGCCAGTCTCGGCGGGCAAGGCGCGACAGACATACGGCCACGGCGAGACGCTGCAATGGTTCCACAAGGCTCGCCGTGCTATGCGGCGTCAGCAGAGCGCAAGGAAAGCAGCAGCAGCTGCTGCCGCTGCTGCAGCATCATCGGCAACAAATCAAGATCCATCGCACATTGATCAGCACCTTGCGATGGACGACAACGATCTGAGCTTCGGAGCCGGAGACTCCGATGCCGACCTGTCCATCCGCTCCGAAGGACCTTCCGTGGTGCATCGCGAGACGCGTTCGTCGGTACGAGCGAGGAACGCGCGCGAGAGCGCCAGGGCAATTGCCGAGGCCGAAGCGGGTGCCATCAGGGACGCTGTCATGGCCGATGGCACGGGTCAGGTGCCGGCTGAGCTGGCTGAGCGAATCCGTCGCGACGGCGAGACTTCCGCAGCAGCCTCTGGTACAACTGAGGACACTGCCGGTGGAGCAGCTGGTGCATGGGAACGTACACGGACCGCGTCGGCGAACGGTGTGAATGCTGGTGCTGGTGCTGCTGCTGCTGCATCACAGCAAGCAGGAAACGCGCTGGGAATGGGCAATCCATGCGGCAGTGTTCTCGGCTATGGCAACTCGGACGCGATTGTCGTCAGCGGTGGCTGCGACCGAGACGTGCGTGTGTGGGATCTGCGAACGGGCGAATGCAAGCACGTGCTGCGTGGACACACGTCTACGGTGCGGTGCCTCAAGGTGCTGGACGGCAAGCCGATCGCCGTGTCTGGCTCGCGAGACTCGACGCTGCGCGTGTGGAACGTCGAGACGGGCGAGCACCTGCATCTGCTTGCGGGGCACCAGCACTCTGTACGATGCATTGAGGTGGCTGGCAACAAGGTGGCTTCCGGCAGCTACGACGGGACGTGTCGTGTGTGGGATCTCGACACTGGACGGTGTCTGCACACGCTTCGCGGACACATCCACTACATCTACGCGGTTGCGTTTGACGGCAGACGCGTGGCGACGGGATCGCTCGATTCGACGGTGCGCGTGTGGTCGGCGGAAACGGGCGACTGTCTGGCACTGTTCCAGGGACACACGTCGTTGGTAGGTCAGCTGCAGCTGTTGGACAATACCTTGGTGACCGGCGGTTCGGACGGTCGCGTGATCGTTTTCAGTCTCAAGACGTACGAGTGTCTGCATCGACTCTGCGCGCACGACAACTCGGTCACGTGTCTGCAGTTTGACGATCGGTACATCGTGACCGGTGGCAATGATGGCAGGGTCAAGCTGTGGGACTTTGCGAGTGGCAAGTTTATCAGGGAGATCTGCGAGCCGTGCGAGCAGGTGTGGAAGGTGAGTTATAGAGACGATAAGGTGGTGGTTCTGTGCAAGAGGGGCGAGAAGACGTGTATGGATGTGATCACTTTTCGGCCTGCTGCGGATGAGATGTGAAGGGGGCGGGATTAGTTGGGTGGATTTGTTTTATTGTGCGTACTCTGCAATGCATTGTGTTTTTATCAAGAATTGGAAGTTGCATTGGTGCTGCGCAAAGTGTGGAGAATGCAGAACAATGTCGATTGAAGGAGAGGGCTAAGGGTGTGTGACAAGCGGGACTATCCTTCGTACTCGTCGAGATCAGCGCCCTTGGAGTAAGCTTCTTCGTCTTCGTCCTCCTCATCCTCCTGCTGGTCTTGGTCTTTCTGATCCTTCCCTCGTTTTCGAAGACTATCTCTGTGAAACTCTCCGACCTTGACGATGGCCTCTTTGGGGATGACACCTTTGGGGTTGAGGAAGTGGAAGTCGGGACCTTGGAAGACGTCGAGGTAGTTGAGCCATTTGCCGAATTCGTTGGATTCCTGTTCGGTGGCGATGATTCGATCGTAGATCCACTGCTGTTTGAAGGATTCCATTCGGTCTGTGTGGGGTTGGTAGGTGATGGGATCTCGCAGTTCGTCGGTGAGGGAGGGGGAGTCGGGTTTCTTGCGGATCAGTGCGCGAACTTTTTCGTTCGAGTGAGAGATTCGTTGGTTGTAGGCGTCGAAGATCGGGTTTTCGAGGAGAAGACCGAGACCGGGTGCTTTGGGAATGTGGACCCGGGCAGGTCCGAAACACTCGTCCACCAACCCTTCGCCTGCTCCGGTTCGTCCAACTAGTACTAGCAGCCCGATCATCTTGCGAATCTGATGAAGCATGAAACTCTGTCCCCAGAATTTGATGCTCACCCACTCCACTCCCTGGATCATCTTGGGATCGGAAATCGTCAAACGCTTCATGAAGCGCTGACACGATCGATCTCGAAACTCCTTACCGACGGTGAAATTGTGGAAGTTGTGCGAACCGCTGTACCTCGCGAAAATAGATCGGATGCGTGCGAGCGCAGTTGCGAACAATCGATACTGCTTCTTCGCAGCGATGTCGGTGGCGAAATCAGAGGTGGTGCCGTGGGCTGTCCAGAAGGGGTGCGAAACGATCTCGTCAAGACACGTGGTGGTGGATTCTGGATCTTTGGCTAGCTCTTGATCGCGCATCTTGAGCAACATGTCATGCATGGTGGAACCAGGTTTAGGCGGGATAAAGACGTACGTCGGCAAGAGGTATTCGTACATCCTACTGTCGCAGCTCTGCCTGGCGTTGAAACCGTTCTGCACGCGAGTGATGCCCCAGATGCGAATGAAATCGGGTAGGAGCGAGTTGACTTTATCGACCAGGGTCTCGCCTGGCTTCAAGCCGTCAGGTTGGAGGATGAGTTTGAGCGAGAGCAGGTTCCCAGCTGCGTGGACACCACGATCGGTTCGGGCGGCTCGCTGCAGGCCAACCTTGTTGGGGTTGACAGCGTTGTCCGAGGAGACGGCGCCGGCGGTGCAGAAGGCGTCAAAGATGTCGCCTTCGATGGTCTTTACGCCCGGGTTGATCTGGAGACCCGAGTAGCCGATACCGCAGTAGCCGAATTTGACGGCGACTTTGCGTTTGGGGAGACGATCCGAGGAGGCAGAGGAGGAGGAAGAGGAAGAAGGATCCGAGGTGGAGGGGGTGGGATGGTCGTTGGATCGACCGGTGCCACGACGATCTCTTCGCTCCCATTTCTTCTTGCCGCCGTTGTCGTTGTTGGCGGAGTTGTCGAAACGTGCACGTTTAGGCGCTGATTCTGGGCTGGCTGCATCACCGTTCTTGGTCTCGGTGGAAGCAGGGACGGTTGCTTTGGTTGTGGCTCCTGTGTCGAGCTCTCGCTTGAGAGGGTTGGCATCACCTTCAGAGGCGTCCGAGACTTGAGGTGCAGCCGCAGCCGCTGCCACTTCCCGCTCGAGTCTCTGCGTCATGATTTTGATCTTTGCTAGCTTCTCGTCGATGGTATCCGAGTAGAGCACGGTGCGTTGGACAGGAATGCGTTGGCCTTTAGCGATGCCGAGGGCGATGAACCAATCGCGAGCTGAATGGACGGCGATGCGGTGCGAAACGTGCAGGTGTCGACTTTGGTATGGTGCTACTGCTACTGCTGCACGCCACAAGCAGTGCGGTCGAGAGAATGGGAGAAATATGGTGTGAGAACGGGATGCCGAGTCGACGGGATGATGGTGTTGGTGTGGAAGCAAAGGAGAAATCGGAATCTTTTTTTGTTTCTTTTTGGCTTTTTTCGGCGATTTCTTCCTGAAAATGATTTGGCGTGCACTTTTCGATCGGCGATTCTTCCAAGCAATCGGGAGAGATGGGCGAAGCGGAAAGGCCGATAGAGAAGGAAGAAATCTTTGTGATTTGAAAGGGCCAAACGCACTTTTCAGTTGTACAATCACACCATCATCTCGTTCATCTGTCGATCATCGACTCAGCCTTATCCTCATACACCACCACCACCATGTCGTCCTCATCTCGGCCAACCTCGCCCGACAATCATGGGTCAACATCAACACCACATGCCAATGGCACCACTACCAATGGCGACGCTCACGCTGCTCCCTCCGCTTCCACCTCTTCAGCACCCGTCGAGCCATCACAGGAGGACAAGCAGCAGGCACAGCAGGACAAGACTCAGGGAAACCAGCACTTCTCCGCAAAGGAATACTCCAAAGCCATCGATGCCTTTACTCGTGCTTACGAGCTCGATCCCACCGACTCCACCTTCCTCACCAACCGTGCTGCTGCCAAGATGAGCCTCAAGATGTACAAGTCTGCTCTCTCTGACTGCCAGCTCGCAAAGGATATCCAAGCAAAACAGTCCCCCGACGGCGTTGCTCAGCCAAAGACGCTCATCCGCCTCGCCAGGTGTCACCTTTACCTCGGCAACCCTTCCGGTGCGCTCTCGGTGCTCAACCCCGTCGTCACCATGTCCGGTGTCGACGATGCCTCTCTCAAGCAGGCTAAGCAACTCCAGAAGCAAGCGAACAGCGTCGCAGACCACCTTTCTTCCTTCCAGAGCCTCTCATCCCAAGGAGATTGGTCCGTAGCAGGTTTCGCGTTGGATCAGGCTCAGTCCCATGCCGGCATCTCGGAATCCGACGTCCCCCTCACATGGCGTATCATGCGCGCCACCGTACACCTCCACAAGAACAACCTCGACCAAGCCAACAGCGTCATCGCAGACGCACTCCGCGCCGATCAAAGCAACCCGGAAGCTCTCCTCGTCCGCGCTCGCATCTTGCTCGCCAAGGGAGACATCGCCAAAGCGGTGGCGCACTGTCAAGCTGCGCTCCGATCCGACCCCGAACAGTCTGGTGCCAGAGATCTGCTCAAGAAGTGTCGTCGACTCGAAGCCAAAAAGGAAGAGGGAAACACCAACTTCAAGCAGGGCGACCACGCTGCTGCTGTCAAGAGCTTTTCCGAAGCCTTGGAGATCGCCGACGAGAAATCCGATCGAGATGGACCGGCGCAAGGTTTCAAAGCTATTCTCTACTCCAACCGCGCCACTGCCAACTCCAAGGACGGCGACCACCAAGCTGCCATCGCCGACTGCGATGCTGCTCTCCAGCTCGATCCGGGATACGTGAAAGCGCTTCGAACCCGCGCCAGAGCACTCCTCGCCGTCGAAAAGTACGAAGACGCGGTCCGCGACTTCAAAAAGGCTCTCGAAGAAGCTTCGGTTTCCGGCGGTCGCGAAGCCGAACAGTTGCAGCGCGAACTGCGTTCTGCAGAGATCGATCTCAAGAGGAGCAAGAAGAAGGACTACTACAAGATCCTCAGCGTCAGCAAGGACGCCTCGGACAGCGAGATCAAGAAGGCCTACAGGAAGGAGTCGCTGAAGCACCATCCCGACAAGGGAGGTGATGAGGAGAAGTTCAAGCTTTGCAGCGAGGCGTACAATGTGCTGAGTGACGAGAACAAGAGGAGGCGGTACGATGCGGGCGCGGATGATCTCGAGAGCGATGGGATGGGTATGGGTGGCGGGTTCCCGGGTGGAATGGGCGGGTTTGGTGGTCCCGGCGGTGTCGAGATCAATCTGGCCGATCTGTTTGGTGCTGGTGGTGGAATGGGCGGTGGCTTCCCCATGGGAGGTGGCATGGGTGGCATGGGTGGCATGGGAGGTGGATTCCCCGGTGGACAGAGGAGAGGTGCACGACCGCCACCTGGCTTCCACTTTGGTTGAGGCGATGGACTCATGCAAAAAAACAAAGCATCTACTGTAGACGTGCAATTTCGAACTCGCGTGTACCACCACCCAATCCGCAGTTGATAGCCATTGCGAATAGTCGGGGACGAGTCTGTGCAGCCGCGTCGTCATCGTGGCTTTGCAGGCTTGGCGACGTACACTGTACACCCTGCCTATCCTGACCTACCACTTACAATGGACCGTTCAACTCTCGCACCATCCACACATATCTCTTCGATAAAGGGTAACGATTGTTGCAATGCGAGCGAAGATACAAAGAAGAACCAAAAAACAGACAAAGACTGGAGCGGCGATTTTTACTTGAAGACGACCTCTACCAAGCGATCCAAGCCTTGCCTGGCTCTGGTGGCTGCGGACCTCTCCACCTCGACTCCCTCCTCCTCCAGTTCGCTGTTGAAGACCTCGATGCTCCACACACCCCTATACCCTGCCTCCACGACTTTCCTCACGAAGGCCTCCACTGGCATGAATCCGCCTCTGTGCTGTTCGCAGGGGTACAACCTGCTGCTTCTGCTCCAGATCATCCTGCTCGGTCTCGGCTCCCCCTCTCGCGGGCTTGGTTCCAGTGGGCTTGGCATTTTCCTCGCATCACCGATTTGGAGCAGGAAGATCTTGTCGCCTGGAACAGTGCGGATTTGAGCGAGGCTCCGTTCGAGTGCGCTGAGAGTTGAAGAGATGGGTTCTTGGATTCCCGAGGTGGAGCAGGGGTCGGCAAATTCGCGGGCTAGTGTGTTGAACGAGTCGAAGATGAGACCGATGTTGTCGCGATTTACGAGGCGGACGATGTTCCAGGCTTGGGACCAGAGATCGATGTGGGCGCCCCAGGAGAGGGCTTCATAGCCGACGTTGATTTCCCACCCTGTTTGTGATGAAAAGGAGGAAGCCATATCGGAGATCTCGAGGAAATCTTTTACGATGGTATCCGCATCACCTGTCGTGCGAGGAGCAGGTGTATTGGAAGAGCAGATCAGGAGCAAATGCGTACCCAGCGCACGCATCACCTCGAACCTCCCCCGTACCCGTTCCATCGCTTCTTGCCTGTCTTCGAGTGCAACCCACCCTTCAATATCCCTCAACGGCTGCAAACAACTAACCTCCAGCCCCCTCGCCTCACAGTACCGCCTCACATACTCCGCTGCCTCCACCTCCCTCCTCCTCTCCTCCGCCGTACACTCGCCCATCGAACTGTACCATTTCTCCTCCTCCTTCCCCTTGAGCAGCGCAGGTTTGCTCAACGGGCTATCCGGAGGAGTCAACAGCTCACCCCTCCCCTGACAACTCTCCACCTTGCGGATACCTCCAAACTCCTCCGACTGCGCGAAAACCCACAGATCATCCGTAAAGATCTCGACCTGTTGAATACCCACGCGGGAGATGGAGTCGAGTTTGGAGAGAAGTGTGTGGTTGGAAGTGTGGTACCCTACTGAGTGGGTAAAGATCGAATATGTTGGGTGGAAGGACGTCATTGTGTCGATAGCCTGCGAATGGGTAGGAGAAGTGATGGTTGGGATGGAAAGACGTTGAGGACGACAGATGATGAGATAGGAGGGTAAGGGTTAGCCGTGAGGTTACACACAGCACAATTTGACAGCAGCAGCTTACCCCTCAACCGCGTGGTGTGCGTCGAGCCAAAAAAAAGCACAGGTTCGGATACATGTAACCGACGACGACAAAATTGACCGACCAAAGTCACACGCGCGCGCATAACCTCGGCTATTTCCCCCCCTTCCCCTCCACCTCGAGCAACCGGCTAATTCGGCTATTTGTCGATTTCGGACAATTGTGTTGCCATGTGTGCACAGCCGGAGCATATGCATAGGTACGCATTCCTTCACTATGCATCACAATGATGGCAGGGCGACCGGGGAACACAGGAAGAATGTTTCTCCATACCCAGGTCGTGCGGAGGGGGGAACGTCGGGTGTGGAATCACTTTCATCCCTGAAGCACCACTCGACGGCAATTCGTTGATCCCCGAACCCCTTTGCTCTTACCGCACACACTTCCACACTCACACACACAACTACTTCGCTGGCCCGAAATGTAAGATCGCTTATTCTCATCTGACAGCTCTACTTGATGTCCAACATACTTCTGACCAACTCCCTCGCTTCCTCCTCGACCTTGAACCCGATCGGGCCCTCATCGCCCGCCTTAACGGCGAACTCGATGGGCTCGAACTCGGCCATCCCCTGTTCCCAGGCCTTGGCTGTAGCGGCCCACATCCTCGCCTGTGCCAGACCCTGTTCGACCATGGCTTCCACTCCACCTATGGCTAGCCAGTGGTTCTGTTCGGCGAGACGGAGGAGAGGTGTGATGCGCGGTTTGTAGCACATATCCAAAAAGGGTCGGTTGGTGGGTAGTGGTAGTTCGATCAAAGCTTCCCCTGCTTCGGCGGAGGGGAGGGGAGCGTGGGGTTGGGTGAGAGCGTGGTAGGGGGAAGCAAAGAACATCTCTGCTAGGGTGTATACCATCTTTTCGTCGGGCGTCTCGGGTGCGAATGCCGGAATAGCACCTACCGCACAAGCGATGTGACCGATCTCTCCTGCGTCGCGTTTGGCCGCTTCCGCGTTGTACGCTTCGATCGAACGCAGCGGTCGCAAATCGAGCGAGTTCCCGAAATGTTCGACGACAGCTTGCGTTTCCGCCGCATCACGATTCAGCAGGTAGATCGGAGAGAGACCCATCTGACTAACCGCGTATACAGCCGAACGACATGTTCCACCGGAACCGATGATGAACGCCGAGTAGTGCTTGCCCTCCGGATTCCTGGGAAACACATACCTCGCAGCATAGCCCAATTGTGGATCGAGGTACTTTGTCACCCTATCCTCCGCATTGCACTCGGCTACAGCGCGGAGGACAGAGTGTGAAATTCCGAGGTAATCCGTGTTGGTACCAATCATCTTTCTGCTACCGTTGTGCGGGACAGAGATGATGGTGTTGACCGTCTGAGTCGCTTTCCCCGCTGCACTGAGTTCATCTATCACCCCCTCTTCGCCCAACGTAGCGGTGATGACTACTTTGAGCGGCATGGTGACACCTGCACCGGCGAACAGCGGATCGTTGCGTACGATCTCCCTCAGGTGCGGCTCGTCGATGCTCTTGGTGTCCTTGAGAGAGTAGGTCGGGAAGAAGGATTGCTTGTCGGATCCAGGGAATGCGTTGATGGGTGCGATGGATTGCAGCATGAGGTTTTGGAAGGCTGGGCTGGCGGAGTGCGAGATGGGCGAACCGAAGAGGAAGTACCGCCGAGCAGAGGAGGCGATTTGTTCGGGAGTGGGGTGGGGTGGTGCGTTGGCAGGAGTTGCGGTTGCGTGACCGTTGGTGCCGTTGGCATGACCTTGGAACGAGATCGACTGCGACATTGTTTTCTTGCTACCCTACCGTACCGTATTGGTCTTGCGAAAGTATGATGGAGGAACGAGAGCAAACAACGACGAACAAGAAGAACTCGTTCAAAGGGCTCGAGGAGGGTCTTCCTTACAACTCGGCCGACAGTCTCTCTCGCCGTTAGAACGGCTAAACGGTGTGTGTCGTATAGCCGTTTCGGTGAATACGAATTTCGCCGTTGGGCAAGCGCCAAAGTTGCCAAGATGACCGGTGAGTCAAGTCTGTCTGGCGCAAGGCAAACCACGCGGTCCGACTGTTTGGCTCGGACGGCTATTCGCTGCTGGTGTACCGCCCGAACTACGAAACTCGCTGTTATACCACGCTTGCCGTTTCGGATAACCGAACTGAATCCGCTACTCAGTTCTTTGCCGAGAAGACCGAGGATGACCCGCGGGTGCTATTCCCCCTGCTAGAGAAACTCTCCGCGACTCGGCTGTACGAATGCTGCTCCAACAACTCTCCGCGCCCTAGTTTATGCTCGAACGGCTCCCCATCACCATCTCCACCTTTCATTCGTCCAGACGCAAACGCAAAAAAAACCGCATGGTCGATTCGGCATCCCGCTCTTGTTGCGATTCGCACGCCATTCGTCCAACACTTGCTCTCTGTGCCCGAGAGTAACCGGGACCTTCGCATCATCCCGCAGATGAAGATTTGGGCCCCTCGAAACCCAACTGAGTGGGTGGAACATGGAGCCCCTCGTCTGTAAGATGAAAAAAGATACCATGCGGTGCCCCGGTTATTCAGCTTGTGAGGGGAGTGGTCTCACGCTCGGATACAAGATTGCTAACGCCGTTGAACAAAAGTTTCGTACCTTGCAGATGAGGAATCCCACGTCGGTGGTTGGGCGAAGACTGTAAGTCCATGTTCGCCCGTTCAGCCCGGTTGACAGCATCAAGTGAGAAGAAATTGATTTTTTTTTGTGGTGGCAGCGGGGACCCCACGAATGAAATCTCGCCAGACTTTTCCCGTTCCTGTGCTAGAGTGCCTGCGGGGGGAAACTCGACCGAGACAGAGAGAGAGTTGACGCTGTTCTCCGCATGGGATTTTTTCTCTCGTTTGGACTCGCCACTCTCTCCCCCCGCCTTCGCCTCGACACAACACATATAACCCCCACTTCCGCCTTCGTACTTCCGACTTTTCTCCATTTCCCCCCAGACACCACGTCCTTCAACCCATCATCGCCGCTCCTTTCTCTTTCCTCAACTGACTTCGGTATCCCCGTTGCAGAAGCAAGCGAATTTGAAGACTTTGCTTCTTAACGGTGCGGAAAAGCGCAAAACTCAAACAAGACACCAACCGAGTCACACACGCGATTTAAAGAAAAACTTTTATTCTTACTGTAAAAGGCGCAGCGCGGATCTTGAATTTTTAGTCAGTTCGCTTTCCAAAACAGCTGTCACAAAACCGGTCAACCTAAACGAGAGGATACTTCTCATACCACACCACCATCTCCCCCCCACCCACAAGCATTCGCCAAGATGGGATTCCTCAAACGAGTCGAAGATAGACCCACCCCGCAGTCGGTCTACAACTGGCGAGTGTGGGTTTTCTCCTTCATCGCCTCGTTCGCTTCGATCATGATCGGCTACGATTCGGCGTTCATCGGTGGAACTCTGGCCCTCCCATCGTTCACAAAGAGCTTTGGAAAGCTCGATGCCAGCACCTCGGGAAACTTGGTATCGACGTACCAGGCAGGTGCGTTCTTCGGTGCCTTCCTCGGTCATCCGCTCGGACACTTTTTGGGCAGGAAGAGGGGGTTGTTGATCACATCGATCGTGTTTACCATCGGTGCGGCGATCATGACCGCTGCTGGTCCTAGTACACACCTCACCCCCGTGTATGTCGGTCGTGCCATCGCAGGTATGGCCATCGGCGCTGCGAGCAACCTCACCCCCATCTACATTTCCGAGATCGCCCCCGCTCCAGCACGTGGTCAGGCTATCGGTCTGTACGAAGTCGGCTGGCAGATCGGTGGTATCGTCGGCTTCTTTATCAACTACGGCGTCCTCCAGACGCTTCCCTCGAGCGTCAAGCAGTGGAGGATTCCGTTTGCAGTGCAGCTCATCCCCGGTGGAATGCTCATGATCGGTTCGCTGTTTTTGGTAGAGAGCCCGAGGTGGTTGTTGTCCCGAGGAAGGGTCGAGGAGGCCAGGGAGAAGCTGGCCTACATCAGGCAGCTCGACGTGGACCACCCTTACTTTGTCGAGGAGTTCGGTCAGATGCAGGCTGCGATCGAGGAGAACAAGATCAAGGCAGGAGGCGACTCTTACTTCGCCCCCTTCAGGTACGTCTTCCGCCAGAAGCACCTCATCAGGCGACTGGCGTTCGGCTCCTCGCTCTTCGCCTTCCAGAACGGCACCGGTATCAACGCCATCAACTACTACTCTCCCACCGTGTTCAAGTCGCTCGGCATCACAGGTACTTCCACGGGATTGCTGGGTACCGGGTGCTTTGGAGTGATCAAGACGATCGGGTCGTTCATCTTCATCCTCTTCCTCGTCGAGACCGTGGGACGACGTCGTCTGCTCATGATCTCCTCCTCCGGTGGTGCTTTTGCCATGTACTACATCGCCGCGTACATCGCCATCGCCAAACCGGCTCTGCACAAGAAGACCTCGATCGATGGACCCGGAGCCTCTGCTCTCGCCTTCTTTTACATCTGGACGTGCTTCTACTCGTTCGGTTGGAACCCGCTGCCGTGGGTGTACGGAGCCGAGTCGTTCGACAACACCGCCCGCCCCGTCGCCCAGATCTTCATGGCCGCCTCCAACTGGCTGTACAACTTTGTCATCTCCCAGGCGACCCCGCACATGTTTGCCAAGATGGGCTACGGTGTCTACCTGTTCTTTGCTAGCTGCATGGTGCTCAGCGTGATCTGGGTGTTCTTCCTGATGCCCGAGACCAAGGGTATCCCGATCGAGGAGATGGACAACCTGCACGAGAAGAGGCCCCAGAGACATGCGCACAGGATGGTCATGGAGGAGCTCAGGGTGAGGGCTGCCGAGAACAGAGGAGAGGCCGTGTTGGCCAACGCTGACGACGCAGCTTACTCGCCCAGCGATGCAGCTAGTACCAACGGCAAGGAGGATGCCATGACCCAGGTCAAGATCAACACCGCTTGATAGATGTTCACTCGGTGATACACAGAGGGCCGGCGTTGGTCATTGTAGTTTTAGAGATTGGCAAAGAAGAATGTCACGCTTTGTTCGCACACTTCGTTTCGTGGTGGTTGAGCGTGCTGCCTGAGGATGATGTTGGGTGTGTAGCGAACGACAGAGGTGCGCCAGTGTGAGGAAGCGGTCTGGTCTGATGGCAAGAGTCGAACGATCATGGTGCGGGGAGAGACACGATGAGGTTACCGTGGTTACCGTGGCACAAGATGAAAGCGCACAATCTCGACAGCGTCCGACCAAATTAACCCGAAGGGAAACGCTCGATCTTACATTCCACAAAAATCGACTCGCGCGGGAATTCTGAGTGTCGGCGTTGTGCGATTGCAATCGGGCTCAGGCAAAGGCGCCAAATCGACGAACTGCCCAGTGCACTTTCATTCATCCTTCTCTTTCTTCTTCTTCTTCTCATCCATCCACAACTCTCATCCCGTTCCTCCAACTCGACATTCACTCGTTCACGATGGCAGGCGAAGGTCTCGACGATGAGCTGCTTGCGCTCGCCGGCGAATCCGGTCGCAAGCAGATCGACCTCTCCTCGGACGACGAAGATCGCGTCGTACGCACCGGTTCCAAGCGCGAATCCAAACCCTCCACCACTTCCTCGTCTTCCCTCGCCAAGAAGCGTCGTCTCGATCTCCTCGATGAATCCGCCTCCGGCTCCGACGCCGACGCACCCGGTTCCTCCGACGACGACTCCGACGCCGACGCTCGTCGCGATCCCTACCCGTACCAGCAGATCTACAAGAACGCAAAGGACATGCAGGACCTCATGTCCATGAACGAGTTGGACCGCGAAGATATCCTCGCCAGAAGAAGGGACGAGATCAACAAGAGGAGGCAAAAGTTCGAGCTCGCCGCTCTCGTGAAAGCTCAAAAGGCCGCTGCCGGTGCCACGCGGAAGCAGCAGCCGAAAAAGAGGGTGGTGCGAGGTGGTGCACGTGGTGCAGGCAGAGACGACTCGCTGAGCGAGAGCGACGACGACGACGACAGGGATCAAGAAGAGGAGGATGGCGATAGCGACTTTTTGTACGGCAAGAGTGGAGCGGCTACAGCGGCAAAAAGTAGGAAGAAGAAGTTGCCGGGACAGACGGATGCTAAGAGTGCAAAGTTGAGCGAACTCAGGAAGAAGAGGAAGGAGAAAGCCGCGGGAATCTCGACCAGGTACGAATCGGACGATGAAGCAGCTACTACCACAAAGACCAAAGGTCGAAGGGGCTATGCGTCGGACTCTGCCTCCGAGGTGTCATACTCCGACTACTCGGATGAGGAAGACCACCCGCGTCGCGGGGGCAAGACCGCCCTATCCTCCATCAAATCCGATCCTCGCGATTCGTCCGAACCTCCTCCGCTGGCGGACCTCAACGCGGCGCGCATCACCCGCGATCAGATCGAATCGCGGCTCTACGCCCCGCGCTGGCGCGACGTGCTCACGGGCTCCTTCATCCGCTTCTCCTGGGGCACCCGTCCCTCGGAATCCAACCCCTCCCGAACAGAAACCGTCTACCGCATCCACCAGATCACCGACATCCTCGAAAAACCCGGCAAGTTCTACGACCTCTCCTCCGACCGTTCCGGCAAGTGGTGCAACGTCTACCTCGTCTTCGAACATGCGGGCAACGAACACGAGGCCAAGATCAACATGCTCTCCAGGGGCGAATTCACCGAATCCGAACGAGATCGTTGGATCGCCTTTGTCAATTCTTCTTCAAAATCGTCCCGGGTTCCAAGGAAAGCTGCGGTGGGTAGGAAAGCGGACGAGTTGGAAAAGTTTTTCACGTCTCCATTGACGGAGGCGGATATTGGGAAGATGTTGGAGACGAAGAAGCGGTTGAGGTTGGAAGCGATCAGCGTGATGGGTGGGAGTGCGGTGTTGGGTGCTACGGCTGGGTTTGATTCTCCCAAGACGCCGGGCGGTGCTACGCCAACGATGAAAGCTGGGCTGGACGGTGTGGGAGCGGAGGCGAAGACGTTGGAGGCTAGGTTGGCAGAGGTGAACGTCAGGAATAGAGCACTGGATAAGAGCAAACAGAGCGACGTCGAGAGGAAAGCGAGGAACACCAAGATCGCTGCGTTGCAGGCTGAGAGAGCCAAACAGCGCAAGGAGGAGGAGCAGAAACAGCAGCAGGGAGCAGCGAATGGTGAGGGTGAGGGTGGAGTCGAGTTGACCAATGCAAAGGTGGGAGAGAGTGGGATGGGAAATGGTTTCGTGGCGGTCAAGAACTACTCGACGCTGGTGGAGGTGGATCTGGGCGATTTCTAAACATCGAATCGAATGCCTGTACAATGCTCACACACAAAACCGACTTGACTCGTGACAATGGAAGATTGGAGCGACATGTGGCCTCTTGGACTTTGATCGAGTGTGATGCAGAGACGTGGCGATGTGGGCAGCGTTCTAAGATGGACGACACGATCTCAGCGCTTGCAACTTTCTCTGCTCGCAAAGCATCAACCCCCAATTAGAGCGGTCGCTACTCTTCCCTCGCAACTCCGATAGTCGTCCCTATTCTCTCACAGCGTCACGTTCCGCCCGTCTCAATCCCCATCGTGTTGAAGTTGCTCCATACCCGCACTCACGATGCACAAGCGCCACACGTCGACACGCACAATCGCATCTCTTCCCCAACCATCTATTTCCCTGTTTACCCCCTCCTCTCCCCGCCGTCTACCTCCTTCTGAACCACAGCACGTACGCACTGTTCCCCTGCAACTTGCTCGTATCGCCCTTGACAATCCTACTGTCATCGCAGTACCACCACTCCTTTCCGCTCTTTACCGTCGCCGTATAATGCCCCGTGTTCAGGCTGCCAAAGTGGTGCGTCACGCCATACAGGTCGTACAGATACGGCGGTTTCTGACTGCCGCTCTCCACCACCCCTGCACCCATCGCCGCCCCCGCGCCCGGCGGCAAAGGCGGCGGCATGTAATTCGTCAGATCCAACGGTCTGTCCACGGGATACCTCACCTCCGTATCCAACTTATCCGTAAACGGACCTTTGAAGCTAAAGCGCTTCAAATGAATCAGCAGCACCTGGGGCAACCTCGAGACGCTCAACTTCTTGGTCGCCTTCCTCGGCCTCTTGCACCTGCTGCAATTCCACATATCCCCTTTGTCCAACACCTCTTCCCTCACAAACGCATCCAAGCACTGCTCCAACCCCACCTTGCCTCCCTTCCCGCCCACCACCGGCAACGAGAGATACGTAAACGCCTCGTACGTGGTACTTGTCTTCCCACAAGTGAGACACGTCAACTTATTCCTGAACTGACCCTGGAACCAATCCACCACCAAACTGTCGTTGCGCATCCGGTAGATCTTCCACTCCTTGACGCTCGCCACCTGCTGCGGCAGTGTCTCCAACTCTCGCTCCCTTTCCTCGGTCATCTCTATCGCCGGCGGTCTAGTCTGGACGTAATTCAGATCCTCGTGCAGTCCATCCAAGAGGATCGCCAAGAACTCCTGCGAATCGTGCTGATCGTACCCCCTGAACGACGGTGCGAACCTCGCCATGGCTTCGCGGAAAGTCACGGGAGAGACGAACGCGTACTTTTCGCCCCACATGACATGGATGAGCCCGGCCAAGGCGGTGGCCAGCTGACCCTGCGTGCCCAGTGGATTGGTCCGGTTGATCGCCTGCTTGTAACTCCCGTCGAGCAAAAACCTCGCCAGCGGAATCGTCGCCGAAAGACACTGCAGCGTCGAGTTCATGTAACACGAGTTGCCGAGGTTCTTCAGCCCGGTCAAGCCGATCTTGATCTCGTCCGCGGCTCGAGTCGGTGCGCTGTAGACGCGAGACTGACCCCCGTACGCAGGCACCACCGCCGTCCCACCTCCCGGCGTCAGCGAAGCCGGCGTACCCGATCGATCGCGACTGCCCGTCGTCGCCGCGGTAGGTGTCGCCGTCGATGCCGCAACAGGCGGTGGCTGTGGCGCCGCCATCATCCCATATGGCGAAGTGACGCCAGAGCCTATCGTGTTGGGTTTGAGTTGAGGATAATCGAACGTAGTCGACGAGTTCGACCGAGAAGGCGGGCGGTGTGCTGCTGCAGGTGGGAACGAAGGTGCACCCTGATATGCACGTGCTGGCAGAGAGGGAGGCGCATACCCGCCGTCGAAAGATCCCGCTGCATACGGAGAGCTCGTGCCGTTCGTCGCTCGGCTCGGATAGATGCCTCCCGGCTGCATACCCGTCTTCCCAGGTGCCGACGGCGATGCCGGAGCAGACGGAGGCGCATACGACGAGCCATCGGCAAACACCTGCTGCTGCCTCCTGACACGCTTGAGCTCCTGCTCCCTCGCCTGCTCCGCCGTAACTCCCCTCGTGCTAGGGTCTTCCGCCGTAGGAAAGCGTGTCCCCGGTTCGAACGAGATGCTGCTCCTCCCAGTCTGCTTCGGCGTCCCATTGTTCGCGCTCCTTAGCACCAATTTATCCCCGAGCTTCTGCGACCACCTCTCGAACCCGCCCACTAACAACACCGGCTGATGCGACAGTGTCTTTTGAAACTCGTTCTCGTAAATAGCCCTGATCAACACGTCCATCCTTGCCTGCGCCGTCGGATCCTGAGGAATCTTATCCGCCGACAAGCTTCCCCTCAACGATCTCAGGTTCCTGTCGTACAGCACCACCAGATCGAACTGGTTGCGCGTCGCAAATGCCGACTGCTCCTCCTGCGGCGAAATCACGAGCTTATCCTCGATCTCTCCTGAACTCATCCCCTCCCTCAACGTGAAGGGTTCGATGCACACGGTCCTACCGCCCGAAATACGACCAGCCTCGTACTCGGCCCGACTGCGTACATCCAACAGCAGCACATCCAACCCCATCTTTTTGCCGATCTTGCGTCTGCCCTCTGCATCGGTGAACTCTTGGAAGCCCGGGTTGAGGTAGCTGAAGAGCTCTTCGACCGAGATGTGGTTCTTCATGGGTAGCGCTGGTTTGGAGCCGACCATGAGCGAGCGAGGTTCCGGTGTGCCGTCGAAGGAAGCGCCTGCTGCCGATGCCGGATGGGGGGCCGACGCTGCCGAGCTGGTCGAATAGCGTGTGCTTTGCTGCTGGAGACTGAAGCGACGATCGCTGTCCTGATACGGCAATCCATCGATCTGACGCTGCGGCTGTTGGTGCTGCTGCTGTACCGACGGTGCTGCTGGCTGTGTATTCGAATCAAAAGGCTCTGGTACATCGCGAGCAATGGCAAACTCGCGCGCGACATCGGTAGAACTGGCACTCGGTGGTGCGGGAAGCGGACGTTTCGCCTTACCCACAGCATGCGTAGGTGGAGCAGGAAACCCGTTAGCATCCGTCCCATTCGAAGTTGCTGTATTGCTGCTCTCGAACTGATCAATTGTAGGATAGGACGAGTTGAACTCGGAGGCTGTCGGAACGTCCGGGAAGCTCGGTTGAGCCGACGAGGCGTCTAGCAAGGTTTGGCTGAGGTCGTGGGTTGAAAAAGCGGATGCGGCGCTGTCGGACCTGGCGCGATTGCGATGCTCTGCGGGATCGGTGACAGCCGAGTTGCGAAGAGCCTGAAGACGATCTGCGAGCGAGCTGCCGGTGCGTCTGCCGGTAGCGTGATGGTCGTCGATCGGTTCGGCGTCTGTGCCGTGAGCTGCGTGGTCCTCATCAGAGTCAGCGCTTGAGGTCGCATTCGCACTCGCCGAGCCCTGGCTGCGAAGAGCCGAATCGCCTGGCGGTTGCTCCCGCAACTGGCGTTCTGCATTCCTCGCCTGCTCCTGTGCCATGTCCCTGTTCGCCTGAGCGTTCCTCTCCTCCCTAACCGCCAGCTGCGCCTCCAACCTCTTTGTCCTCTCGATAAACACGGGAGCCTGTTTCATGAGCTCATTGTACGCCTTGTACACCGATCCCGTGCGCGCCTTTGCGATGGTGGGCCACTCATCATGCTTGGCGATGAAGGCGGCGACGTTGGCGGCTTTGAGGTAGTTGACAAAGGCGACCTCGATCTGGCCCTGAGCGTCTGCGGCGCGCGCCTTGTCGAGGAGGGCATTTGCAGCGCCGATGTAGGTTTTGACGCTGAAATTGGAGTCGAGCTTGGGTTGGGCTTGCTTGCGGAGGTTGAGCGGGTGGTTGGCGGAGAGGAAATGGGAGCGGGATGAGCTGGCGGTGGCGGCGGCAGCGCCGTTGGTCGGGCCCACCGCGGCGGGCATGTTGGCGGCGGTGCAGAGACGATGCTCTGGGCCAAATGCGGATGCTGTGTGCGGTGGTTGGAAGATGGTGTCAGGTGCTGAGTTGCAGATGCTTGGTTGTCACCACAAGAAAGCGATCGTAGAGGGTGATGACTGGCTGAATGCGGGTATCGTCACAGCAGCAGCGTGCCAGAGCTGTCGTGTGGTTGTTGTTCGTAAGTCCAATGGAGATGGAGATGGTGTGTTGCTATGAATGATGCGGAAAGGAAGATACGGGTTGGTGTGTGACAATGATGATGCTCAGTCTGTGCTCAGTGCATGCGATCCAGCGTCGGTGATTCCGCTGCGTCTATCGGCCTGTGCGTGTGCGTGCGTGCGGAAATGCTGTGTTGTGCAATGCAGTGCTTTCTCTCGCTGTGTGTCTCACGAAGCTGTGTGGGGTTGCTGAAATCCAAATCATTCGCACAGCACAGCGCGACTCGCGAAAAAGTGGAGCATGAAATTTCGGTGTGCGATTCTAGTGCCTGAAAAGAAAGGGGTTTCCTTCCTATTTGGCGTGTGAGACGGCAATTGCCAAGAAGGCTTCAATGTACAGCTGCCTTGCTCAATCAAACAACAACAGACATCAATGACAGGGCCACAAGTATACATCAATCAACAGCAAAATAGAATACAGAGAAGAAGTGCAATGATATCTACCTCGCAACTCTCACAACTTGGCTTTGACGCCACCAGCAGGCACCAACACCTTGCCTTCACCCTTGAACCATCCCGGGGGCGTCGGCTTGGTCTCTACCCACTCGTGCCTCGTCTCGACATACTCGTCCAACCCTTTACTTCCCAATTCCCTGCCATTACCGCTCATGCCGAATCCGCCCCACTCAGCAGCAGGCGTGTACGAGCCGTACGAATTGACCCACACCGTTCCATGCCTCAACCTCTTTGCCACCCTCCTCGCTCTCCCCTCATCCCCAGACTGAACACCTCCCGCTAGACCGTACTTTGTATCATTAGCCAAAAAGATGGCATGCTCTTCGTCTCCATCCTTGAAACGTTCTACAGTCAGGATGGGTCCGAACGTTTCCTCCTGTACGATGCGCATGTCCCGCTTGCAGTGGTCGAAGATCGTTGGGCAGAAGAAGAAACCCTTCGCCAACTCCGGGTGGGTTTTGGCGTCGGGTCGTGCACCACCGCAGATGAGCTTTGCTCCTTCCTCTTTGCCCAGCTTGACAAACGCCTCCACCTTCGAGAGGTGCGCAGCGGATACCAGAGGACCCGTCTCGGATGCAGGGTCCATACCGTTGCCCATCTGGATGCGTTGGGCGCGCTCGGCAACCCCTGCGACAAGCTTATCCGCGATCGAGTCTTCCACGATCAACCGCGCTCCCGACGAGCACACCTGACCAGAATGCAGGAAGACGGCGGTGGTGACGGTATCAATGGCCCAGTCGAGATCGCAGTCGGCAAAGACGATGTTGGGGTTTTTGCCGCCGAGTTCAACGGTGCATCGTTTGACCGTGGTTGCGCAGGAAGAGATGATGCGACGACCCGTGTCGAGGCCACCGGTGAAGGAGACGAGATCCACATCGGCGTGTTCGGTGAGCGTAGGACCGACCGACGCTCCACCAGCAGTGAGCAGCTGAACCGATCCCACGGGTGCACCCGCCTCCACCAGCAGCTTGACAAAGTGCACCGTCGACAGCGGCGTCACCTCGGACGGCTTGATGATCACCGCATTGCCCGTAGCCAGCGCCGGCGCCACCTTCCAGCAGATCTGCAGCAACGGGTAGTTCCACGGTGCGATCAACACACACACTCCCACGGGAACGTGCGTCGTCCTGCTCTCGACCGTATCCGGAATCACATCCGAGACGATCTTCTTGGGTGTGTCGAGCTTGTTGGCTTCTTGCGCGTAGAAGCGGAATACGTTGGTGACGTCGTCCACGTCGACCTTGCTTTCTTCTAGCGTCTTGCCTGTGTCACGTGTTTCGATCTCGGCGATGATCTGCTTGTCTCGCTGCAGAAGGTCGGCTACTCGAGAGAGCAGAGGCGTGCGTTCGGTGCACGTCTGATGCGGCCATGCCGAGGTGCGGAAGAAGTGCGCGGCGGATGTGACGGCGGCGAGTGCATCGTCGCTACCTGCTTCGTCGATGACCGTGATGGTGGAGCCGTCGAAGGGGTTGATGATGGGACGAGTGTGGCCCTGCTTGGCGTGGGTCCATTTGCCGTCGATGTAGAGCGTTGGCTCGGGGGCCGGGGTCTTTGATGTGGATGCCATGCTGCTCAATTGAGATGCGATGGCGGCTGGATCAAAGTGGCTGCTGGTCGTGACAGACCGTCGTTGGAATTTGCGGCGGAGAGCGGGCTGAGCTCGCTTGAGTAGCTGTGACTGTATGTTATGGAATGCGATGGCAAAGTGTCAGCTTGTTGAACGCTCAATGTTATCAAGCGGGTCGCCGTCGACTCGAGAAAGCGTCTGCGTCAAGTCAGAGTCTGGTTAATCTTTGTACTCCGCACGGTGTGAGGCTGATGACCTCCTAAGTGTTGGATTGTTCACATGATTTAAGAAATGTCCTCATCATCTGGACGAGTAGGCTTCTCGAGTCGCACAGGTGAGAAATCACTTACGTTGAGCGTGCAAGCTGCCGGTACGACAGCGTATGCTGGATGCAGTGAAGGGGCGATGCGCGATGAAACGGCTCGAAGGAGGCTTCTGGATGAACGAAAGGGGGTGGTCGACATGAGACCCGGTAGAGATGAGCCGGACTATATATGTCGGATGCAATGGCAGAGAGGAGAGACGAGGATGAACCGGAATCGGCTTTTTCACGAAGTGTCTGTGCGGATCGTCCGAAATTCGCCAATGGTTGTGCCGCGGAACAACTCGAGACACGGCCATAATTGTTAGACTCACTTCTCATACATTTCCCGGCAAAAAGAAAAGAACAAGCTCGGCAATCAAATCGGCCTCCACCGAGATTGCGGCTGCACAAGGTGACTTGCTTGTTTGTACGACATGGGTCAACTACTTCAGGCTCTGCTCTCGATAAAAGCTCACAAAGGCAACTTACAAAGGCAACGTCAACGTCGCGAGACCGTTCCAATCAAGCTGACTGTCGAGAATGGGGTGCCAGACGACAGGTGTGAGCGGGATCAGCAAATGCGATTCGTTGTGCGGGGAAGCAGAGTGGCTGATCAGTGCGTCGTGTAGATAACCGAGCTCGTCTGTGCGTCTCGTCTTATCTTCTCGTGACCCTTCCCTCCTAGCCGCCTTGACCTGCTTGCAAGACCTGATAGTGCAACAAGCCCCTCAGCTTCCGATCTTACCTCCAACTCCTGATTCAAACCCACTTTCTCATCCCCGTCTGCTATCCAACATGCCAGCCAAACGAGTCCTTGTCTCGTACGGTGTCGACATCGACGCCGTCGCCGGATGGATCGGCTCCTACGGCGGTGAAGATTCTGTCTCTGACATCTCTCGCGGTATCTTCGCTGCCGAAGTCGGTGTCCCTCGAATGCTCAAGATGTTCGCTCGCAAGAACATCCGCGCAACCTGGTTCATCCCCGGCCACACGCTGGAATCCTTCCCCACCGAATGTCGTGCCATCGTCGATGCAGGTCACGAGATCGGCCTTCACGGTTACACCCACGAAAACCCCAACGCCATGTCCATCGAACAGCAAAGGGATATCCTCGCAAAGACCTACAAACTTCTCACCGAGTTCGCCGGCAAACCCCCCACGGGAAGTGTCGCTCCGTGGTGGGAAACGAGCGAAGAAATGGCGGAGTTGCTGCTGGAGTATGGCATCGAGTACGATCACTCGATGCACCATCATGATAGTCAGTGCTATTGGTTGACGACGGGGGACAAGTGGACAAAGATCGACTACAACGCCAAGGCAGAGACGTGGATGAAGCCTTTAGAGAGAGGAAAGACGATCGGGCTCGTGGAGGTGCCTGCGAACTGGCACGTAGACGATATACCCCCGATGCTCTTCATGAAGTCTTCGAGCAACTCCCATGGCTATGTCAACCCCAGGGACATCGAAGAGATGTGGAAAGACAGTAAGTGCATCGTACAAAGTCGAGATGATGGTGTTAGAAGAAAGTGCGCTAAAAAACCCATTTTCCCCCTCAATTTTCTCCGGAAAAATAAAATTAAAAAGTGTTCGAATGGCTGTACGAGAACGAAGAGGATTTCGTGTTTCCTGTGAGTACGACCTGCTCGTCCGTCATCCAATCTTCTGGAAACTGTATTGCTGATGCCGTCAATGACCTTCGTGCCCTCTCCGCGACACAGATCACGGTGCACCCCGACGTCTCTGGCAAACCTCAAGTGTTGGCGATGCACGAACGATTCATCGACTGGGTCAACACGCACGAAGGTGTCCAGTGGGTCACCATGGACGAGATGAACAAAGACTTTCGCAGCCGCAACAAGCCTCCTGCACAGACATGAGCACAGCATCTCCACCCTCTGTAATGGCTTTTCCTTCTGTTCGAATGCCACTGTCAAATCAGATTGTCGCTCTTAAGATCGTACGGGTATACTGAGATTACGATAGCTCCTGTGCTTTCCCATCGAATCGTGCGTCTTGAATCAAAACTTCTTGCCGATCCCCACTTTACGCTTGGCCTTTCCCCCATCGAATCGATCCATCTTTGCATCCGCTTTACTCAGATTCGCCTGCGTCGCCTCGACCTCGCCATCCAGCTGTCCCAACAACTCCGTCTGTTCGCCCAGCTCTTGGTTGATCGCCTCTCCCATCTGCCTCTGTCTCCTCAAGATCGCTGCGAGATTGAGGAGTTGTTCGTCTTGTTGATCCATCGCGTCTGTTTGGGATTGGAAGAGTTGGGTGTTGTTCATGGGTCGAGTTGCGTCTGTTTCGACTGGAGGAGGTCGAGGAGCGTTTGCTGCTGATGCTGCTGCGGGCCCGAGAGCTCGTGTGCCTGGTGGTAGGGTGCCTGGCATGCTCGTTGTTGGTCGGGAAGCCGGGAGCGGCTTACGTGGTGATGTGGACGAAGAGCCAGCGGTAGCGGTGACCATCTTGACGTTCATCGGCCACTCGATGAACATCTTGAACGCTTCCGACTCCCTCCAGCCTCCATCCTCATCCATCACGATCGCTTTAAGATACATCTCCAGTGCAGACATCCTCTCCTTCAACCACATCTCTTCATCCATACCTCCCTTTTCCTCTGTTCCAGACGCGAACGATAGGAAGCCCGAAAAGGTCTTTTTCCATTCTCTCGCACGTTCCCGAGGCGGAAGTTGCCGAGGTGGCGGTCGACCAGCTCCTCCCGGCTCTCCCGCATTGGATGAAGCATTCGGTGATGCGGCAAGATTCTTATCCAGTCGTACGAATTCAGAGTATCGTCGATAAACTGTCCATGATCGAACGGGGAGTTGGATCACAACGGCATACACGTTGTAGGACGAGGCGGTGCTGGAGCGTGTCTCGTAGCGCGGTATAGATATTCCTTGCAGGGGTTGTGCTTGCGCCATCTTGAGCGATCGGGCTGGCAATGGACTCGAAGGGAAACGTATGATGGTGGTTGTGTTGGATGCGAGGATCAGGGCGGAAAGGCAGATTATCAGGGTTCACTATAGGGCCTGTGCAGCAAAACAGCGGAATACAGTCAATTAAGTTACAGCGCGTGCGTGCTCAAAAACACCCAAATCCGGCCAGATCGGTCCGCGCCTACGACATCACAGACATCATGATCAACACAACAACACAACGTCTCTGTGCTGATCAGTTTCATGTTTGCACATTGTATTAATGAGAGTGACACCACCTCGAGCTCTCTTTACGTATAACGATCCCCTTGGGCGCTTTGTTCTAAGAATGACGACCAAGTCGGTCGAGACACGCCTTGCCCTGTTCGTACCACTCTGCACGCGAGATCCAGAAGCTCTCCCTGTTCTTCATGATGTCGGCCAGCACGGCACCTCCCAAGAAGACCATGTGCTTTCTCCTGGGTGGGTCCTCAATCCTGATCTTGAAGTTCTTCAACCTGGAACCGTCTCCGTTGAGGACGCGTGTCAAGTAGAGCTGCTTCATCTCCTTCTCCAGACGACTCGGCAGGCCGGGATACATGGACGAACCGCCGGAGAGCACAATATGCTTGTACAGCTCGGAACGCGTATCCACGGCGGCAGATTGGATGGTGTTGAAGAGCAGTTCGGCGACACCGGCCTGCTCGACGTCGACCAAGTGTGGTTGGAAGATGCACTCGGGTGCCTCGAAGCGTTCCGAGCCCACCTTGATGACTCGACCGTCGGGGAGCGTGTAGGATTCGACGAGCGTGGTGGTTTCTTCGGCGAGCTTCTTGTCGAGGTCGAGGTCGTAGCTCACGTAGCAGAGCTTCTCCTTGATCTGTCGTACCGTGTCGAAGTCGGCGGTTCGGTTGAAAGCGTATCCGCGCATGAGAAGCAGCTTGATCAGGTAGCGGGTGACGTCACGGCCTGCCACGTCGAGACGCTTGGTGAGATGCGGCAGTGCGAAACCTTCAAAGACGGGGACGACGTGGGTGACACCATCACCCGAATCCACCACCACGCCCGTCTGGAGACCCTGTGCGTAGAGCGTCAACACGGCCTGGATGGCGACGTAGACACCGTCGAAGCCGTACTCTTCAAACATGATCTGACACATCTCTTCGCGGTTCTTCTTGGGGTTCATTGGGGGTTCGGTCAAGAGGATCTTGCGTCCCTGCGGGTCGATTCGAAGCTTTTCGTCAAAGGTGTAGTTCCAGACGTGACGCATGTCACCAAAGTCCTTAACGATACCGTGTTCCATAGGCTGGTTGATCTGGAGGTAGTTACGGAGCTCCTCTGCCTCTGTGCCCACCATGATGTCCTTGATCTGCGTACCCGTGTTGCTCGAGATGGCATCGCGCTCTTCGGAACGGAGGATGGGTCGACCGACGATGGATGGAAAGACATGTTCGGGGAAGTTGGAGCCAGCGTAACCGACCTTTACGAAACCGGTACCGTTGTCCACGACGACGGGTCTTTGGTCCGCCATTTTGTGCTATTCTTGAGACTGCAGGAGCCAGTCGGAGTGGTGCAGATCGATGGGGCGTGTCAACAGATGCGTGCGGATGGAGATGTTGGCTCTAGTCGTGATCGTGAGTGGTTTGTGCGGATGCTCGATGCCGATGCGCTTTGTAAGTAAAGTTGGCGTTCGGTGGAGGGATGTAGGATGAGGGATGTTGATGTCGACGGCGATGAGAATCGGTCGAGAAGATGATGGATGGCACCGTCGAGCGACCAATGCGTGAGTGTGTGCATGGCCGATGCGTCCGATTTCCAGTCGGGCGATTCCAAACTGCGAAATCGTAATCGAGAATTGCACAGCACAGCACAGCACAGTGCCGTTGCTCGAAATTCGCACTTCTGACAGGCAGCAGCTCCACTTTGGCTCGCCGGCTTGCTCAAGAGGGCTGTGTCGCCTCAATACTGGAGCAGTCGAGCGGCGTGGCCTGTGCAGTAATGTTGTACCCCGAGTCAGCCTTAGTCATTCAGCTGCTTCGGAATAGCCGACTCGACTCGCCAAATGTGACACTTTGGCTGCGAGTGCGTGAGAAGAACACCTCTTGGCTGCTGCCATTCCTCCAGGGTCCACTGGTCGGCTCTTCCGTCTCTCATCGCTCTACAATCACATCGACGTGATTGCGACTGCGACTGCGACTCAGCCGCACAAAGCTGAGCAGAGCTGAGCTGAGCAGCTCAACAGGCGTCTACGTCAAGATGTACGCTTCTTCAACAGCTCAGTCTCATCCACTACCACCATACATGACCACCTCGTCGACCAGGCCATTGCAGCTTGATCAGTGGGCTAACACAAAGGCCCCCCTCACTTCTTCACAACGCGCCTCCGTCAATCGTCTCGCAGAATGGCTCCATCGCAACTCGCCCGAATACAAGCAGCAGCAAGCATCGACGTCAAAGCTCGCAGGTGCCAATGGTAGCAGCAATGACTCTGCACCACAGGCCACAATCGACGCAACGGCAAGGGACGATGCAGTAGTCGCAAGTACATCCGATCTATCCAACAGCAAAGCGGGCGAGCCAATAGCTCTGCCAGATGCAAGCGCGCCTCTTGTCTCGGCTCAGAGCTTCCTTGCCTGGTACACCCACCTGTCCGACTCGGTCACCTCGTCCACACAGTCATCTCACCGTCAAGCATTGCAGCGCATCTCGGACACCACCTCTACCGCGGATCACCTCCTCGCCCAGCTCGAGGCGTGTCAGGTCAACGTCTCCGAGCTTCGTGCGGGCACCGCTTTTGTGCAAGACTCGTCCAGAGGTATTCGCGAACAGGCCCAGTCCCTTCTCGACTCGCAGACGCACCTCGATACCCTGGCAGAGGACATCGCCTCTCGTCTCTCGTTCTTCACCTTGCTGCCTTATGCGACCAATATGCTCAGCTCGCCCGACAACACAATCGTCTACACCCAATCCTTCCTCGAGCTCATGGATCAGCTCGACGTCGCGCTCCTCTACCTCCAACAGGAGCCCGCAAGATCGTACCGAGACGCTGCTCTTTACCGTATGCGCTACTCGCAATGCGTCACTCGAGCTGCCACGCTTGCCAAGATGGCGGTGATTCGCGACCTAAAGGCCGAGTCCGAGCGCACTGCTGACAAGCTCAAGCAGCTTACATCCAGTCTCGCATCCGAAGACTCCCAAACTTCACCGGCAACCACTACATCTTCGACAGACCCGCACGGCAAGGCCCGTCAAGTCTCCGACGACGATGCTACCAACAATGATCATGCAGCATCTCTCCCACCACAGGCAGCGAGCGCCTTGTTCGACGACGCTGCGCACCAGATCACAAGACTTCGCCCACTCATCTTTGAGCTGCAGAAGCGCGCCAGCAACACAGTCGCATCCTCCACTCCTTCCGCATCCACAGCAGCAGAGTTCGAGTCGCTGCTACAGGAATGCACCGTCGCCTGGTTCCAGTACCGTCGCCCTCTCCTCTCTCGCGTCCTCTTGCAGCACATCACCGACATGGAAATGTATCCCAACAAGGCCAACGAGCATCCCGTCCTCGAACTGGCTCGCGCAGGTACACAGCTACTCAAATACGTCTTGCAAAGGGAGAGCGACCTCTACCAGCAGTTCTTTGGCGGAGGAACAGGCAGCGAGAGTGGTCTCGACGCCGAATCCAATCAGGCCAGAGACACGGCTGCGGCACTCGGCACGTACATGTCCGAGCTTGCAGAGACGCTTGCCGCTCGACTGCGACCCAAGCTGTCCAAGGAGGACGATCTTTTGGTGCTGGCACAAATCTCGACAGCCATTGCTGATGTCACCCGTAACAGTGCAGATCCAGTAGCTATACCGACGCGCAGTCTGATGCCTTTGCTCAACGAGACGCAATCTCGTCTCATCGCACGAGCCCAGGCCATCGTTGCGTCCGACATTGCAGGTTTTGTTGCAAGCGAGCAAGAAGGACATCTCGACTTCCCCGAACGCATCCAAGAGTACAAGGCAAGTCTGCGTGGTACAGGCGCCGATCAGCTCTCAGCAGCTGCAGCAGCGACGGTCGCAGCCACGGCCGTCGGTAAAGGACAGCATCGCCGTGGCAAGTCGGGTGCTGGTTTGCTAGATGCAGCCCTCTCCGCGTCGCAAACCGCATCCTCCTCCAAGACCCAACAGGAGAAAGTCGAGCTATTCACCCTGCCTGCAGCACTGTTATCGACCTACTACGTACCTGTTCAGCACACGCTTCAACTGCTGTACCACTTGCAAGCGCTGGTTCCAGCTCCTGCGTTCCGTCGCCTGGCGCTCGCTGCAGTGGATGGTTGTCTGGCGAGCTTGATCAAGGGCGCGACAGCGCTCGTCAAGCGCCAGAAGGGAGACAGCTTGGAGCGCGAAGATGGATGGTTGTTTGAGCTCCGACAGGTGGAAATGCTCAGGGAGGTGGTGGTATCGGCTGAGCTTGTGCTCAAGCAAGCACACGAAGAGCAAGCCGCCACAAACACCGATGCTGCCGGCTCGGTCAATGGTGGTGTCGCAGCGTCAGGAGCAGGCACTTCGCTCGTCGATCTATCTTCGCTAGTCACCGCCATCAATTCGCTCTGGACCAACACGGGCAGGCTGCTCTACCCATCCTCCACCACAGCCGCGACCCCGGCTGGACTGACACCATCGACGCAACTCGATATGGAGCCGAGCTCCACCCACGTCGCTTCACGGCTGCAGGCGTTGATCGAACAGATCGCCCAGCTCTGGTCCGACTCGATCCTCCTACCGCTTCGTGTGTACGTCGATCAGAGCTCGGTCGAAGCCAGCGCCGCCAAGTTCAGCAGCACGTATCAAGCGTTCGAGACGTGCATCGAGAGCATTCTGCCGGAGAAGGCGGGCAAGGTCGCGTTGTGGATCGAGGATCAAGAGGTTCAGCGGTTGATTGTGAGGCGTGTTAGTGATGGAGTCGGTCAAGCGTACGAGAAGTTTCACGAGATGAAGCCTGTCGATGCCGGAGAGATCGACTCGGTGAGCGGGATGATGGAGAGGGTGCGGAGAGAGTGGGATAGGGTGCTGGTGTTGTGATTGGCGAAATGCATTCAAATGCAAACTTCATAGAGCTGTGCAACGGGTGAGTGTGTCGTCAGAGCGAGACTGTGAGTGCCTGTGCTTGGTCCGATGATCGATGGAAGACGATTGAAGATGAGGGGAAGTTGCATTCAGCTGCTGCCGGAAGGATGAGCAGGAGGAGGTGAGCGGCAAATTTCGGCTTACGGGAGTTGGATTCTTCTCGCGGAGCGGAATTTATGCGGGAAGTCGACTTTCCATTCTCCACCTCCTCCTCGTCCTTACTATCACTCGTACCGCTGACCTATTTTTCGACATACGCCATGCTTCCTACCCCAACTAGGACACTCGTACGATCTGTCAGAGGACTGCATAGCAGCAATTCTCGACTAGCATCTCGCTCATCGCGGTCCAATGCATCGACTTCGGCGTCACAACCTGTGTTGAAGAGGGATGCACCAGCTGCGCCTGCTCCACCTTTTCGACCGACTGCCTCCCCCACACCATCTGCTACCACGTCGGCTGCACCTTCGACGAGTGCTGCTGTGGGTAAGGTTCGGGATGGTGGGAAACCAGGATCGGTATATCACTCGTACAAGTCGTTACCGTACAACACCAAGCTGGTGTTTTGGACTTGTGGTGCTAGTAGGTCTTTCCCCTCACTCCTTTCTTCCCCTTCAAAGACACTGACATTTTTTCGAGCTTGGTGGCAAAATAGTGTTCGCAGCAGTGGGGTTGTTAGCAGCAGACAAGTTGGAAGAACTCTTCCCCGCAAGAAACAATAAACCCTCTTCAAAATCGGATTCAACAACCTCGAGTGCAAGGTTCATAGATCATACAACGGAGCAAGAGAGAAAACCAAGGTTGTTCAGCATCAGTGTAGTCGAACGCGAATCACCCACGCAAAAGTAAAAGAATCATCGGGAACGTTCGAAATCTTTGCCTCCCCAGCGTGTGTGAAAGGCGCGAACAGAACGGCTCTCAAAAGCAAAGTGGAAACGTGGAAAAGGGCGCGATTGCCGAGAAGAGAATGTGTGTGTCTGTGATTGCATAGTGATGATGTACAGAACGGTGATGGGAGGATATACAAGACAGGTCGAAGCGCAAGAGGGTGGAAGCCTCTCTGATCGAACATGGACGAAATCAGTCGTCGTCCTCGGACAGCTTGGGAGCGAGGTAGAACCTCACGTATCCATTTTCGAAGCCGAACTCGCACTGTTTCCGCAAACCAAAACGAGGTTGTCAGCGACTCTCCTTTCATCTCCAGCGCCGGAAATTGTAGCATTGGCCAACTTACCAAAAGGGGAACCTCGTTGCTCATATGCAACTGAACCTCATCCGCCAGTGGAGCGGCCTTGGCAAAGTTGCTAAGGTACTTCAAGCTGAAGGTCAAGTTTACCGCCTGCTGCATCTCGATCTTGACGGGAACCTGACCGCCACCGCTGCTGGCCTCTGCCTTGCGCTTCTTCTTGGCAGGCTTGACGTCCTCGTCATCGTCATCGTCCTCATCCGCCAGTACGGCGGTACCGCTTCCCTGCTTGAGTGTCATTCGTGCAGCACCGATCTCACCTTCCGCGGAGAAGCTGACGCCTTCCTTGGAGACTTCGATCTTGACGCTCTCGCCGATGTTGGCAAGGTCGCGGCAGATGCGACCGAACTCACCCGAAGACATCTTGACGACGGCGTCGTACTGGGTGTCGGGGATGCCGAGGTGTTCCGAGTCAATGTCCATGAGCTTCATCTCAAATTCACCGACGCGGTCGGATTTGGGCGACTCGAAGGTCATCTGGAGCGTGTCGCCGTCGTCGGACTTCTTGAGCGAGAGGACATCGTCGTTGTTGGCACCTTTGAGGATCTTGCCGAGCGAGGAGAGGGAGACGCCGATCGACATGGGACGGTCGCAGCGGAATTCTTCGAAGCAGTCGGTGCGGAGTTCGATGGCGGAGAGTGCGACGTGCGAGTTGTCCATCGCTTGCAGACGCTGTTTCGAGGAGGAAGTGAGAACAGATCAATATGGGATTCGTTTGGCATTAAAGGATGTCAGGGCGATGGTACTTACGATACCGTCCTCGGAGCACTCAAAGTTGGCATCGGTGATGAGCTCGCGCACGGCGTCGAGCACCTTTTTGAGCTGTCGATGCCAAATGCAGAGGAGGAGGAGAGAGATGCACAATGTCAGTCAAGCTTGCTTTCTGTCGCCTGTTTCGGACTGTCAGTAAGACCTACGAGGACAGCCTCCCGGAGACGAGCTTCCAACATGGTTGCAAAGGTCGAGTGTTTGTTGTTTAGGAAGTAGTGTTCTTCGTTGCTGTCGAGTCCAGATCCGAGATTGGAGGGGAGCAGGTGTGTGTGGAGAAGGAAGAAGGGAAGGGTTGCAGCCGAGTGATGTTGATCAAGTGCCTGACACACACGAGCTTCGCACTCCAAGACTGTTGAAGATCGACACTTTGCTTTGGCTTGGTCGTTGGATTGAGTGAAATTCCAGAACGCGGTGAGGCGCTGCGCGCGTTGGTGCTTGACCACTCTACGCGAAGGCAGGCGAGTTGCAAAGTGATCCCGCGACGCGCTGCCATAAAATTCCACCAAAGCGAGCTGGGCTTGTCTGCTGAGTGATTTGGCGGAGCAGAGAGAGAGTGTGTTGGTCTCTTTTGCTTGCTTGGCGACGCGCTTGGCTGAGCATTTCTCGCGTTCCAAGAGTGTCTGCTTTGCGCCTATTCGCATGCTGGACCCTGAAGCCTTCTCGTGCGGCAATCCGCCCACATAGGTGACGTCGAGACCAACACTTGATGTGCAACTCTTGGTCCAAGCCTTCACTGCAGCCTGCCAACTACGGCGACCACAGCATGTCCGAGGCACAGCCAGCGACCTCCCCAGCCGTTCCTCCTTCGGCCACGGCAGCACCTGAACCGCCACTCTTCGAATTGACGCACGTGTTACGAGGTCATACGTCGGATGTGAGTCTGCATCGTCTCTCCGTGTCGACCTGAGAACGTATTCTAGAGCGACGTGCTGAACGTTGAAATCTGCTCTTGCGTCAACCACAGGTACGAGCGGTAGCGACGACGTTCGACCAGCTATCTGAACGAGAGGCGCTGCTCTCTGGCTCACGTGACGAGACTGCCACCTGCTGGTCCCGGCCCAGCCCTTCTTCCTCTGAACCCTCACAATCAGCACCCAGCTTTGACAAGGGAGCATCTTTTCAAGGAAAGCGCTTCTGCAATGCAGTCGACTTTGTCCCTCCCTCGCCCGCATTCGGCCTGCCACGCGGCCAGATCTTGATGGGCAGCCTCGATTCGCAGATCCGCTGCTTCGATCCACTCCGTTCCGACAAGCCGTTGCAGGTGCTCTCGGACCATTGGGACAACATTTCGGTCCTCAAAGCTTACAGCTACCATGTTCGTCACCAAGCAGAACAACTAGATGAACCGCCTGTCTTCATCTCGGCAAGCTGGGACAAGACGGCAAGGGTGTGGATCTGGGATCCAACGCTTGCCACGTGGAGCACCAAGTTTGTCCTTCGCGGCCATGATGAGGCCGTATGGGGCGTGCAGATTGTCCAGCCTCCATCGATGACCGCATCGGAAGCGGAGTCAGGCGCCTCGCAGCAAGGGAGATACTTGACTTCGTCCGCGGACCTCTTCATCCGACTCTTCCACGGCGAGCAGCTACACGCCGTCTACGCTGGTCACACGGATGTCGTGCGCTCTTTACACGTTCTTCCCCAGCTGCCCCCAACGAGCGGCCAGGACGGCAAAGCTACCGCGCCTGCAGATGCCAACCCAACATACTACCCAAACGAGCCGCTGTTTGCATCGACGTCCAACGATGGCACCATCCGCATATGGTCTCTCGATGCTCGTCGAAGCCCTACACCTGGCAACGGCGGAGAAGCCTTACAAATCCTGAGGGGACATGAGAGCTTGGTGTACGATGTCGCAGCGTTCATCGAGCGCGACACTGCGCAGCCTAGACTGGTGAGCAGCGGCGAGGATGGCACCTTTCGTGTGTGGAATTGGGCCTCTGGGGAGCTGATCCAGACCGTAGCTGTTCCCGTCATCTCGGTCTGGTCCATCGCCATCCTCCCAGAGTCGCACGATGTCGTCGTTGGATGCAGCGATGCGCTCGTCCGGGTCTACTCGAGCCACCCGCCTGCCTCAGCATCGCTTTCGGACAGTGACTTCCATGGCGCACCGCTTTCGGCAAGCGAGGCCGCCTTCGAAGCACAGAAAGCGTCAGACATCCAACAGCAGCGCCAGCTCGACGTTCAAGCAGACCACGCCGACTCCAGCTCTGTCGAGCAGCAATGCAACGCAGAAGGCCAAGAATACCAAGGCGAAAGGTACGACTTCGTGCTTCGCATCGATGTATCGGATGATGCCGAGCCCCTGCCGCTACCCATCAATCGGGCCGATGATAGGAGGCAGGTCGCATCGGACTTTGTCGCTCTTCACAAGCTGCCCGAGTCGTACGTCGACAAGATTCTCGACTTTGTCAATCTGGTGCTTGGCTGATCTGCAATGCAACTTTTGTGCAGTGAATGTTGACATGCCCAGTCACTGAGGCTGTGTCGCTCTCGTTCAACGGTTCCTGCCTTGTGACCGAAAGAGGATCGGGTAGCTGAAGCCCGGATGGCCAAGGCCAGAGTGAGTCGACATCGGGACCGGCAATGTAGAAGCATGAGATCGTCAAACTCTCCTTCCTACGAAGCCTAGGATGTCAGGCGATGCACTGTTCGGCAATCTTTCCCGTACACTCCAAACGAGATTTTGACGTCGGAGAAACTAGACCTCAAGCTGCTCGCGTGTGTTGTCCAGCCGCATGGTCTCGTCAGGAACCCACAAAGTAGGATACAGAACGCCGGTCCGAGGTGGCCAGTCTCTGGGGAACCAAAGCTGAAGAGCGACATAGACGTGACATACAGCTCATGAACAGGAATTGGGGGCGTCTCAAACCGACAGTGACCGGCAACCTCAATGTCCATGAGAAGCCAGAGTCTCGCCGAAAGAAGCTTTCGAGTGGAATGTCGCGCCGTCTGGTTCTTCCTCGCTCGAACTCTCACGTCGGCGAATTCCAGAGCCGAAATGGCTACGCCATGTGCCAGTCGGTCCGCACTCGATGCCTGCTTCCAGGCCTCCAGGCAGAAGAACTTACGGCAAATCGCGCGGTCATAAGTGAGTATCACTTGGAGTACACGCTGGCCACCTCGACACCAACCGTGCTCGTCTGCCGAGCACCAAGAGGAGAAGACCGAAATAACCGCTTCGCCCATCGTTTTTCTTCCGAAGACCTTGTGGGCCTATTTTTTGGCGGTCGAGAATTTCCAGCCGACTGTTCCCCCACATGAGGCAGGAATGGAAAGATCCGAGAACGTTTCCGTAGCGCAGCAATTCTTGCGTTTTTGTCGCGGTCACTGTTGGAATTGACGTTGAAAGCCGGACCAGCCGAATCGTTTCCAAAGTCGTGAAAGGCTCGCCATCTTGATAGCGACATGGAGAGGGGCTTCCGACATCGCATTTGAGGTGCCAACGGAATGAGGTCTCGAGGGCCTGATTGGATCGATGAGAGCGGCAAAGACAGCTCGGGAATCTCGCTCGAGAGGCAGACAGACGGCTACGGCAACCACAGAATCAACTCCGGAAAGACGCGGGAGCACGGCGGCTTCGGACCGGCTTGTTGGATCTTCTAGTTGCTCGCTCGCTCCCCTCCTTCGGCTCGTCAGCAGGACTTGTCGACACAAGCACCGACAAATCACTCCGAGCTCGGCTCAACTTACCTATATACTTTACTGCCCTTTCGGTCCAACGCTGTCGGTGAATGGGAACCCTCGGTGCAACCTGCGAAATGAGAAGGTCCCTCCCACTTGCATTCGCACACCAGGTATCTGCGTCCTCCCACCACCACTCGAGCTCCTTGATCTAGCTCCTTGAGGCATCGCACAGCAAGCAGCAACCGAACACCAGCGCCTCCTCCGCTCCGTCCAGGCTAGAACTATCTCGACTTCGCTGTCCTCCCGACATTGGCGGCCATATTGCGTGCTACCGTTGTCGCCTCAAATCAACACACGGACCATGATGGCATCGTGCAGATCTCAGTTGTCGGTTCGACATCGAATGCGACGGCCACCTTGATGGCTCCTGTGACATGGCCGGACGGCAACATATCTTGAAGAATCCCCCTTCTAGGGAACGAGCGCCTTGCAAGCATCCAACACGCCAGCCATCTTCTGCCCATCCAGTCGTCCTCGCCCATCGCGATCGAGTGCAGCGTTCAGCGAAAGAGCAGCTTAGTGACAGCCACGCAAGCCCAAAGTGCTGGTCTACCTGCTTTGCAGCCAGCTTTGCCGGATCCGATCGCAGCTCGTATCAAGGCGAAAGGCCGAGCCAAGATCATCGACGTTGGTCAACATCTGGACGGCGCCAAAGATGGAAGACGAGTCTCTGCATAGATGGACATCCAAGCCGAGCTGATACACTGTGACAAGAGTGTCGTCTCCACCTCCGACCGACACATCGACTCTTCAGTTGTGGCCGAGCTATCGTAGCGTTCGTCTCGACCTCTACGCCAGCGTAACAGAAATACACGACGACCGATGGAGGGAAGGGTCGGCGTCGCCGAGTGTCGTCGGCTACGACGAATGCGACAGACAACCTAATGTCACATTGCGCCACGCCCAGTCGGCGCTGCCGAGCTTTGCTGCCTCGGGCACTGGAAGAGCCGACTACTCGTTGCCAATGGAACAGTGCTACCGTCGACGAGACGCTTGGATGCAAACGCGAAACAGAGCAGTTCCCCCAAGATTACAGAGCCGACGGGTAGCCTCGCAGTCCATTGCCTCTGCCCCTTCACAGTCACGGAGGCTGTTGGTGCATCGGCGCATCGTTTCACGACGAACGAGTCGCGGCATCGACTACCAAGCATTGTGAATGCGCAGTCAGATCAACCACTAGACTTTTGGTCGTCCATCTCTGCTACTGTTACTGGCAACAATTCCATCACTTGCAGCAAGACCGACTCGTCGGAGGAGCAAGGACAGCGATCAAGGCGATCGTGCGAGCGCAAGCTTCTTACGCACGGTTGAACGTCTTGGACCTGAGTGGATCCGACACCAGCACCGACCCTCCACGGACATGCCATCTAGGCTAACTCACGCATGACCTCGTCTCATCACACAACTCGCTCAGCGGTTCAGCCTCGGGGACGCAAAGGACGGACGATAGCCCAGAGGAGCCTAGCGTTTCCAATACGGCGAGAGTCTGCAGATCATTTCTGTTTATCGATCAGGAATCAAATCGACGCGCGGTGCTCATCCAGATTTGGTAGAATTCGCTCTCACTGCTTTGCCCCTCGCTTAGAAGGTCAACCGCCCTGACTGCCGAGACCACTGCGAGCGCCATCCGCACATATCAACCTCTTCTACTGCTATTTGTCAGTAGTGTTGCTTAAGCTCGAGGACGTGGATCCTGAAGGCGGCGAAGAGCAACATGACGGGCACTGCGGAGGAGGTTTGCGGCGCACGCTCTGGGCTCGAGAGGGACGACTGGTGTGTGGATCGACGCATCGTGGCATCGAGAGGATTCACAACGCTCTGATGCGGCAGCAACAGGGTTGCTAGCACGATCTGCAGTATGTTTTACTCGTGCTCGTTACTTCCCCTCGGGTGCAAATTGGGGTTCGGACAGCCTTCCCGTCTATCGACGCTCGATCTCTGTGCCTAGCGTCGACCTTCGAAGCATGGTCGACACCCCTCACTAGTCCGTTGATACTGCACCAGCCGCGAAGACAGATGGATACTGTGTTTAGCAACAGCGAGTTCGGTGGATCGTGGACATTGCTCCCGAAACGCACACGCAAAGCAGCTCCAACGACGGCGCTGGCCTCCCCAGAGCTGCAGAGAGCTTTCCGACCCTTCTCTCGATCCGCTCGCGCGGGTGTCACGGTCAGCCGCCAACACAAAGTTTCGTTTGGTGTCCGATCGATTTGCTTTTCGGTTCTTTTCTTCTCGCGACCCTTGTCCTTTTTCTTTTTGAAGGGAAATTTTGGACTTCGAACTTCCTGAGGGCCAAAGTGCCCCCCAAAATTTCGACGCGCCCATTATTCTTTCATGTCTCCCGCTTTCGCCTCAATAGATGCTGCACGCGCAAATCCCTTCCTCGACCGAAGTTGGACCTTTTCCCGGAAAAGGCAAAGCAGGAGAAGAAGAAGAAGCGCGAAAAACACGCACGGCCCAGGGCGGAAGCGAAAAAGGTTTGGGGAACGGGAATGACAACAATGTAACGGCAATGGGAAGCCAAGAGGATCTGCTCGACAGCCGAGCCGTTCGAAAGGGTGACATGACAGGGTCTCGCGATGTCTCTCTCTCTCTTTTTCGCTTCGGCAAGGCGCTGCAGAGACGCAACAAATGCACGACCGCCTGCTTGTTGCATTTGCCGATTTTTGCTCATCAGATCTGATCAGTTTGGTTCATCTACCTCGAATCATCGCATCATCATCTCTGCAGTCCTTCTTCGCATCGCATAGCACTGCACCTGCACAAGGTGCTGGCTGGCTGGCTCTCATGCATCGCGCCTGCATCATCGCTGCCCACCTCTCATCTGCCTCGCCAGCTCGCCAGCTTGCCTCTCAAGCCACTCGGATCGCCTCGTCCTGATCCATTGATCATCAACCAAGAGATCCAACCAATAGAGCACTTTCATCTCCACCGAACAAATCGCCGGAACGCTGCTGCCGCTGCTCTGTCTAGCTCGTCGACACTGGAAGTCTCGCACCATCGCACTTACTCTACGGGTGACGACTATCATCCGGGCTCGGACAGGCTCGTCAGCCCTTTGTCTTGACCCTGCATCCTGCTTGCATCCCGTCCCCCTGCCATCGACGCTTGCTGCACCTCTGCGGTCTGTCTCTCCATCGTTCGACTCTCATTCGTCCCCCAGGTTGCCTGTGTCTCTCGACGCAGAAGCTTGCTCCTCGAAAACAAGACCTTGCACCCTTGCCGTCTGGCCGGTCTACAGCTCCTCGACGCGGAATCGTCTCGTTCCTTCGCGGACAGCCATCACAAACAATTATCGCCCACTTAGCATCATCTTCGCCCCCGCTGAGAGCAGTCATAGTCTGCAACGAACATTCGTCCTCCGCCCGCATTGCCGCCCGGATCGTTTCCCGAGTTGCACAACCTCTCTCATAGACATCCAATTCTGTCAATCCTCGATACGACACTGACCCGACCGCGTCGCTCGTCTCTATCTCATCCCTGTCTCGCTCGTCAGTGCATCACCTGCTACTCCGACTACACGGCCTTCACCGTCTTGACGATCCGCGCACGTGAGACCCTCTGCAATCTCTCGACACTGACCATGCAGCTGGCTTGAACACCTTCGTCCTTCTTGTTCACGATTCACGACTCCATACATCAAGTGGCCATGTCGTCCCACAATTCAGCGTCACCCCACAACGTCACGGTCGCCGGGGTTCCCGGTAAACGGTCGGCTGACGACGCTGCATCCGACAATAGCTTGCAGCAAGCCGCCAAGCGCAAGCGTCCTCAGTCTTGCGATACCTGCCGCTCACGCAAGATCAAATGTGTTCGACTTCAAGTCGATGGCCTCGACGCCTCGGCAGATAACCGATGCGTTCAGTGTCGTGCGATCGATGCAAAGTGTACCTTCGACTACATACCCAAACGGCCCGGTCCACAAAGCTCCTTTGCCAAGACCGCCAGAAGAAACATAGACGCTCAAGCCAAACCGACCGTCCCCTACACGCACCAGGCCGCCACTCCATCCTCGCACTCTCGAACGTCCACATCCGCCTTCGTTGACGCGCATCCGACTCATCTCGGAGGCCCGTCGCCACATGCTCAGCAAAGCACCTCGGGCCACTCTCCCAACGACGACAGCTGGTATCGCGCTTTGACGGCGCAGAGCATCGCGACCGGAAGCGGTAGCAATGCCGGTACACAGACCCGTTCCTCGTCTTGGGGAGGAGGCAACTTTGATGCGTACCTCAACAACTCAATGCTTGCTATGACACCGAGTCAGTTCGCCGGTATGTCGGCGGCATCGCCCTTCGACTTTTCGCCTCACAACATGGGCGGCCTCTCAGGTCCATCACCATCCATGAGCATGTCTGGCGCCTCCTCTGCCACTCCCGGCAGCTATGCAGGCTCGTCGTGGCATGGTCCTCCGCGATCCGATGCAGGCAGCTCACGCTCTGCAGCACCACTCGCATCCATGTCTCATTCGCAGCCACAGGTGCATCACCAGCAGCAGCATCCCGCAGCATCGCTGGTGGATCACTTGCAATCATTTGAGATGGCAGCTGGTTCTGCTGTCCCCGACGGCCGGGCGACGCCGCTACCTCTTCCCATCCCTTCGTTCTCTCGCGTGCAGTCTCCGGTGCCGATATCAGCGTCATTACCGCAGACGAACGAGCCCAGCGCACATCAATCGCACCACCACCACCAGCAGCAGCGACAGCCAAATCTCCACTTTGGCACCCCTTCCTCCGATCTCGATGTACTCACACGCGCTGGAAACGCCGATGCGGCCTCTGGTCGCAAGAGCAAGGATGGGCCGAGTCTTTCCAACATGTCTTGCGGACCCGTCATCCGGCCACGATCGCTCGACGACGTTGCCCCGCGTCAGACCTTCCTCGCCATCGTGTCTCTCTATTTCCATTATCTGTGGCCGCTGCTGCCCATCGTGGATCGCCCCTCGTTCAGCCACGACCTTCTCAATCGCAGGGATGAACGCGATCACGCCTTCTTCGCCTTCGTCCTCAGTCTCACATCATATACGTTGATCCAATGTCCGAGGACCGTCATCCCTGCTCCGTGGTCGGTGTATCGAAGGTTGCACCGCATCTGCCACCTCACGTCGCGCAGGATGCAGCCTCGCGTGTACGACCCCCCGCAGCTGCTGCACGTTGCTACGCTCTATTGCGATCACATCTATCTCGGCACCGTTGGCAAGATCAATGCAGGCAAGGCGGTTCTCGCCGAAGCGGTCCGCGTCGCTTATACGCTGGGCCTGCACGACGAGCGCAAGAACGACTCGAGGAGGGGCGCAGCGCCATATGGCCTCGATGCTTCATCCTTTGCGCACTATCAGACCCCTGCGGCCAACGCTGTGGAGAACGAATTGCGCAAACGCATGTTTTGGATCTTGCACGGAAGCTCCACCACCATTGCCATGTTGGAGGATGAACCGGCGCTCATCCACGCGATCGATGCCTGCGTCGATTTACCCCTCGCAGTCGACGAAGAGGCGCTGGCGCGGCCCGGACACATCCAGAGGACTCCCAGCTTGCTTCACGGATTCCTCACGGTGACGCGTTTGCACCAGGTGATGCTCGAGCTGCTCGAGTCGTATCGTCGCGATCGTCGTTTCCCGATCGATGATCTTTCGGTAGCTCGATCTCGCATCCGCTACCTTGCCGACGTGTTGCGCAGGCTGCAGCGGGCCATCGACGAGATGCCGGAGGAGCTGCGCAACCCGGTCTACTCACATTCGCCGCCCGAACCGATCCGTCGGCCGGGCAGTGCCCTTCCTGCGCTCGAGACGGTCTCCGCCCGCGGTCAGCCCCAGCAACAGCAGCACGATGCGCCTCTCTTGCAAGCAATCGGCTTTGACGCTGCCACTCAGACAGCACTGGGCAACCATCTCAGTGGCACGTCACCCTGGCCATGGCCGGCCGAGACGTTCACGCGCGATGGCTTGCCCAACGCGGACGCACGTAGCTCAAACAACTCTTCGGCGACTCATTCGCCTGGTGTCGGCGGTGCAAGCACAGGGAATGCTGCAGGGGTAGAAGGAGGACAACCACCGCATCATGTGCTCACCCCCCCTCCTGCACTGACGCCGCGCAACACCGACACCAGCGACCCTGCAGGCAGCCTCACAATGGTGGACCTGGTCAACGTCTTCCGACCGTCACCGCCGCCTTCCGCCACACCGGTGCTTTCGCCCATGTGCACCATGCACGCCAACATTGTCACCACCGAATCGCTCGTTCGCTTCCTCGTCACCGAATACCGCGAGATGGTCACCACGCGTATTCGCGATCTCAAGCTGCGACAACCTTCTCACCTCTCCGCCACCGCTTCCGCACCCGAGGACGTGCAAGGAGAAGCGTGGCAAGAGGCGGCAGCCAACCTGTTGCGAACGTTCAACGACCTCCCGCTCGACGCGCTTGCGAGCAACGGACAGAGCCTGATCGACAAGATCATCTACGTCGTCTCGGCCTTGCTCAATCGAACGGGCAACAGGGGCGGATTGACAAGTGGGTTCGGCTACATGTCGAGCCTGTTGGCGACGCTCACGAGGTTGAGTCAGACGCGAAAGGATGACAGTGTGGGTGAATTTGAGGAGGACGAAGCTGCGGCGGAGAGGTGGGAGAGGCAGCAGACGGAGGAAGGCGGAGGAAGAGGTGGGAGTGCGGGGGCTGGCGCGGGCGGAGGTAGAAGCGACGGAGGCAGCAATCGCGGCGGCGGCGGCAGCAGCAGCGGTGGACCTGGCAGCAACGGCGGTGGCAACAACGGTCGTGGCGGCGGTGATGGTCGTGAACAGAGCGGTGACCGAGTCGGTCGAGGCAACTCAAATCGCCTCGCAGACACTCAACCCAACCCTTTCGCCAAACCTCACTTCCACCACCAACACCAGCTGCAACAAATGCCCAGCCCCTCCTCTCCCTTCCTCTACCCCACGTCGAGCTCCGCTCCCTCCACCACCGGAACCGCCACCGAGAGCAACGAATCCTCCACCGTCAACACCGCCAGCACCACCCCTACCAGCGAACACCCGCCCGTCGGAACCGGCTTCTACGACAAACTGATGGCCGTCAGAAGCGTTACCGGCGCCGCCCCAAGGGATGCGAGCACCGCACAGCTCGGGTGGAACACCGAACACTCGCGGACACAGACCCGGGAAAAAGACGGTCTGCTCCACCACCAGGATACGCAACCAAGCTCACCCCTGAGCGCACCGCATCCACCCGCCGCAGCGACGCATCCAGCTCAGCCGAACGCACAACACGCGTGATCACATCTCTCACCCCACGCATGAGCACATTCTCTCATCACAGCATCACATGAACTCTTCTTGAATGCATCTTACTTGCTCTGCACCACTGTCCCGATCTGTGCCTGACCACCCGTTCCTGCCTGACCCCGCGTGAAAAAGTGATCTACCCCCCCTCCTCCGCCTCAACATCCATAACCAGCGCGGACGAATGCCAGCCGGCAAACGCCACGTCAAACGCAAACGGCTTGCCCTTGCCCTCCCCTCCTCGCGGGACAATCTTGATGGGTGTCGGGACGTCCACCTTGTCCATGCTCTGCGTCCGGGCCCCTGCCGCACTGGGAGCCGCACGTCCTGCTCGGCCGCCTCTACCTGCAAACCCGATCCTCGGCTGAAAGCCGCCCCGCAAAATCTGAGGAAGCGCTACTACGTTCGAGAACCAGCCTCTCTCTCCTTCATCCCCCTCCGCCCCCACATCCCGCACCTCATCTATCTCCTCACGACCACCACTCCAAGGGACCTCCCAATTGCCCAAGGCACCCTTTGCGAACTGACCCCACGTCAACACTTCGCCTTTCTCGGTTAGCGCGCCCCAGTGATAATCGCCCATGGTCACTTTGATCACGCCGCTCGCTTGCAACTCTGGTATGAGCTGTGGCTCCGACCCAGTGGCAGTTCCCAACAAGACGAGCGTTTGCGTGTCTTCACCTCCTTCGGCAGATGTGATGGTGTGGAAGGTGACGAAACTTCTGAAATGCGCAGAGATGTGGGAGATCTTGCCCACCACCCAACCTTGACCCACCCAGGCTGCGTCGAAGGATGGTAGTGATTGGGGACGTTCGAAGGAGGAAAGCCTCTCCCATCGAGCTCTGGTTCGGAGAAAACGTAACTGGGATGCATGTGTCTGCCTAGTAAGGAAATTTCGATGGTCACGAGGATCTGCGTCTGCCACCATCCCAACAAGCGCCCTCATATCTTCTGGAGTAGGCTGGGGGAGGTGAAGATCCATCCTGTGCAGTGTTCCCGCCTCCGTCAAGGCGATGACGAAATCTTCGCCCGCTGCGATCTGTACGATTCGATCCGTGTCACCGTCTTGATCCTGCACAGCATCGACGGAGGGCAGCTGGACAGGGGCGATGTTGATCGGGAAGCATTTTTGGTGCTCGATGCCCGGTGGGTCCGCATGAAGTTCCGCCTGTTCTGGATGATCGCGATAGTAGGTGTCTCTGAAAGCCAGAGCGCTCCAGTCAGAGTACCATAGCCACACTTGACCAGTGTGGGTGAGAATGGCCGAAAAGGACCATCCTGCTTCGAGCTGCTTGATGTTGGTACTGGGTACATCAGGCTCTTGCTGTCGTGTAGTGTTGGTTTCTGACCTGGGAGGAGCGGTGATACTCTGTGGCAAGCCTTGGTGCTCCCAAACCGATCCCCAGGCTTTCCATTCTAGCACACGACCGTCCCTTGTTAGCGCTGTGGCGTGACATCTTCCTCCCGAGAGCGATTTGATGGCTGATACGCCTGTCAATACCCTCGGTTTGACAACGACTCTACTCGGAAACCTCAAAGACTGGGACGGACCGTAATATGGAAACTCGCCGTCCATGGTTCCCCAATACAAGACTCTACCCGTTGAAGTCCGAGCATGGAATGACCACCCACCCGCTATGATCTCAACGACTGCGCCTAGAGGGTCCTCGTTCTCGTCTCTCGGCTCAACCGGGTCGTATGCATGCTCAGCAGTGAGAGTATCGAGCTTGATGGGGTAAGGTATACCTTGATCGACCCTATCTACGTCGGAGCGGACGGAGTGGGGTTGGTCGAGTTTGGGAATACCGAGACGACCGTTATTGGTCTGACCCCAGACGTATACTTGCGGATTGCTGAGTCCAGTGTAGAGGTTGTACCATCCACCGACGCGAGCGGTTGCGTGGGAGGGAAAGGTGAAGTCGGAAAGCACCTTACGTTTCCAGAGCACTTGGTCTTCGACTAGTGCCTTTGCCTGTTTCGAGACGGAACGGAGCGATGCCAGATCGCGATTGGAAAGAAGTGGCAAGAGATTGTCCACCACCAGAGGCAGCGGCAGGTCCAGTGGATTGCGGGACATTTTGATGATGATAGCGGAGACAAGAGAACAGATGTCGAGTGGTTGAATGGCTGAGTCGAAAGACCCAAGCTGAGCTTTCTTGCGTGCACGGTCGGCGTAGAATTGGTCCCTGCCCTGCAGCACGCTTGACAGCCGATTCAGGGTCCATGTGACGCACGCACTTTGACGTCAGGAAAATTGATAATCCGTGTTAAGTTCGTACACGTACTACGGCCAAGTGATACTGCGACGCTGTCACTTGAGACCATCTTGACTCTCTCACAGACAGCACAGCCATGGCTTCTATCACTAGGACAATGGAACTAGATTAAACGAAAACTAAAGCTGGATCATTTCCCCTCCATCTCCTCTTCTTAGTACGCACCATAGCCCCTAACGACTCGGATGTCCAACCACATCTCGCCGATCGTCTTGTTGATCTTGCTCACCGTCTTCCTATCCCTGCCCCACTCGCTCATGTATATACTGCTCTGCATACCGCTCGCCTCGCTGTAACCACTTCCACCCCAGCCTGTCCTGGTAGACGCAGCCGAGTAGGTCGAAGGCGTGGCTCTTCCGGGCTGTTGTTGCAGGTACTGATGCGTGGGGAAGGCGCTTGGGTACGGTGCCCTGTTGACTTCCTCGGCGGGAACGGCTGATTCGTCCGTGGTCGAGATGGCCATGCCGACGTTTTGCATCGGTGAAGCTCTATTGGCAGGGCCTTCTGGTGGCGATCGACCGCCGAACAACGAAGGTGACATGACGTTGGGCGGTGTAGTCGGTGGACTGCTTCCACCTGAAAGCGACGTGAACTGCGTCTGGGTGTGCATCGAAGCTGTGGTACTCGAACCGTCCGAGAATCCACGACTTCGACCTCCTAGACCCAAACTCTTCATCGCCTTCTCCACCCCTTCACTGCCCCCGTACCTGTTGGCCGGCAACAGATCCACCTTGAGCGCATACTTGACCTCCAGCCCGTGACATCGGAAGCTCGGAGGCGTTGCACCTGCCACCTTCAAGTTGCCCACCAGAACACGCACACCTGCCGCCCTCGCTGCCGACACGGCCTCGTTGATCTGCGTCATCTCCTCCGGCGAACGGCTTGATCCAGGTCTAGACCCGCCTTGGCTTCCCGAAGAGTCCGAGTTGACCAGCAGCGCGTGCACGTCCACCTCTTCCAGATCAGCTACCGAGAGCAGCTTGCGTCGGTGTTCAGGTCCATCGTTGATATTGTCGTTGCTGCTGAACGTCGTCTGGATCAACGAGACGCACACCAAGCTGACCAGATCCGGAAGTGCTCCCGCCGTCACAAACGTTCGATCGGTCATGGCATCGGTGAAACCCGTATCGGAGCTACCAGAGCTAGGGGCGGTGTTGGGTCGTCGACCGCTAAAGATGCTAGAGCCACCTCGACGCGAGGGTGATGCTTGAAGGCGCGCCAGGCTCGTGGAAGGCTTGATGAACCGGGACATGATGCTGCGCGTGGTTTTGATCGACTCGGTGTCGGCATCCTTTTGCTGCGATGGTCGGTAGTACGATTGCTGCTGCAGCGGAGGCGATGCAGCAACCGTCGATGCGCGCGATGTTGCGGTAGGCGAAGACATCATCTCGATCGGATCTTCCACCTGCGCTACAGCGGGGGAACCTGGTGCGGTCGACGTCTCGCTCGGCGCTCGAGTTCGCACCTGCATAAGCAGCGTCGGATCCGTAGGTCGCAACACCACCATCACAGGAAGCACCGAGGGCGCCTGCAGCACAGGTGGGTTGGGAAGGTGCATCTCCACATCGACCGTCTTCCTAGACGCCTTGAGCAACGATCCGGACCACTTTGCCTGCGATCGATGTACGCTCCACTGATCGCCAAGGGTGACGTCTTGCTCCAAAAACACATCCGGGCTGATGGTGCTGGGAAGCGTCGGTGGGTGAGGAGGCATGCTCGTCGGTTCGCCCATGAAGATGAAGGGAAGCGTCAACGAGTCACCCTCGGCAGGTTCCTTTGCCGACTTGCTGGATGACTTTTTCGACTTTTCCTTGCTCGAACGGATCAAGGTCCAGGTGACCTGGTAGTAGCATCCGATACGATACACCTTGCTGAAGCCCTTTTCGAGGAGTTCCTTTGCCATGGGCACTTTTGCCTTGCCCTTTGTCGCCAAGCGGATGTCTCGCCTCTCCTGCGCTGCGTGCTTGGAGCTGATCTCGAAGCTGGGCGGAAGCGAGACGGGCACAGCCTGCATCTCGCCATCGATGAAGCGCGTCGATTTGCCCAACGGCAACTGCACCTGGAAGGGGATGGGCAGCACTAGATCGTCCTTCGACAGCTGCGGTGGCTCCATCATCTCTTCGTTCTTGGGTGCATACGCAGCACGCGGCTTGACGAGGTCGTAGTTTGCGACGAGGCGGTCTTTGATTTCGAAGACGGTCTTTTCACCTCCAGCGGAATACGGTGCCAATGCGATTCCTTGCCATACGGCTGCGGGTGATCCGGAGGTGGTGTGGGCAGAGATGGTCATCATGACATCGCAACCCGTAGCTGCGGGCATACGAACGATCCCGCGAACCGTAGCGGCTCGACCCGAGATGACGGGGTAGCCACGGTTGTCGAAGGAAGAAGCAAACACTTCGACGCTGAAGTTGGGTTTCTGCTCGTTGAGCAGTCTCGCCATGCGCGTCGCATCGTCCAGCGCCGGAGAATTCGCTGCTGTTGGAGTGCTTTGCTCGCGCAGATCAGCTGTGAGACCGTACACGCGGCTCTGTACGCCCGGCATCGGTGCAGAAGGGCCGGAGTGCGACGGCATGCGCTGTGACGAGTCGCGTGACGCATACGCTTTCTGGACCGCGTCGTCCGAGCCGAGCGCAGTGCGAGACGAGGTTGCTGTGGTAGCGGTCCCATTGCGCTTGCTGTATGCTGAGGCGAGGTTGTTGTACGTGCGCGGGTTCTCGACGTACGAGTGCGAAGGTGAAGGCGCCATGGTGGAGGGATATGCGCGTGGTCGCGGCTTTGGCGATGCAGGCGAAGCTGGAGAAGAGGACGGGGAGGGAAGCGCCGAGATGGTGCGGAGATCGATTGCTGCGCCGATGTTGGATCTTGCGAGATCGGAATGCAGAAATTGAGCGGGCAGAGGAGCTGGTGTGGGGGCAGACGCCATCTTCTATCCGTCGGCCGGACGTTTTTTTGGCGGAGATGGGATTCGCCGTGAGAGTGCGAGCGGCTAGGCAGGGCGGTGATGCACGAGCATCAAGCGAGACGGACGGTAGGCGCTGATGATGTGACGAGCACCAAGATACGCAGACGCTGTTGCCGGACGCGGACTCGAGTCTAGGCGGTCCGCGGCACGCTGAGAGAGTGACCAGTGGCGGCGAGAGCGACCGGTACTGCGAGCCTCGTAACGCTACGTTGCTGTGAAGCTGCGGTCACACGAGCGGGCTGCAAGGATGAACGACAAGCCGAAGAGATGAAGTTGGCAGCAATGGACGTTCGAAGCGACACGTGTTGATGGAAAAGACCGGCTAGAGTTGCGCTGCGGCGGCTGGTGCTGAATGAAGCTGGTGGCGCCAATGATTTTAAACGGCAAGCAGAACTCGAAGTCGAAGACGCAGCAGTCTTACCACTTTTTGCGCAGAACCGTGAAGCGCGGACGGTGGTTGTCCGACGACGACGAGGTAGATTTGAGTTTGAGCCTGCGATCGAGCGTCGAGTCTGCAAAGGTAAAGCAAATCTTGCTGGCTCGAAGAAAGAGACCAGGGAGTGGGACGGTTGCCAGGCACGGTGGGAAATGCAGCTGCGGTGGGAGTTGGTTGAGCCGAAAGCAGCGACTGCAGATGAACTGTGTAGGCAATGGGCGCAGACGTGGGAGCGACGAGTCGAGCTGACGCGGAAGGACGATGGACGACGCAAGGATTGCTAGGGTACTCTGCGCCGAGAGAGAGGAGATGGATTGGTAGAGCTGATCGCGCTCTCGGATATCTCGCCAGCCAAGGTGTTACCGGCGATGGAGGGGATGATGGTTGGACAGAGAGGGAATCGCGAGCATCGACTCGGGAATTCGAGCGAGGGGGAAGGGGGAAGGGGGAAGGGGGG